TCACAAGACATTGGGTGAGGATGTGCGCCTTCGTGGATTAGAGTCTGGTCGTCAATCCTCACGGTCGTCCATGGACTCTGGTTCCCGCCGGCCCAGCGGCGTTCTCTCTCCTCCTCCTCCACAGGACCGCAGCACGTCTAGTCGGAGAAGCGAGACACCCTCTGGCACCGGAGCGGGTCCTAGTGGTTCTATCGACTATATGTACCTGAAGAACGTTCTTCTGCAATTCATGGAGCAGAAAGATAAGAGTTATCAGAAGCAGTTGATCCCCGTGCTGGGAATGCTGCTCCATTTCGACCGGTATGTACAAACCGTTCCACTAGCCCCGGCATCAAGACTAACATTCTCCAGTACCGATGAGCAAAAATGGATGTCAGCAATCATGTCCCGCTGAGTGTGGGTCATCGCATCTCTTGCCACTCACACACCCTTTTCGTATTGGCATGCTCTGCCCGGGTCTTTCTTCTTATTTCTTGCTTGTATAATATCCACCGTTACTCGTATTTATTCAACCGGTGTTGATTGAGATCTCTGTCCTCAATTACATCCTCTGTCATTTCACTTCTAAACCCCATAGCTCCATTAGTTTCTAGAAACTTACGCCCTGCGATTGACATGCCGAGTGGGCCGTTCCGTCGGTCTCGGGAGCTACCGAAGTGTGACTCTCGGGAAGACCGTCAAAGATAAAAACCCCCGAGCCCGCAACTCCAATTTTCTCCAACTACACCAAGCATTTTTTTTTCTTTTCTCTTTCGCGCAACTCATACAAATCTATACGCTCAAAAATGGCCGACCAACCGACTATTCGCCTCGCGACTGCAGAGGGTATGTACTTCTTCCAATATTCAACCCTCCCCTCTAGCGCATTACACCAACCCCCCCTTCCCATTAAGTACTACCCCACTAAATACCCCAACCAGACGTTCCCCTCATCCTCCAATTCATCCGCGAACTCGCCGACTACGAAAAAGCCCTGCATGAAGTCGAAGCCACCGAAGAATCCCTCCTCGCCACACTCTCCTTCCCCAACGACCCTCCCAAGCGCGGCTCTGTCTACACGGCCCTGATCACACCCGCGCCCACGGCGCAAAACCCCTCCCCGATCCCCGTCGGCATGGCCCTGTACTTTTACAATTACTCCACCTGGCGCTCGGCCCCGGGCATTTACCTTGAGGATCTTTATGTTCAGCCCTCGGCTCGTGGGAATGGCTATGGCTTCAAGTTGTTGAAGTACCTGGCGAAGCAGGTGTTGGAGGTGAAGGGCCGGCGGTTGGAGTGGAGTGTGCTTACTTGGAATACGCCGAGTATTGAGTTCTATAAGCAGGTCGGTGCTAAGGCTATGGATGAGTGGTTGAAGATGATGGTGGATGGGCCGGCGTTGGAGAAGTTGGCGGAGGGGGCGTAGATGGAATGGTTGGTATATGATTCTTCGTCTTGTTATGATATAGGACATTTGGACAAAAGTATTCAAGATTTGCGAAAGAACGCAATGTAAGCCTTCCGGGCGACAGAGAAAATATTGTACTAGAGAGTACCGGATTGATTGAATAGACTCAAGACCTGGTACGATAGCATGAACCCTACCCCGGGATGCAATCCTAAATGCTTACCAAGTCAATGGTCATTCCTTGGAAGCCGAGGCCTGATTCACAGATCTCGTCATTTTAATATAAACAGTGAAGCCCATGGCAAGTTGAATTTATGCATCCAGAACCTGATTCGGAGTGTGTGCTCAGACCTTTCCAGCCCTGTATCAGATGTCGTAGGTGGATATACATAGATCCCGCCATCATCGATTCTTTATTTTCCGTACAGACGGGGTCAACTTTACTACGCAGAGGGCGAGAGAGCGCTCCAAAGCTCGATCGAATTGCAAATAGGTGATAAAGATCATTTAGAATATGCTATGTTTTTTTTTGTTAAGCTGTAATTCATCCCCCAACTATGCAATGTCCCCGGTAATCAAGGTTTCCTGTACAGCTCTGCCCAGACAAGCTTCGCGGTGACGTCGTCAGTGACCCGCCGATCGGACTGGTGCATCTCGGGCCCAAAGTGACGACAACCTTTCCCCCCCTCCTCTCCATTCCACAGCTCCCTTCAAATCCACACTCCCGCAATGGCGACCGCGACCGAGGCAAATGCCTTAGGGTATAATTTGAAGGTGGACTATGTGATACACTACCGCTTCGGTGATTCAGGTGAGTGACAAGCACCGGCAGCCACAAAACACGTGGTTGGACTTCAGATCGGACTAGCTGAGCCGACAGGCTAATGTGCTATCTCACCCACCACATAGATCAGGCGCAGGCGATCGCACAGCTCGAGAAGCTGCTCAAGACCCTCGCAAGTGCTGGTCTACAATCTGAGGTCCGACAGGGTGATGAGACGTCACTGCTGGTCTTCGTTCGTGCATCGAAGAAACGGCTGAATCGGGCGGTGTATCGGTCGCGGTGAGTTGCTCGTGGTTTCGGCTGCTTTCCCCGCAGGATCGAAATCTGAATATGCTTGATACTAATCTTGCTCTCATTTTAGAGTGCGCGACTGGCTTTATGGTATTCGTAATGCCGAACCAGAACCGGCTAGCTCCATCGAACCTCAAAATGAAGCTGAGCGACTGCGAGTGATCAACCAAATGATCACACTCCCCACCGAAGAGGGCGGCGCCGGTATCACCCCGAAACACGGTGAATGGAAGAACGTTACTGGGCTCTTACCTCTGCACGACGAGGAGACCAACAAGAAATGGTTGCACGAATGGAGCCATAAGACCTTCCTCTCGGAGGAAGATTTGGATCAGATCCGGGACAAATTTGGAGAGAGTGTTGGGTTCTACTTCTCGTTCCTCCAGTCGTACTTCCGATTCCTGATCTTCCCGGCCGTGTTTGGGTTCTCCTGCTGGTTCCTCCTCGGGGGCTATTCGATTGTGTATACATTGGTCAATTCATTGTGGTGCATCGTCTTTGTAGAGTACTGGAAGAGGAAGGAGGTGGACTTGAGCTGCCGCTGGCAGACCAAGGGTATCTCGGCTGTGCAGACTAAGCGGCGCGATTTCAAGCCTGAGAAGGAGGTTCGGGATGAGGGCACCGGCGAGATGCGGGGAGTCTTTCCCGCTACGAAGCGCATGCAGCGCCAGCTCCTCCAGATTCCATTCGCACTGGGCTCAGCTATCGGGCTGGGAGTGATTATTGCAACCTGCTTTGCGATTGAGATCTTCATCTCGGAATTGTATAACGGTCCCCTGAAGAGCTACCTGGTATGACTTAACCCCTCGGATGTTCTTTTGTGAGCCTGGCTGACTATCCAAAGATCTTCATCCCCACCATTCTCGTCTCCGCGCTGGTGCCGACCATGAGCGCAGTGCTCATGTCCATTGCCACCAAGCTTAACGACTACGAGAACCACGAGACCAACGATGCTTATGATCATGCACTCACCCAGAAGGTCTTCGTGATCAATTTTATCACGTCCTATCTGCCCATCCTCCTGACAGCATTTGTTTATGTGCCATTTGCCAGCCATATTGTGCCACATCTGGACATCTTCCGGTTGACCATTCGGCCTTTCGTGTCCAAGGAACACACTACCACAGACTGCTCAACCTTCAACATTGATCCCCATCGGCTGAGAAACCAAGTCATCTACTTCACTGTCACCGCTCAGATTGTTGGATTCGCCATGGAGACTGTCGTCCCATACATCAAGCAGCATGCGCTTCGGGAGTACAAGGCATACAACAAAAAGCGGAACGGCAAGTCGGAGAATAATGGTGATAAGGATTCTCCTGAGCGTTCGCCCATCATGAGCTATGAGGATCCAGTCGAGGAGAAGGAATTCCTGAAGCGTGTCCGCAACGAGGTGGAGCTTCCCGAGTATGAAGTGACCGCTGACCTGCGCGAGATGTGCATTCAGTTTGGTTATCTCGCGCTTTTCTCCCCCACATGGCCTCTTGTGCCGCTGTCATTCTTCATCAACAACTGGATCGAGTTGCGGTCCGATTTCTTCAAAATCTGCATGGAGTTCCAGCGACCCACCCCTCTCCGATGTGATACTATTGGGCCCTGGCTAGACACCCTTGGCTTCCTGTCCTGGGTGGGCAGCATCACTAGCGCCGCGTTGATCTATATGTTCAGTGGAGATTCTCAAACTGGTCCCAACGGACAGCCCACCGATATCAAAGGATGGGCATTGCTGCTGGTCATTTTCTTCGCAGAACACCTCTACCTGATTATCCGCTATGCCGTGCAAACAGCCATGAACAGAATTGAGCCCCCCAATGCTCGCAAGGAGCGTGGTGAGCGATATCTCATGCGTAAGCGATACCTTGAGTCAACCCTCCAGGCCGAGGCCAATGAAGAGCCGGAGGAGAAAGATCTCGTGTCCGACGTGCCACCGGAGCTTACGCGCTCTGCTCTCGAGGACGACGCCCGCCGTAATTCTGGACACTCTGCGGACCCAGCGGAGAGGTTCTGGATGCGTCAGCGTGGCTGGACTGAGTCAGCGAAGGTGGGAACGGGGATCATTCTGGCCCAGCCTACGAAGGGAAATGCCAAGAAGCAACAGTAAGACCGGGTGTGATAGATGGTGTGATTAGTATGTCTGTTTTTTGAGGGACAGTTTCGGTTCAGACCTCTTGGATGTGCCAGCTGCGGTATCTATTGAGCTTAGAGGTTATGATTTGTGTATATGATGCTTGGATGTGATGAATATGATTTTCGGTCGTCCAAAATACTTTCGAAGCCGAAAGCAGATCAATTACAAATGGCTGGAGTCGGTCTATTACGAGCCTTAAATTTATTGTAGGGTGATAGATGAATGTGTCGGCACAATACATACATCTTGATCATTTCGAACAGCTCCGGGTTGAGATTGTTAAATAGAAGTGACAAACAATAAGCTTTCCAGTCAGTAAAAACGAGTTCAATAATCAATTTACGATTGCCTTGTAATTCCGGCAGAATGATTCCGCATTCATCAACAGCTTAATTGATTCCTGACCGCCCCGCTTACCGCCACTTTGATCCCAAGCAATCACCCGCGCTTTCATCCACATCACGTGGACTTCCCACCGAGTCCGAGTCCTATCACCACCTTACCGCCTACGATATCCGGCGTATCGGCCTCGGAATATCAAGATGCCGAGCTGCACGGGCCCCCAGCTGGCAATGCAGCCTGACTCAGATATCCTTAAGTAATCTCTCCTTCCCACATCCCGCTGCTTACAGCATCTTCACCTGCTTACCTCATTTCAGTGGTTTACCCCAAATCACCAGCAGCTACACCAAGTTCACCTGGGAAGGTTGGAGAAGGCAAATTAAAGTCACTATCGAAATCCTCATTACCTCTTCCCCAATTTCAACGCCATCCATGCAGCCTGCGTTGGCGCCAGCACCGCATCCCGGTATGCAGAACCCTGCTCAGGTAAGCACCCCATCTCGACGCGTTTGTCATCAGATCGATCTTCCCGCTCCAAAGTACATCGATCCGAGGGCCGAATAGCATGAGGGAGATGCACCTCGAGCGAACGATGCCCGAGATGTCGTCGCGTCGTAGTGTGCCTCTGTCGCCTTGCCGCGGTCCTCCGGATGTCGCCATCGGTTTTTGGATATTTTGTACTGACGTATTGACTACAGGACCACGCGGATCAGGGTACGTGATCTACATAGTTTCCACCTGGAAGCTAGTTTCTATCACTGTTGTCGGATCGGATGTCCGAACGATCACACCCCACCCGGGCTACTGATCGCTTGACCCCCGACTGTCAATGGTGGTCTAACGTGTACCACATGGGACACGACGACGCGTATCAAAATGCTAATCTGTTTACTCCATTTCAGTGCTTCATGACCAGCTCCTGGCTGCTCAGCACAACATGCATCGTCCCCAGGGTGGTCCCATCCAGCAGCACCTGCAGCCAAATACTGCTAGCCCTCGGGATCAGGCTAACATTGACCCGGCCATCTCTGGTGCTATGATGTCTGCTGCGCCCCAGACCCCCACCCAGCCCCAGCAGAGTTCGCCGGATGATATCACCCCTAAGAGCTACGGCAAGCGTGAGCTGTCGACCTCCAAGCGTGCTGCTCAGAACCGCGCCGCTCAGGTATGTGGTGGCAGTCGTGCTTCCCCCTTTTTCCCTTTCGGAAACACAATTAATGAATTTCACAGCGTGCTTTCCGCCAGCGCAAGGAAACTTACATTCGCAAGCTGGAAGCTGAGAACAAGAACATTGACGCTCTCCGTGAGCAGATGAAGGCTATTCTCAACGAAAACTACAGCCTACGTGACTACGTGGTCACTCTGCAGAACCGTCTCATAGACGCCTCCATTGATGTCCCCGATGCCCCGGGTAACATCGATCTCAGCCAGCCCCGACATGACTTGTCCATGGCGGCCGCCATGCCCGACGCGGGTCCCTCCGGCCAAGTGCCTAATGCACAGGTTCCTCAGCAGCAGCCCCAGCATCCTGGCTCTGCCGGCGATGAGCTGAACCTGAACAGCATCGCTGTCGCTGGTCTGGGCATGCGCAAGCACCCGGACGAGAACGCTTTCATGGCTGGTAACTTCCAGCACAACAAGCGTGTTCGTGTCGATGAGAACCAGGGTGATCTCTCCGACGCTATGCCTAAGCAGGAGGCTCACCACGGTTTGCCCATGGCTTAAAGAAAACACCGACGTGTCTTCTTCGTTATTTCTTCAGCAACATCGTTAACTACATTTTCTGAACCCGCCGACTCGATATCCTTTGTTTCAGGCCCACCGGTCTCGACCCTCATACCCATACCACATTCCCCATCTTCCAATCTTCTCTCGCCAGCCTCATGCCTGATCATCATACTTTCGTTCGGCCTAGTTCTCCGCCTAGGTCTATCTGTCCCCCTCAATTCCCCTTTTCCTCGTCGTTAGCTTTCCTTCGGACGGTGTGTGGCGCCATTCGTGTCTCCTAATTTTTTTTTCACTCGGCGGTGTTATTTTGATTTTTCACTCTTACTGCATCTCTGGACAGCAGAGATCTTTTCAACGGAGTACAAGCTTTATCAATGGGATCTTTCAAAATACAGAATCCGTGTAACGTAGCTTCTTCCAGGGGGAATCGAGGCTCGTTGATATGCTCCGTAATATGGTTCATTGGGCGTTGTTTTGGAACGTGGCGGTATTGCCTTTGCGATGCTTGAGTTTACGTCTTAGCCCGTTTCTCAACCTGTTAGTCCGAGCTACGTTCTAATCAGTTGAACATGCAATTTTTACATAGGACGGTACTGTGTGATGGATATTTCTAATGACCTAGGTATGCCCCAGTATAGTTGATTTGTCGTAAAGAGAGTTTGTATGATTCTTGACATTGTTCACAAATGAGTAGAACGATTGGGAAGACCTCAACGGGACAATACGATCCGCCCTTGGTGAATCTCGGTTCTTGCGTATCTGGCCAGGTCTTTTAGATGCGACTCCTGATATCCTCATGTCGCCCTGCTTTGCACGAGTGGTGAAAACTGCACAACTAGTAAGGTCGAGCACGCTTCTCCCGTCCGTGGGTGCTCATGTCTGTATATCAAAATGTCTCAGCAAACCGCCCTCCAAATTTCTCCTGTTCTCGCGAAATGTGTACCATTCGCGATGTTCTTACCACTCTGCGGAGACGCCGCTTCCGCCCCCTGCACGATGCGCAGTATGAACTTTTCAGTAAACCTTTTCAGTACAAGACCCTTCTTGATCAAGGAATCCCCACTACCTCCAATGGGGGAACACAACTCCTTCGCATGATCGGCGATGACTTCTTCAATCATATGCTGAACACTGACCAGGTGTCCCATATCCCAGATCCGTTCGACGACGGACGGAAATTCCGGCGTGGACCATGCCTGCTCCGCCCATTCCCGGAAGTGGCTCTTTGCACTCTGTTGAAGCGGTTCGAGGTCGTATTTATGGGCCAGAGTGTAGATATCGAGGTCCAGCCATGGGCCGGTCACTGGCGATTTTAGCGCTTTGGCTTTGGAGGCTCTGTAGCCGTGGCCGTACATGTAATAAATCATAATTCGAATCAACGGGGGGTCGTCACAGGGGAGATTGATTTCGCGGGTCTGGGCTTCCTGTACGCTATGGCTGAGAGAGTTTTCTGCTTGATGGGAGGGGGTTACATTGTACCTTGAATGATCCTCTGCACATTGCGCTGAATACGGTTGACTGAGGACATACTATGACCCGGTGTACTCGATGAACGTCATCACCACATTTGATGGTGAGGTCGGAGTATTCATCCCTCTCGAATAGCCCTGGCAGAAACGTTGGATAGCTGTAAGGATTCAAGGATTTCTTTCTATCGCGGACGCGGTATGGTACGGCCATGCTGCGCGTTGAAGTCTGTCGCAAGTCAGAAGGAAAGTGGAGGGCAAAAGGGTCAACGTGAAGAGCGGAATCGGGGTAAAGAGAGAAGACGAAGGACAACAGAGGCCAGTTTATGATCAGACAAAGCCAGTTGGAGCCTATTTATCTTGCTTGCTCGCGGCATATTCATGGAGCTTCCACAATTGTCTAAGCCCACGAAGTCACATGCGCTTTTGTCTACGTTTTCCATTACCACAAAAGCAAACGGCATTGATGCTATTTGGAAATTTCCCTAGCTCAAAGGCCCACCAGGAGCCTAGGAGTAGGAAGATTGTTTCGCAATACAATTCGTATATTGGCTGCTGGTCTTCATACCCCCCTCACCAGGCTCATTTTATACCAGACCATCATCTACGAGAATGTATCAAGATTCACGCTTTGCGCAACAGGAACAACAAATTCCATGCCAAAGGACTATGAGATCTTCCTTTATCTAAGATATTGGGTACATTGTCTTTGCTAGGGGTGTTACCTGGCACAAGTGGAACCGTCTTGCTACTGGTTGACCATGCATTAGAAGATGTCGAGGCGCTTGTACGACAAAACAGGATGGCAATGCCGTGTTCGTCTGCGATGGTGAATTCAAGATGGTGGTGTATATAAGGAATAGATGCCGGACGACGGGGCTTTGGAAATTGATGGCGACAAGAAACAGAGTTGATATAGGCAGCTTGGAAAGAACTCTCCAGCTGGGAACTTTCCACTAACTACCTGATCCAAGATTCAATCTTCTCGCATGCTTCACTAATTGATTGGCTTCAGAAGACCATCACTAATACACACTCCTTCAAGAAACATATCCCACTATTGATCCAAACCATACTCCTTGATCAAGACATCCGCACAGGTAGCCCCGGTGACATATGCCGTAGCCTGAGTATGATTATTCGTCAACACGGGGACAACGCTCATATCCGCAACCCGCAAGCCCTCGACACCAAAAACACGGAACGTATGATCAACAGCCGCATCCTTGCTCGCATCTTGACCCATCTTCACGGTGCCAGTCATATGCCAGCATGGCGATACATTATCCTTCCAAAACTGCAAAATATCCTCATCAGACTTGGATGCCGGCGCGATAACCGTCGCGATAGTATCTTTCGCAAAGGACGGGTGCTCGGTTAGTTCGAGCAGGTGTCGGTACATTTCGATACAGGCGCGGCGATCGTAGGGGTGTTCGAGGAAATGCGGGTCGAACGTTAATGGGTCATCCGGGTTTGACGATTGCAGGCGGACTTCACCCCTTGATTGCTGGTTCATCAGCATGACGGCTATACAAACGTAGCTATAGTCCTGGAACATCTGTGGCACGTGCATGTGCAAGGGAAGCCCGATGATGAACTCGTAGTGCGGGATCGTCTCCCGGTTCAGAAAGTCCTGTACCTCGGTGGGAAGGGCTTTGAATTCTTCTGACGAGGAGATTCGGTCTGACTTGAACCAGCCTCCGCCGAGTTGAGAGCAGTAGCGTGACCAAGGACCCGTACCGTCTTGGTTCCATTGCTCCATAGCGGCCGACATGGCTTCTGGGCTTTGGAAGAAGGCGTTGCGGTCGTTGGTCTCTGGGTTTCGGGTTACCAGGAGGGTGGTGAAGGGGTGGTCGTTCAGACCCTGGCCGACCGCTGGTAGATCTTGGATGACGGGGATCTTGAATTTCGTGAGTTCGGCGGCTGGACCAAGGCCGGAGTGCATGAGGATCTTGGGGCTATCGAGGGATCCTGCAGAAATGATGACTTCCTTGGAAGCGAAGTCTGGACGCCGGTATTAGCGATGCGTGAGAGTCGTGGAGAAGATGGAGAACTTACACTGAGTTCCATTACTCTCGACACCCACGGCTTTCTTGCCCTCCATGATCACACGCTGCACTGGACTATTGGGGACGACGACGAGGTTCTCGAGTGCGCTCTTCACCAGATCGGCTGCTGTAGTCCGCACGCCATCACGCACAGAATTGATGATCAAACCCAAACCAAGCGGATTTCCAGAGTTATGATCCAGGTTTCGCTCAAGACCAGCTTCTTCAAAGGCGTCCAAGATTAGCGGCAAGTCGGTCTCCCACTCTGTCGCATAGCCAATAGCCAGAGCACCCGTGTCGCCATGGTCTGCCGCCTGGGGAGCTCCATACTTCTGATGCTCAGGGCGAGCAATCTCCCCAGCAAAAGTCTCCAAAGCCTTAAACCTGGCTTGTATGTTTTTCCAAGCAAACGTGTCGTCGCCTACTTCAGCAGCCCATTGATCATAGTCATCCCTGGCGCCAACGGTGTACACACCAAAGTTAATGGCCGAACTCCCACCGACACATTTGCCGCGGGAGTAGTCAAGCTCACGGCCGCTACAATGCTCTTGTGGAGTCGTCTTGTATCCCCAGTTGAGGTTGCTCTCCATGAAAGTTACAAAGCGCTTGCCCCAGACCCGGAGAGTCTTGTCCTCATTGTGCTCGCCGGCTTCGAGGAGGAGCACATTTGGGCGCTTGGCTGATTTGGCGAGGGTTGATGCGACCGCACATCCAGCCGGTCCAGCTGTAGATAAGAGATTAATGAGGAGTGGGTCAGGTAACTACGCATCGTGCACCATGTATCATGCATCATGCACGAGAGAATGGAGTTGCTCACCTCCGACCACGATGAAATCGTAGGAATGCGAACCCATCTTGCAATGCCACCCGTGTATGACAATGGATGTCAAGACTGTTAAAATCCACGTTTTGGGTACTCTTGAGGAGAAAGTAACAAAAATAAGAGCAGATTCTTATTTCGGAGTCTTATATTAAGCCTTATATGCAATACGACCCGCCACACACCTGCAGCTCCTCCCCCTCTTCGGTTCCCAGCATATTCATGCAACATCTCGTCTCGGACACGAGGTCTGGGCAGCACGCCTCACTGGGATAATTATCCATCTAATGCATGAGGATGCATCATTGGTGGAGATGGACTGGTCGAGGCTCCAAATTGCAACGACGGTTTAGGGCTGACCATCCGCAACTGGTGCGGAGTGGGACGGACCGGGGGACGAGGAGCGGACGGAAGTGCGTCATGCACTGTGTTGCTAACGTGAGTAGGGATTAGTATTTTGATAGATAGTCTTATCAAGAAAATCGCTTCATTGGCTTTCCCTATTCTGAAACGGATAACCAGAGTTGATTCGTGCATGAGGACTGATGCATGAGGACTGATGCATGAGGACTGAGTTGAACGCGAGCAAAGGGATTGTATGGATGAATGTGTACTGCGCACTGTCGTATCCTTGTTGCGCAGCAGGTTAGTGACTGATATTCGGAGTGCTTATTTCCACGGTTGATCGAGAACTGAATTGACTCTGGTTCGCTGTGCTTACTACTGCTCACACGCCGATTTTCAAGCTTCTAGCTTGGCTTGGCCGTTCGTCGGTTGCAGCTGGAGGCCTGAACCCTGGACTGCCCATCTTCCTGCCTATTTGAGGAAGAGCATCACCTCTTATATAGGAAGGAACACCAGAAATCTGAAATATTGGCAGGAGCATAGCCATCGCCTTGGAATTCGTTCTACTACCTTGAAATGACACGGTTAAATGCAGGTTTCGCTTTTCGACTGCTGTCAATATGCTTCTTGGGGTTCTTGTCTCAGTTGACAAAGACACTGCGGGGGTTTAAGGGCTTCTCAAAGCCCGCATTCTGACTTGAGCTCCATGCATAACACCCCCGTGCTGCAATAATCATGTACTTTGAGAATTGAATTATGCCAATTCTGTGTCGCAGCCGCAATTGCAATTGCCATTGCATTTCCTGGGAACTGGCGGGGATCGCATTCTTACGTAACCAGGCATCCTCGGGGACCTGCAGTCCCCCGAGAGACCCAAAATGAAACCCGACTGAAACCGCCTCGAGACTGGGTATACGCATGAACTTCGTCTACGTCTTGATCGTCTAGATTGATCATGCAATTAGAAGATGTAGTGTTCAGAGCCCCATCATCTAGCTCTATACCTCGAACCGCTCTCTTAGTCGAGCTTGAGCTCGATGATGGCACACAGTTCACGGGATCAATTCTCGGGTCCTTGAGTGAGACTATCCGCCAAATACCGTAGCGACAAAGAAGCAGCTCGGATAATGCGGGACTGAGCCCGCGGCTTGCAACACGCGACCATTGCCTTCGCTTAGTGCTGGGAGCCGCCGACCGATGGGCCGACTTGAAGTGGAGTTGACCGTCGGCCGCCACTGACTAGCGGGTGATAACCGGCCCGCTCCAAGTCTATGGTCTTGTCAGAAGTGAATACTTCGCCATTTGGAAAGTTGAGGCCGAATGTACCGGATTCTCGAGTCGGCCAAGTCCGTGCGACGAGCCAAGGCAAGAAGCTTTGTCGCTGTCCGAATATTAATCATCGTTGAGAGTTGGTGCCCCATGGATGAGGTGTCGGTTCGGGTTGGGATCCGTGGCTTTTGTCCGCCTCCACCGCCACAGCAGTCGAGTTGACCGGGAGAGCAATTGCCATTCTAAGATGTAGGAGAATATAGAGATAGTCTTGCCCGAATGGATACCTGGATAGCCAAATTACCCCAATTTGCGCCATTTGAAAGATTTTCTAGAAGACACGTTCGATCATCGTGGTTCAACCATCGTGGCTCTGGTGGTAAGTACTCCGTTAGTACGGAGTACTAAAAACAGTAGCAGGACTTTACCGAAGTACTTCTCCAGATTCCGGCGCTGCGAGGTCGTCTCCATGTGAATAACTCCCACGCGGTCGCTTATATCATCTCCAATTTACTTACCAATCATGTTTTCTATATTCTATCGACTTCCAGATTTCCAAACTTTTAATATTCCAGAACATCTAACCCCTCACGGTCAGTGGCAAAAGTTCCGAGCCGTCGAGAGCCGCCCCCGCGGAGATTTTCTTGGGGGATTTTTCTTTTGGGTCTCGGCCGTTTTTTTTCCTCGTCTTTTTTGCCTTTTGAGGACTTGGGCCTCCGCACGGATTAGACTTTTGGCTGGTTGACGCCCGTTTCTCGTTTCAATCCTTTCTTTTAACCTTCCTCTCTCTCGCCGTCCTTCTCTTATCTCGTGGTGATCCTCAGTTCGTCAATTCATCAGCTCCCTCCTGGCCTACTCGTGCGGAGAAGAACGGGGCCCAGTCTCGAACCCACCGGGGCTCCTCTTTTCGCCCCTCCGCACTTTTGCCGTCCTGGACTCGAGAGATCGATCGTCCATTCCTCCGATCTTCGACTCTTTCACCTTCCCCGACACAATTCCCACGTTGACAATCCTGTTCTATCTGCGAGATTCGTTACATTCTTGATCAAGCGCCTCGTCTCGTTCTCTTGAAGCGCCGCCCTTTCTCGGACCACAGAGTTGCATCCGAACCCGCCACGGGAGGCGACAGCTTTGCGCGCGACGTTGGTATTGCCTCTACGGGGACATTCGGCGCTTGGAATACGACTATAAGGAAAGGAAACCCCCTTCAATCGCACCGGGGCCTACGTACTGCGCATTTTCGCTCATAGCAACCTCCTCCTCCGCCGCCGCCCATTTCTCGACTTTCCATCCTTCCTCCGGGACCGTCGACTTCTTCGACACTCGGATGCTCCGTTTTTAGCTCGCGCGTATAAACCAGATCATGGCGGTGAAAGTGTCGCATTTGAATCCACGAAATACACGACTACGGTCTCCCGCCCGCGGGTCCCAACGATTCTTCCCGCCCTTCTATCCTCCTGCTGTATAGCACCCGCGAGAGCTTCCTCTCGGCTCGACCTGCGCGCGTGCGCCGGCTTCGATGGTTGCCAGTGAGCTTTCCCAAGCCCCCGATGGCCTGATCGGGGGCTACACGGGGGGTAACCTCACGGTGCGCATTCTAATGATTGTCTTTTCCTCCATCGCCCTGTACAATGCGATCGAGCTGTTCATACTGTTATTTTTGACGTTTCAACACTACCGTGGCTTGTATTTTTGGACCCTGTTGCTGTCGGTGGTGTTGGGCGTGATTCCGCATACTATTGGATATATTTTGGAATTTTTTGCGCTGGCGCCGTTGTGGTTGTGTTTGACCATTTCTACGATCGGATTTTATGTCATGGTACCCGGTCAGTCAGTGGTACTGTATTCGCGACTACATCTGGTGGTGCAGAGTCACCGGATTTTGCGGTTTGTGTTGTGGTTGATTATCATCGATGCCGTGTTGCTGTTGATTCCGACTACCGTGCTTACCTTTTCGACTGCTTATGTCGGCACCATTCCGATCATTCGTGGCTACAATGTCATGGAGCGTCTACAACTGGCCTGGTTCTGCGCTCAGGAGTTTGTCATCTCGGGTATCTATATCTTCGAGACGATCAAGCTACTGCGTCTTATGCCAGACAAGGATCACAGACGCACGAGAATCATGTACGAATTGCTGGCGATCAACTTTGTGATTATCATGCTGGACGTGGCGCTGTTGGTTGTGGAGTATATCGGTTACTACTCGCTGCAAACCACCCTCAAACCCATGGTCTACAGCATCAAGCTCAAACTGGAGTTTGGTGTCCTTGGCAAGCTTGTCTCGCTGGTCCAGACACATCGCTCACAGCCTACTTCCTCGGAACATGAAGAGTATCCCAATTTTGTGGATCCGACTCAATTCACGACGGACGTGACACATGCAGCACCGATGGAATCGCGTCGATCAAGAGGGGTGGGAGCATGGAATACCATCTCCATGGAGAGTTTGCCGACTTCGGAACGGCGGATTCGCCCCTCGACGGGGTCAAGGCTGTCTAGTGACGGCGGGGATCCCGCCTGATTGGTCTTTCCTTGAGAATTTCCGTCTCAACTTTCCAAGATGCCATTCTTCATGGCAAGCTCCCGTTGGGTTCCGTGAACACGGAGTCGAGCATCAGGACCGGTCATCGTGGGCTTATGTCCATGCACAAGGCCAAGACAGAACCACCCAACCAAGGCGATTCACCTTATATGTGCTCACAGTTGCGCAAATACCTCGGGTCTCTCGCGCCAGTATCTGTCTATAGAGTCCACAACCTCTCCGCCGGGTAGCATCCTCCATCAGGATTGATCATATACCACGCTGCCTCTACCTGTCCGTACTGGAGCATACTTCGCACCCGTTCTTCGGATATATGTATCATAATTTCTAAAAAATGTACAAAAAGTTTATTGCATCCATCCTTAACACTACTGTAAACCTACAATGACGATAAACTACGTGGTAATGACGGAGCTACCATCAAGCTTGCACTCCCCACATCAAAAGCAGCCGATATTTCTCTCTCAAGACCTGGTATATCCATGATCATGACCATGAATCTCCTCCAAGATGAACACATCCGTCACCATCCACCACGGCCCCTCTGAAACGATCCCACCCACCGCATCCCCCGGCCTCCTCTTCCTCCAACGCTTCCTCCCCGCCGCCGACTCCCTCGACCCAAAGAACCACAGCATTCGCCCCTTCTTCACCCCAGACGCCCCCATCCTCATCGGCAGCAACCCCCCAACAACAGCCTCGGACGCCGTGCCCCTCCTCCAAGTCCGCGGCCGCCATATCGCCCACTTCCATCACGACGTCCACCTCGCCTGGGACATGGACCTAGCCCGAGAAAGAGCCGCTAAAGATGCCACTACCACTATGCCCTCGACAGTCTCCCGGGACGAAAACTCCCTCTACGCACCGCTTGCCAGCGGCGTTCGGCTTAAACGCACGGTCATGTTCGAGGCTACCTCGGAAACGATCTTCAAGAATGATCCGGACCAGTTCCCGGTGAAGGTACGGGAGTTTAATATCCTTGATTTGGAGGGGAGTAGTCCAGACGACTTGCAGATCGTGGAGATGAGGGTTTTTCTGGATTCGAGGCCCGTACAGGCTCGCGCTGCGAGGTTGCAGACGGAGTCTGCTTTTGGGGGTGGGGCCACGCAGGAGGCGCCCGCTTAGAGGAGGTTTTTATGGAGGGGATAGGTGGGTATATCCTTCACAGCGGAATATTCGCGGAATGGAAGTGAAAAAATTGGAGATTGGGAAGATACGTCGGAGTGGTTTGCGGGGGTGATGTTGTGGTCTATGGCCTCTTATCTTGTGGGGGTTTTGCCGATCGGCAATGGAGGGGGTGGTTTAAGGGGAGGGGAATGGCATTGCCATGAGATGAGGTGGTATTTCGTATTCTCATATCGAAGGATGGTCACTATGAAGCAATCGGAAATTATTGAAAAGGTTCGCAATGCCTTGGACAAGCACGAGGCGCGGCTGAGCGATATCAATCAGAAGGTAAAGTAGCACAGTACAGTACCAAGCGACTTCACACGGAACAATTGTTTCATTGGGACATCTACTAATCCGTCTTTCTGGTATAGATCTGGTCCAATCCAGAAGTATCCTTTGAAGAACACAATGCCCACGACAACATCTGCGCCCTGTTCGACGCCCTCGTCGTGGATGGGTATACGGTCACACGCAGCGCCTACGGGATCAGCACCGCATTCGAAATCAGCTACACTCACGGACAAGGAGGACGCGTGATAGCTTTCAACGCGGAATACGATAGTCTCCCGGGTATAGGCCACGCCTGCGGCCACAATCTAATCGCAACAAGCGCCATTGCCTCCTTCCTCGCAACCACCGAGACAATGCGCACCCTCTACCCGGACTCCAACTACACAGTCCGTCTCCTAGGAACCCCCGCCGAAGAAGGCGGCGGCGGGAAACTCCTCCTCATCGACGCGGGCGCTTACAAGGACGTCGACGCCTGTTTCATGGTCCACCCATTCCCCGCGTTGACTGGTTCCCCTAACCTGCTCAGTGCGAGTTCCGACTCGGCGCAGTACCTGGCAAACAATAAAGTCGAGGTGACCTTTACGGGGAAGCCGGCACATGCATCGGCGGCGCCGTGGGAAGGTGTTAACGCGTTGGATGCGGTCGTGGCTGCTTATGTGAATATTTCCATGTTGAGGCAGCAAATTCTTCCCACGCAGAAGATTCATGGAGTTGTGCTGAGGGGTGGTGAGAGACCGAATATTATTCCTGCTTCCACGACGGTGGAGTATTATATCCGGTCTGAGACGGTGAACACGTTGAAGCCCCTGACGGAAAAGGTCGTGAAGTGTTTTGAGGCGGCGGCCACGGCGACGGGGTGTACTGTTGAGTTTAAATGGTGAGATGTGATCTTCCTAGGAGGAGAGGGTTTGTAGATTTTGTCTTGCTGACTATCCTGTGGCTTAGGGAACCGGCATACATGGATATGCGGGATAATCGTCCTATTTGCGAGAGTTATATGATTGCCATGAATGCAATGGGTCACAGTACTATATATGATGCTGCTGGTCAGGAAGGTGGTTTGAGTGGAGGATCCACTGATATGGGCAATGTCTCGTACGAGGTACCCGGGTTCCATGGCAGCTTCTATATCCATACCGATGGAGTCAATCATACTCCGCAATTTACGGCCGGTGCCGGATCGGAAGAGAGTTTCAAGCGCAGTCTTTATTGTGCGGCGGGTATGGCCGTTGTGGGATGTCGGATGTTGGCTGAGGATGAGTTCGCTGCGACTGTCAAGTCTGATTTTGATAGCAAGAAATAAGCTACTACTTTCCTAGACCGGTTTGGGTCCTAGCACACATCTTAGAGGTAGAATTCGTGTCCACAAGATCGGCTGGCCGGAATTGATCTTGCAAAGTCCTTGCGTGTAGGTAGACTGGGCTTCTTAGACTGACCATACAGGATTATACCGCTGCTAGTGAACTAGTGAACAGAGGTGTATTTCCAAAGTGGATTATTCTCTCTCTAGCCCAGAGACCAGCCAGGTGAAGGATTGATGACTCTGATTTGGCTTTCTGAAAAGAAGTAGACCAATTCGAGGAGTGCGACTTGGACTTTGAGGCTATCTCTTGCAGATAAATTCAGTGACGCCAGCTCCTTGGCTGTATCGAGGACACACGTCTAAACGGGGGCCCACTACGAAAAGAAATCCAGAAGCGTCCACCTTCCCGGTAAGGTCTGGCAGTGAATCGGGATGAATGGACACTAATTTTCGAGTCAGCGAGACTAGAGTCAGGTAGAAACGTGATAAAGCAAATTGGGAATTCTCCTGGTTTGCTTGGAAAAAGTTTGGGGTTCTAATTTTTGCTATGTGAACGTCAATCACTATTTAGTATGCTCAGAGGATTTCAAAAAGTCTGATCTTAGAAAATTCTCTTCCATTTACCATATTTGGCGTAGTGCGAACGTAAGCATAACTGCATAAAGCTAGGTCCACAATCGTGGGCGTGTGGAAGTCGGCTAGCTTTAGCGGCCGCGAGGATCTAGACTTTCGGACCGCGGGCTCGACCTTCCTAGTTACCGTCCGTACCAGTGTTGTAGGCAGGTCGCTTTTGACTATTAAAGCCTCGCTTGTAACTACACTATGTTTGCTCACCTTTCTTTATCTGTGTTCAAGTCAATTTCGAATGATAATGTTCATTAAATGATGACTCTTCCGCTGTTCACCTCACTCGAATGTCACAGCTAGCAGAGGTGGGGTAAAACGATGCCGAATTCGGTGTCTCCACAAGCAGAGAATGCGGATGAGGTGTCGCACAAATAAGAGAGCAAGAGATCGCTAGTCCAAAAATACTCCATGGGCTGGATTTCTAGTCTATACGGTCATTTATTGTTCCGACGTTAGGCGAAGGACTAAGCGGACGATTCGTCTCAATATGCGAATATATGGTCCGGGCTAATTCTTATAACAGAAGCTGATAATTGTTTGCTCAGACAGGAGGCTTTAGTATCGAATGAAGATGTCATTTATCTGTTTAATAGAACGCAGGTTGAAAGCATAGACTAAAAATTTAGTCCGGTTTGTGGTGGGGACCACTCGAATGTACTCGAAAATGTAGAACAGGCGAACGACCATTGATTCAAAGTTTTGAATTATTTAACGGCATAAAGGACCATGTCTCCGCTTTGTCCAGATTCATTACGCTTCTTTAATATAATTTTCTAGGCATATTTCTAGTTAGTGGAGAATTGATCGTACCCTCGAACCTTGTTTCCTCAACAACCACTACGGAGTGTTTATCAGCAGTCATATAGTGGCCGTTCATCAGAGTTTGGGACACGGTACTTTTGCCCACTAGGAAAAAGATAAGTGGTGCAGGTGCTATGTTCCAAGTACTAACAAACGCTGACCGTACATATTCTCCCAATATATACACCCAGTCCTCCTTAGTTCGAGCTGAGCTCTATCCAGCAACAGTCCCTCACTCAGGCTGGCTTGGAGATCCCATTGGTTACACTATAGTTAGTTATAACATGTTGATGACATAAACGATTGGTTCAAGCCCTCCTCTTCATTCATCATCATCTGTACGAAATCGAAAAGAAGATTGATCATATAAGATAGAGATCAATACTTTCTAAGTCTGTGCTACGCTTATATACATCGCGCTGTCGCCAATTCGGCGACGATAGTAGGGATAGAAAGAGAACTCCCGGCTTGATGAATAAGTACTACGACGAATCACTTTCGAAGCACCCAGTTGCATATTTCTTGGTAGCTACGCCTTGAAGTCGAAGGTTTTGAAGCCTGGTCGAATTGTATGGCAGCCCGTAGAAGCCTCACAATCATACCTATTGGATGCCCTGTAGGACAGAAACATGATCATTTTTGTATCATCATGGATCTACAAGAGTCTCAATTTGAGCGCTTGTAGAGTTCGGTACATATCTAATGACGTTCGTGATGCACTTTCGTCAGCGGATTCCTCTGTTCCGTATCAGGAACAGGTTGAGTTTATTTGCCTTTTTCGTTGAAAGTGGCGAATGGTGGCTGAACTGTGGATTGATATTTCGGGCATCACCGATGCTTTGTTCGGCCGAACGGCGGCAAGTACATTCCATTCCGGGGTGGAAGATTACATCTGTAGATATAAACTATGGGGCTGCAAGGGTTCACGAGAGAGGTATCGTTATGTCATGGCACATCATGCCAACAGGGATAAGCAGATGACATAGTACTTCTCTTTGATCTATACCTACAGTACAGCTCACAGCAGTAGTTTCAGAAATGTGCCACATTGTTCTCGAAAGATCCTTGTACCGTATAGCATTGGATGGTATGTGTGTGGTGTGATGTCATCAGACTACGAGTTTCGTCGTTGACTGTTAATTCCGGGATTCCTGAAATGTGAGGCACTGGTTCCGCCCACCGCCCACCGCCCCGGTCCGATGATGCACGCGACTCCACTTGGTTTCCCCCCTGCACCACTCATAGTGTCTACGCCATTACCTCCTACGCACCCTGCCCGCGGAGGTATCCAGTACGGAGACACTCGACCACCACACAACGGTCGTTACTGTTGCCAACGACTCGCCACCTTATTTGCAGCGGTACCGAGTACTCGGGGGCTTCTTTCGACAGAAGCAGAAGGGTCCTTAACTCAGCCACCAAAAAGCTCTGCCCTTTCTACCCCACCTCGTCCACCTTCGTCCACCGTATTCCACAGTGGTTCCCCGGTTGTCGCTGTTGGCCGAGTTCCAGTTTCTCTCCCATCTCCAGCTTTGGATCCAATCATCGTTATCCGCCGGCGAGTGCTCCCCCAATCGTGAACGCCACATCAAATCTGTGCCCTGGTCAGCTCCGTCGCGTTTAACCAGTCCGGCGGTGCCCATTCTCTGCCTCTCCGAGTCCCCGGGGGAGGTTGACAGGCGATCAGCACATCATTCCCTATTTGCATTGGGCCCCAAAAGCCGCACATGCCTTGTCCCGAGGAGTCCGACCCCCCCGAAGCACTGGACACTGGAAAAAGGATAGCAGGCCCACGTTTTCTACGTCTCTCCGCTGGTAGCCCCTCCATAGGGCTTTTTCTTCCCCTCTCCAGTCGGACTTTGTCGGTCTCTTCAGATCGCCGGCACATCCACTCCCTTGGGAATATTACCATCTTCTTCACCCTCACCCTCACACCTACGCGCCATCTTTAGCCACCGCGAGGCTCTCTCTTCCTCTTGTATTTTGGATCGACAATCGGATTACCCCTCCCGTGGGTGCTATCCCTGACCTGATGAGCCCAGTTGCAAAGATCCACCCTACCTTTTTCAGGATTCCAACCATCCTTCATTTATTGGATATTCGATAATCAGTCGCGGTGGGGAGATCGCGCCGGGAATAATTATCCATTATCTTTCTTTTTAATCAAGGGTCCTCGCTTCGGCTTCTCGTCACAACACGCCAGAGAACTGCCATCTTGCCTCGTGAGTCCGATTTGTTGCTCAACACCCGCCGATCTAGAACGACCAACTATCCCACCGCCGCTTCGTTCGATCCATTCGCAACCTCCGCACCCCGCGCCCCCCCTCCCCCTCCGACGCCACTCGCTCGCGGGCAGTTCTCGCGACGGCGGCCTCTTCCTTCCCTTCCTCGAACGACGCGCACGTCAAATGTCGTCGCAAAGCCCCCAAACCTCGAGGCCGGGGACCGCAAGGAAGCGGTCGGAGAGTGCGTCGGCTCCATGGCCTGCCTCGATTGATTCCTTCGACGCTCAGCCTGGGAGCAGAGACCGCTCGCAATCCGTGACGCAAAATGAAGGTCCGCGGCAAGCACCGAGTGCAGAGTTGGATGGCTCCGATCGTGTGTTTCCCATTCGGTCGGTTGTCTCTGTTGACCCGACCGCGGCCCAACATGCTTTGTCCCACGCGGTCTCGCCAACCCGCGAAGGTGCTCGCCAGTACTCGATCATCGACCAACATACTTGGGAGAACCTACAATCCCAGCCCCAACCAGTTCAAGAAACCACTGTGCCTACGGACACCCTGCGCCACGAAACGTTTGCTTCCGACGATAAGACCGAACTGGCCACCCACTCCATGGCATCCCGAGTTGCCGAGCATCCAGAGATATACGCAAAGGTCGAAAATGACTGCCAGTCTGCAAGCAGCGGTACTCCTCAACCATCATCACACGCACCGGCGGACTACAACGAGTCTTATGGTCATGTCACAGCCCGGTTCAAACATGTCATGACCGACAGTGGTCATGCCGTCATTACAGGGCGAGGCGGGGAATCCTTTCAATATTGCGAGGATGAGCCTATCCGCATTCCGGGAGCTGTACAGAGTTTCGGGGTCATGATCGCGTTGCGAGAGGAGTCCCCAGATCAGCTCGTGGTTCGGGTTGTAAGCGAAAATGCCCACCAATTTTTGGGCTATTCTCCCCGGGAGCTCTTCGAGCTGAAAAGCTTTTGTGATATTTTAAAAGACGACCAAGCCGATTCACTACTGGATCACATCGACTTTGTCCGTGACGACGCTTATGACCCCTGTGTGGACGGGCCCGAAGTGTTTGGCTTGACCATCTCCACACCGGATGGCGAGAGCCGCCGTTTCTGGTGTGCGACGCACGTCAGTCAGACGCACAAGGATTTGATTATCTGCGAAATGGAGTTGGAGGATGACGAGATTAACCCATTGAATATTGGTGGATTGGAAACCCCTTCTAGTCCAACAGGAACGCTGGGGTCGTTCCCGACCCCCGAGCAATTCGCTGGTAGCACCGTCAACATCAGCCAACCGCTTCGAGTACTCCGCAACGCGCGACGAAGAAGGGGCGAGGCTGCAGCCATGGAGGTTTTTAGCATGTTGTCACAGATCCAAGAGCAACTAGGTCGAGCCAACGACCTCGATACTCTTCTGAATACTACAGTTGGATTGGTCAAGGAGCTGACAGGTTTCCATCGCATTATGATTTACCAGTTTGACAGCAGTTGGAATGGTTTGGTTGTGGCGGAATTGGTCGATCCCAAAGTCACCGTTGACCTTTACAAGGGTCTTCATTTTCCAGCCTCCGATATTCCTGCCCAGGCGCGGGAGCTGTACAAGGTCAACAAGGTCCGACTGCTTTATGATCGTGACCAGATCACCTCACGACTTGTGTGCCGGACACTGGAGGACCTTGAGACCCCTCTTGACATGACTCACTCTTACTTGCGCGCAATGTCACCCATCCACATCAAATATCTCGCTCACATGAAAGTCCGATCGTCAATGTCTATCAGTATCAACGCTTTCAATGATCTTTGGGGTTTGATCTCGCTTCACTCGTACGGAAACTTCGGTATGCGTGTTTCGTTCCCGGTCCGCAAGATGTGCCGTCTTCTCGGTGACACCGTTTCGCGGAATATCGAACGTTTGTCATACGCATCTCGTCTGCAAGCTCGAAAGTTGATCAACACTGTGCCGACCGAGGCCAATCCATCTGGCTATATCATTGCTTCCTCTGACGATCTGCTACAATTGTTTGATGCTGACTACGGTGCTCTGTCTATTCGTGACGAGACGAAAATCTTGGGTGACAATACTCACTCCCAAGAGGTCCTTGCTCTTCTCGAATTCCTCCGTATGCGCCAGATGAACACGGTGCTTGCCTCACATGATATCATCAAGGACTTCCCAGACTTGCAATACGCCCCTGGTTTAAAAGCGATCTCCGGATTGCTGTACGTTCCACTATCAACAGGTGGCAGTGACTTTATTTGTTTCTTCCGTAAAGGTCAGCTCACGGAAATTAAATGGGCCGGCAATCCGTACGACATTGCAAAGCGGAAAGAAACGGCTGGATTTTTGGAGCCACGCAGCAGTTTCGCGGCATGGCGAGAGACCGTTCTTAGCCAATCGCGCGAATGGTCTGAATCGGATGTCGAGACGGCTGCGGTGCTCTGTCTTGTCTATGGTAAATTCATCAAGGTGTGGCGACAGAAAGAAGCAGCCATGCAGAATTCCCAATTCACCAAGCTTCTTCTCGCGAACTCTGCACACGAGGTTCGTACTCCTCTCAATGCGATCATCAACTACCTGGAGATCGCACTGGAGGGTGCCCTAGATTCGGAAACTCGAGAAAGTTTAACAAAATCGCATTCTGCATCCAAGTCCTTGATCTATGTCATCAACGATCTACTGGACCTCACCAATACCGAAAAGGGCCACGATCTCATCAAAGACGAGACCTTTGATCTTCAGCTTACTTTGCGCGAGGCGACTGATATGCTTGCCGGTGAAGCCAAGCGCAAAAACATTTCATACACTGTGTCTTCCAAGCCTGGCCTGCCTCGGATGGTGGTTGGCGATCAACGTCGCGTACGTCAAGTATTCTCCAACCTCGTTTCCAATGCCATTCAACAAACCAGCTCCGGCGCCGTAACTGTTGAGATGTGGCGGTCTGGCACTCAGGACATGCCTGGACACGTGGCTGTGGAGATGATGGTCTTGGACACGGGAGCTGGAATGTCAAAATCCAAGCTTGAAGCCATCTTCCATGAGCTTGAGCAAGTCTCCACCGATGATAATCACCACGAGGAGGAAGATCCCGCGACTGTGCAAAACCCAGAGAAGAAGCGGGCGCTGGGGCTTGGGCTTGCCTTAGTTGCAAGAATTGTTCACAACATGCAGGGTCAGTTAGGAGTCAAATCGGAGGAGGGCAAAGGTAGTCGGTTCAAGATTCTTTTGCCATTCAAATTACCAGAGGGAATGTCGATGGAAATACCGCCCGATGCTGTCATACCCAGCTCCGCGACTGTTCCCCCCACACCTATGATCTCTGATCGTGAATTCACCCTGGTGGGTGGAGTCGTTGAGCGTCGTGAAGGCCGACGACTCAGCTCTGAAAGTCTTCGCAGTGGAGGTAGCTCTCGCAGCGGTCGCAGCGGCAAGAGCCACGCCGATCGTCTGATCAGTGCCATACAAGAACCTGCCCTGGTTCAGCGCGCCTTTAGTGACAGCTCCGATGCGCGTCAGGTCAAGCTGTCAACCAGCCCGCCCGTGAGCTCCAGCCATTTTTCGGCACCCATGACTTCGCCGCGGTCAAATAGCCTTAAGAAGGCATCTTTTGCCCAAGATCCGTTGGCTAGCCTGGCGACAGTCACCCATACACCGCCATTAGTCTTGCAGCCGTTCAGGACACCACCTGCCCCGGGTACCGCAAATGTCACCGATTCTGGTGTGCCAATGGGAGCTGTCCGGGTTTCCGAACGAGATGTTCAGCGTAGGGCTACCCAGCAGGCTGAGGATCAATCATACTTCCCTCCCATCCCGATCTATGAGACTGAAAACTCGATCATGACTTCGGCGTCTGCCGTCCCTTGTTCAACTACGCCTACTTCGGTCCTTGCTGCAACTCCCTCGCTGCTCCATGTCCTTGTCGCAGAGGACGACCCCGTCAACAGCAAAATCATCCATAAAAGATTAACCAAGTTGGGTCACACCGTTGTACTTACCAGCAACGGTGAAGCTTGCGCGAATGCATTCACCTCAGCCAGCCAAAAATTCGACGTGGTCCTCATGGACCTCCAAATGCCTATTCTCGACGGGATGGTGGCAACCAAGATGATTCGTGAATTTGAATCCAAGACTCCAGATGCGCTGTCATGCAACGTTCGGCAGAACGAACGCATCCCTGTGTTTGCCGTGTCGGCTTCGCTGCTCGAGTCGGAGAGGCAGACATACATCGATACAGGCTTCGATGGCTGGGTCATGAAGCCAATCAATTTCACACGGCTCAACGTTCTATTAAGTGGCATTTCTAACCGTGAAGCAAGGGCTGCAACCTCATACGAGCCTGGTCAATGGGAGAATGGCGGTTGGTTCAATACATGATCAAGGCCTCCGCAAAACCAATTCTCCGGCCCAACCAAAAGTTCCTCGAATACGCCTTTTCTAATTACCACGCACGGCGTTCGGTTTCTCTTTATCAGCGACACTTTCCGCTCATCATCGTTCCTCCTCATAACAGGCAATACATCACGCCTTGGATGATTTTATGGGTCTTACGAATATTTCCTTTCTCAATATACCTGTTTCATATGATATTTGATTGATGACTGCTTATCATTGTTTCTTCATACTTGTATTTTCTATTTTCTTGTTTTCACTGGGGGTGCGGATGTATCGTGGAGCGCTTATGGTTGAGCTGTTTGTCCTCATACCCCCTCGAAGTTAGTCATAATCTTGTATCATATTGGGATGGTTGATTGTCGCTCATAAGTATACAAGTCAATGCAATACAGTCATCCATGAAGACAAATTTTCATTTTGTAGGAGATATTCGATCACGTCAAGCATGTGAATGTAGGATTCTTGGAAATGCGTTGAGACTTGACCAGGTCTTACATGAACGAAAGCTGCCTTTAGTTCCCGAGGATGGGACAGGCGCTGTTTTAAAGGAGCTGTTAGACCTTATATCGTTACAGGTAGGTTGGACACAGGAAAATGTAAATTAAAAGCAGATAACCATCCAGTGAACGTAAAGCACAAATGGGTATAGAACGAGACAACGGATAATGACCACCCACAAGAAGCCATAGAACAGAAATGATCGCCACTAAAAAGAAAAGAAGGCCATCCCAAAGCTCGAAGAGACCACCCAAAACGAGGAGACCGAACACATAAAATGACAGAGCCATGGTGAAGGGGTGAAATGATGAGCTTAGTAGAAATACAAAACTTTTGATACAAGATCAAAGACTCGACTGAAGAATAAGCAAATGTCAAAGGCTAGCTCGATCTTGGCGACTCGAGCAGCCTCATCTCCACTGAATATTTTGTTTCCGAAGGTCCAATACGCGGTCGAGAAAAATTCTCGGAGGAAAGTGTCGAAGGGGATAGAACACAAGTCCCGACGCGGCTGATCACGTTGTCATTCAAGGATGTCTCGCGAAGAGCCTCGTGGAAATCGTGTGTACTGTTTGGTTCGGATAGCGACTGATCATGAGACACACCGGTATGGACAAAGCCGGGCATTTCCTCGATATCCATCCTGGGCGCCCGTCGTGCGGAGACCATGTCGAAGATGTTTCTATCACTTGATCGGCGCGGACCGCCGGCATGTTGCTGGGATTGCTGACAGGCGTAGGGTTGCGTGCGGGTGAGGGAGCGTAGACGGTTGAGGACCGAGAATTCGAGTTTGAGTTTGATGCTGTATGCCACTGTTTTGAAGCTGACTTCGATGTAGTGTAGTTTGTATTCGACAATCAGGAGGAGGCAGTTGAGTATGACGACGACGACGTTTACCCAGATGAGATTGATGATGACTTTCTGGCCTTCTTTACCACGTACTTCGAGGACGGGGCCTAGAGCGCGGAGGGCCTCGCGGATGTATATGCCGCAGATGACGAAATCTTGGATGCAGAATCCTGTTACTTGAATGCGGTCGAAGATGGCGGCCGCGCGGGCGAGGGTGGGGTTATTGCTGAGGATGAAGAACAGCACCGTCATGGGAATGTGGAAGACCAGGGCGTTAATGATGATCATCCACAGGACCCATCTCAGCTTGTTGATATCGGAGACGACAAGGTGGAGTCGAGAGTAGAGGACGAGGGCTTGGCCTGTGACCATGGCATACCAGCCGATGATGAAGGGGATAGACATTGGCAGACTTGGAGCCACGGAGATAAATCGGATCATAGCTGGAATTGCATGAACGAGAATCCCCCAAGAAGCGATTTGCATGCTCCAGAAATATAGTCCACGGTAGTGCTTGAACATCTCCAAGGTCACGATCCCGGTCTCGACTGCATTGTACGCGCCTATTGCAAACATGGAGACAACCTGCAAGATCCCGAAGTTGTTCCACAGGATCGCCCCCACGTCCGGGGGTAGGCTGCTCAGCACATTATCCATGCTGGAATGGGGCAGAGGGTATAAGTCTTGATGTCTTGTCAAAGGATAAACATGGAACTCTGCACGAGCAGAGAAATGAAAGGAGACATGGGAGCCCGGGGGATATGGAAGGAACAGGCTAGTGTATAAAAGACACACCGGCAACTATTCGATCAACAGGGAGGCGATTGTGTCAAAGGCACGAAGTCTAAAGGACAGTGCACGACCACGGCTCATTCCGTGTGGTCCGCGCTGCCATCGGATTCTGGGGTTTGCTGCTTGGTCCGAGTGCCAGATTTTCAGGGCCCCGACCGGTTCCAGCAGGATAAGGTTGGGCTCCAGTAGATTACAACGGCGCGTGGTCAGGAGCCTCGATAGAGGATCGAGTCATTGTGGAGTCCGCATCTTCGCATCATTGGGACGTATATCGTGTGATAGCGGAGGCGCCAGCTACGAGGGATGTGATTGCACTATCTGTTCACCGACAGCCGAACAGCGGATGACAGGTTGAGATGAGATCTCCGTAGGATCTCCAGCGCTATGAGGGAAAGGGGCGATTGAGGAGATCCATCGCACTTTGGCGATAGTATGGAGTAGCTCAGCCGTCTGTCATGGCCCGTGGAAGAAGCGAGTAATCAGCATTGTGATTGCTCCCCGCGTTCTACCACATGTCGAAAGAAATGACATTTATTGGCTCTGATGATAAAAGGACAGCTCCAAACGTCGAACCGGCAATTCGGAGCTATTTGGGTGTTGAGCCAGGACGCGGTGGGGTTGGCGTTTCGGTAGAACAAAGAAAGTGGCCGCGGCTGGCGCACCTCTCAATTGGTGGATGTCAGTGGCGTTTGCCAGGACGAATGACAGTCTCACAATTTCAGAATCTAGTTGATTGCTATTGCGCTCAGGATCGGCAGAGTTTAGACTTCATGGTATTTTCTTTGTGCGAAAGTCCGACTCTTCTGGTCTCTGATATCAGTGGCCGTTGTTGAGGGTTGATTGTGATGGGTGGATTCTATCGGGGTTTGAACCGTTAAGGTGATAGGAAAAAGCGAAGAAGTGGTAAATCACAGAATGAAGCCACGGAGATCCAGTTTCAGACATAATGAGTATTCTGGGAGACTTCATAAAGAAGAAATGGAGTCGTAGTTAGAGATGACGAAGTAAATAGAAAACCAAAAACCAAGAAAAGGACCGACGTCAAGCGGCAGATCAGGTGGTCCGTGCGGCGGATGGCCAAGTCGAGCTTCGTCAGTTCCACAGGAGCATCACACCTGCACCGAGCACAGCATGGTGTCTTTCTGGCCCTGGAAGGTGAGTCTGGCCTTCTGAACTAAGTTTATAGTACACCGCTAACTTATACCAGGGCGAGGACAACTCCCCCGCGTCGTTCGAAAAGACGCTGTCGACCTTGTCTGCCAAGATCGCCCAGGTCACCACGCGACTCGACCAACAGCGCCAAACAGCCCGTCGCTTCAAGGCTCTGTGGACCCTCTATTCGACATTTGCATATCTCTTCTACTCGATCGTACTTGCGCTAGTACTTGGATGGGAGAGCTGGGGTGTCAAGGAATACGCCGCCATCGCGGGTGGTCCAGTGCTGTACGTATCCGGCTGACTCTCGTCTCGGCGTGAGAGGTCGGCTGACACCATCTCTCTTCTTCTAGGATATACGGAGTACGAACGGCCGGAGCTCGTCTCTTCGAATACCGCATCTCCCGAAGCCAGCGCCATCTCGACGAGCTGAACAAACAGCGCGACCAGACCATTGAGAAGCTCAAGGTCGCGACCAAGTACAACTCTACCCAACAACTGCTCGAGAAGTATGGCGGCGAGTCACCAAAGACGAGTCCCAATCCCAAGGGTAGTCCCGATAGCCGCAAGCAAGCTACGCCTTCGCAGAAACAGCAGCAGCAACAGCAACATGTAGCCCGCACGGGACTACCTCCCCCTCCAACCGCCAACATCCGCCGTCCTCCTCCTGGCCAGCCTCCTATCGGGCCAGGTATCCCTCCCTCGCCTCCTTCCTACCAAATCACCAAACAACAACAGACTCTGCCAAACGCACCCTCCACACCTCCCCTTCCTCAACAATTCATCGACGAGCCGGGCTTCGCGCCAAACGCGTTCCCTAGTTCCGGGCAGTATATCGAGCAACCACACTGGTATGATAGATTGCTGGATGTCCTGCTGGGTGAGGATGAGATGCAGCCCCGTAACAGGATGGCCATGATCTGTGGCTCGTGTCGTCTGGTGAACGGCCAGGCACCACCGGGCATCAAGACTCTCGAGGAGCTGGGTCGCTGGCGGTGTGGGAGCTGTGGGGCTTGGAACGGCGAGGAGAGCGAGACAACGAAGATATTGTCGACCTTGAGACAGAATTCTGATCCCGCTGAGGATCTATCGGGTTCGCTCTTGACTACGGGGCCTGATGTTCAGGGTGGAGATGTTAGTGATGAGGGAGTGATGGTCGCTACTAGTGAGGAAGATGAGCAAGGGGATGAGGATTTCGATGATGCGAAGGACGACGAGTCGAATCAGAAAGAGGAACCCCAGACAGAGCCGGTTCGTCGGTCAAAGCGTGGCAAGGGCAAGCAGTAAATCTTCTTTTTAGTATTATAGTTTCATCTACGCTGCATTAAACTAACGCCGTGTACGGCTACGCGCAATTGAACAAGTCTACATTCTCGGGCAATACCATCCTTGTCATAGTTCTTCATTTAAATTCGTTGTCTAAATGTATCTCCAGGAACGTCATTCCTGTGAGTTCGTCATTCTGCACGCAAGAATAGAACTAAACCCCCGTCGTACCAGATGGAATATGCGTCCACCAAGAGTGTGATTCGAAAACTCGCTCGTTCGTAGATCAAAGCAATACGTCTGACTTTCTTCTCGTCAGTTCTCTTGAGGATCATCAATCATGTCACCGTTGTAGGGATCCTCGTGACGGTCAGGTTGTCGATTCAAGCAACTGCCTCTGCTAATTGTCCCGCCTGGAATTGTTCAATGACCCACAACGCCGTCTTAATCTCAGCCTCATCAGCAGAAGCACATCCCTCGATGACCGCAACTTGGTCTTTATTCATACTTGCGGTACAACGGTACGTCGCAGCAACCCCCTTTGCTTCGACCCGCCTCGACTTGAAAATCAACTGGCCACACGTCTTGCCCAGCACGTCCTGTGCCTTGTTTCGAGGATGTTGGACATCGATGTTCTCTGCAATGACACGCCGTAGATATGGAAGTAATCCCAGCCTCTCAAGGAAGGCCGTGCAATGACCGAGACTAACATCAGCACCCGAATCAAGGAATATCGCGCCCAGGGTGCTTTCCACGATGTCTGACATGAATTTGTCTGGGCGAAGACGCGAGAATAGTTCCCACGGATACTTGGATCCGCATTGCAGTTCGTGGAGAATTTCTTCTCGTAGTTCCCGGTGTCGCGCTACAGATGCATCTCGGGCAGCCCCAATGACTGGTCCATTATAGCGCAGAAATTTCCATAGTCCAGTGTTGTCAACGGTCATCTCCATGCAAAGGAATGCCAAAAGTCCGGCGTTGACGACGGAATGCTTGATCATGGTCATCTTGCCTTCGGGCAACTGCTGGTTTAGCTCTGCCAACACGGTGACAACTGCCATGTCAAGGACTGCATCACCTAGGAACTCGATGCGCTGGTATGATTGAGTTTGCATATCATGCTCACAGGACGAGTGGGTCAGTGCCTCGGTTAGAAGTGAGGCATCTTGGAAGGTGTATCCAATCAGTCTGCCGATGATCTCTGGATCCACAAGCTTGTTCACGAGATTTGGGTCCTGCTCTCTCGTTGGAATAGTTTCGGGAATCTCTATCTCCGGCAAAAACCGGTGCAGACAGGCCTGTGCCCTTCTCATACCGCCATCCATGTATGCGGCACCGATCAATGCTTCAACGACGTCTGCCAGAACCTTCATGGATAGCTTGCGCGTCGGCCGGCTAGCTGCCTGTGCGGATTTTCGGGAGATCAATGGTGGTGTCCATTTGCGAGGTGTAAACCGGTCATTCAGGATGAACTGATCAAGACCAGTATCCAGCGCAGCCCGCGCAAGCCGTTGGTTTTTGATGAGCTTATCACGGCTTTCGGAAAGATACCCCTCGTGCCATGTTGGCTGCGCAAAGAACAGATGACAGCTCACCGTGAATTTCAGGACGGAATCGCCAAAGAACTCATAAAGCTGGTAGTGGGTCGGCGCCTGGGCGAGAGGCGTGGTAATCGCCGTCAAAACATGACCCAGATTGTGATTACAAGCGCCCTTCAGGATGGTCTCGTTAACCCTGTGCGCAACCATAACAGCTTCGAAACGGTCAAGAATCGCGGATATGAAGAGACCAAACTTAGACTTCTTCCATGGAAGTTTGTCAACTGTACAGCCTGCGGCTGGGACGACATAAATCTTGGGAGGAGCTTCCTCCGTTTCGTCCGCTAGCTGAGACGGGTTTCGATACTGTAGAAGATTTCGTCGCTTGGGCAAGTTTCGACATTCAATCTCCAAGCCTTCTAGCTCATGCCACATACGAAAGAGCCGCGGCTCGCTGTACTTTGCTGTATCACGAATAATACCAATGGGGGAAATCTCGTGATCGCGCGCATAGAGATCTACGGCTTTTTCGGTGCCTTCGTAGCGCTGGATCCAAGCTCCAAGCTGCTGCACTGGTATGGTAGGGACAAAAGGAACCACATAGTCTCTGTCAGTTCCCTGCAAGCGAGACGATGGGGCTTGAAGGAACATGGCGGTAATTATTCTCATGTGTTGGATAATATCCGCTGTTGGCATCGGGCTGATGGGCTGACTTGTTCCAAAAGTCACGGTCATGCTGGTTTCATTCTCCCAAAAGAATGTCAGAGGATCTGGTGCGGGCACCCTTCTAGGAAGTACGATCGACATCAGCAGGTCCTCATCTACAGCACCAGTGCTGTTGTCTGTTACGGTGATGGTTGTTTCATGAAGCTCCTGCATCACCCAGTCTTGAGCCAAATCAACGTAGGGATCATATTGCACGGAGCATTCGATCAAAGCTGGCATGGACATCTCTTCCGTGAATCTGAGCTCTGGTTTTCGGTTCAGTGGTAAAAGGTTATCATTTACCAATCCGTACTCCCAAAGAGCTTTGTAGGCCTGAAACGCCGCCTCCTTTCTAGCTGCGTTCTCGGTGCGCCACCAGCGCTTACCCTGAGTTTGACGAACCGCCGGGTGAACTGAATTGGGAAGACTGACTATGCCACGAAGGAGACCAGTCGAGTCCTCTTCAAAGGAGAACATGGGACGATTGTCCACGTACTGATCGAGGGGTAGTAAGGAGCAAAAGTGGTGGAGATGTTGCATGGCATCGCCTGGAGAAATTCGAGCACTAATGTGGTGGTCAGAATCGATTCTAGGCAACAAAGAGATGGCATTTACCTTGTGGAGGAAACAAATAGCCACTCATCGAAGACCTCTTGCGTAACCTCGAGCATCAACGCCTCTTGCCGTTGCCTCTCCTCATTCTGATAGGCTGCAATCATCGTTTGTTCTAGAGCTTGCCATTTCGATAAGCTAAGCGAGTCGTCATTGGTCGACAGCATAATAGCATAGGTCGAGTCCTCATGTCGTGCTCTTCCGCGTCGCTGAATGAACGACTTCAGATTTGCTGGCTTGTCGTAACAAATGACCAAGCGGCATGCGCTGACATCCAGCCCTTCTTCGAGGACGTCAGTGCCAATAATCAGGTTCTTTCTCCCAGCTTTGAATTCGGATAAAGTGTCGCGTTGCATTTCTCGAGCGAGCAAGTCACCCAACGAGTCTTTCGAGGTGGCGTTGTTCGACCATCCAACGAAAGATGCACAATGGAATCGGTCTTTAGTCGCAGGATGAAGCGACAATAGTCGAGTCAGGACGCTGACTACCGCTCGTCGTCTGACGAATATTATCCCTGAAAACTGGGCATGATCCATTCTCTCAAGGAAGGAAAGCAGTATCTCCAGTTTTGGGGAAATGTGGATGCCGTCTGTAGTATCCTCAGGCACCGGCATGTCTAGTAGGAGCTCAAGGAGGTAGACTCTCTCTGCCAGATCCAAGGTCGTCAATGAGCCATTGCTTTCAATTGATCGTCGAAGTTGGTCGATCGATTCTTGAATGAAATAGTCGGCCGCCCAACCACCAAGTTCAGCATACATGTGATAAGCTCGCTCAAGGAACTTTGTCAGCTGCTCACTGCAAAACGTTTGCCCAGTTCTGAGAATTTTCTCTGCCTCGGCTGCTTTCTCTGGCCTTTCTTTAATCATACCAAAGTAAGGGTCCTCTTGAATGTCGTATGCTTTGACAAATTTCGCAAGAGATGGTAGCAGTCTGCTTCCGACAACACCTTGTTCAATCTCGTAAGGTGGGTAAGGGATACACTCTAGCCGCGGGCGATGGACATGCCTAAGTAGCTCAGATCTATGTTTTCGTGGTGTCCTACAAACGGCATTCAAGTTTGCTTCAATCATCCTGCAAAGCTTGTCAGTGGATTAAAACACCGTTGAAGTTGAATGTCAGCTTCATTCACCGTAGTTCCTTTGGATTGGAACGAACGATAGGACTCGCGGTGAGTCCCAGAATCCGGGGAACGGCATCTGGGCCGAGTTTAGAAAGCGCCGGGTGGTAGTGGTACTGCATGATTTTGTTCGCCGGGTGGCCTCGTGTACAATGATGAGCTAGCGAGTCGTGTATGAATTAGTGCTCCGGCTAGCCTTAGGTGCGACTGGGTCCAATAATTACCCTCGTCGAATACCAGCAGGGCCAACTGTGACATGCGCACGAACCCATGATTCAACGCATCGGACAGAACGGCGTGTGTCGAACAGACAACGCGAATGTCTTTGAGGGCATTATTCCAGATGGCCTGTTCGGTCCACCTATCTACATTGTCGGCACCTATCAACACTCGAGTTTTGACAGATGGAATTTGAGAAGCAATAACATCGTGTTGCTGAAGACATAAGGCCACTGTTGGTGCCAGAAACCACACCAGCTGCACATGTGTATTAGCCAAGTCAAAGTAAATGATTACTTGGATAACCTTGAAGACGAGAGAAATCGGAAACTCACCTTGTCTGCAGAACATCGCTCAAGCTCGGAAATGATGCGCAGAACGGCGCTAGCATTTATTGGTCAGAGAAATGTAGAAACGTATTAAAAGCCGAGGCATACATACATCTGGGTTTTCCCACTGCCAGTGTCCATCTACAAGGTATCGGAATCAGCGCAAAATGGTAGAAGTGCCTCCGATAGATAGACATACCGCTACAATGATATTCTGACATTGACTGACTTCGAGCATCTCCAGTTGATACCCGCGGGGCTTATACACAGCTGTATCACAGCCACCCAGATTGACAGGGACGGCGGAAGCCTCATCAGGGCTCTCATCCATAGCGTCCATTGTGGAATGAAAAAGATGGAGAAAAGAAAATGAAACAGAACAAGCGAACGAAAGGTAAATGGGAATGGAAATGGAAGGAATGGGTGGCCCGAGGCCCAACTGGGAGGAGGAGCTGATCTCAAAGTAATCAGGAGCCAACAAAGTGAGGCGGGTTTTGGCTGGCGGGGGCCGCTTATCGGGCCTTATCGCGACGGCGGTAACCCCACCAATCAGCTTCCCAGCACCACGACTATGGACAGGCATGAGGCTGAAAAGAGAATCTATCAGGCAACGGGCATCTTTTTAAATGTAGGTGCTGCTGTTAGCTGTACCTTTATCTGTCTCGGGCAGAGATTATAACTATCTCGGCATAGCCAGGCTTGTGATACATGTTTGACTGTCGGATCTAGGTATAGGTGTGAAGAAATATATCACCCAACTGGCAGATCTGGAGAGGGCTCCACTGGCAAGTATTGTCGACCAGCCGGCTGCTGAGTCTATATAGAAGTTTGTGCTTGGAGTTTTAGCGGTAATTTATAGACTATCTACTTGAATAGATCGCTTGGAAATCCTCAGAATCCCAAGACCAGTTTGATTGATGAGTTGTTGAGGAATGGCTGTGTGATAATTAGGTATGTGGTCCGATTTCCAACCGTCCTGTCGAAAAGGTGAGCTAGCGGACCGGCGGTCAGAAAGTCGATTCCATTTGGCTGTGAATAGGTGCTGATGGTAACTTCAATTCTCAATTCTCGACAAAGTCGAAAAGTAGAAGAATAATTTTGGAGTATTGAGAAGTACGATAAACAATAAAGTGAGATAAAACATGGCTACACTAAAGCAATTTATCACGGGTTTGCGGTATCATATCGATGGTATTTCAAATCCGCCAAGTAAATTAGTATAGCTTTCAGTAATATACATATGAGACTGGTCTTCTTCGGTGACTGTACATCAACAGAATCAACCTCATGACGATATAATTTAGCAGCCCTTGTTCGAAGCGAAGCACCGGTTCGGGATATTATATCCTCTCACTAGGGACGACCCGTCCACTATGCTCACCATCTTCTCGAGAATTTGTCTCGGGCTCGTAATGCAAACTAATATTAGTAGTCTTGATGATCGACCCTTCCTCCATTGATAGCATATTCTCCTCGCTATCCTTGCTGTGCATCACGGCCCTCCCTTGTGTCATGTGACGATGTTGAGTCGCGTGCTTGGAAAACTTCGAGCTTGATTGTAGTTCGGTTAATCGGATGACGTTGCTGGATTGGGGACCGGATGAGGATTTGACGGTTGAGAGGAGGCGTCGGAATATGATCACGAGTAGCGGGCGGATTGGTGGGATGGAGCCGACGATTAGAACGACCCATTTCTCGGTTCTGGAGGGATTTATTGGTAAGTTGGTGGTTCTGGGTTTGAATTTAGGAGAGTAATCGTCGTACTCATTCCATGTACTTAGCAGTGCGAGATAGTCTGGGAAAGGGTTAGCAGAAGTCTCCACTGATCGTGGACCCAGGCGACTTACAGGTAACGTCGTCTGTTTCAGAGAGAACGCGCAAGTACTATCAAAACAAATGATTAGTGCCATTCAATAGGTTGTCCACAGGGACAGAATGGGGAGTAACATACCGTGGTCTTGATTATAGAACATGCGCAGGCACTATGGAGAAAGATTAGCGAGGGAGACCGCCATAGGAAGAGAGATGAGATCATACATCACACCCAAACCCATCAATACGCAGAGACCAATCTTCACGCGCAGATTCAGTCGCACGTTCCAGAAGAAGAGGACTGGATATAAAGCCAGGATCAGATCGCATAGCGCGGACCAGCCTGCAAATATCGGCAGATGTTAGCAATAAGTCACAGAAATATCGAGGACTTCGGGGCAGAATACTGACTTCCTTGGAAATACGCCATGTTTTGATTTCGGATTCGCCCATCACATGTCCCCGCCAGATCGTCGTTCCACAATTTCCCTCGTGGAGAGCACTGGGTCATAATTATGCCGATGGTGATGCAGTTGAGGATCAGGTTACTGATGGCCACCCCCCATAAGAATGCAACTCGTCCGCGGTGATCTGGGCCATGAATTTGTTGAAGAAAGGCGACCAATGCCAGCTTGCCCGTTCCAGTTGCAAATATCCCCACCGTTTGGTTTATCCAGCTCCATTTTATGGCTGCGACAATCTGATCCGACGTGAGTTGATCTTCGTGCGTGCCGATACCATATCCGATACCGATCGTGAGGAAGATGGCGCTTATGATTGCAATGACCTGTAATTAATTCAATTAGCACGTTGACTATACCTTTCGAAAAGCGAGATAACCTCAAGGGAGGAAGGTAATGAGCGGATGAAGATAGTGCCATACAAAAGTCAACAAGGCCAGATACAGATCCGAGCGTATATGTCGAGTGATCTTCCACGTTGTGTACACTCTGGCTAGAATCAACACCGTCGCAATGGCACACTCAACCCACGTCACGATCATGAGGGTTAAGCCATAGCCTGCTAAGGCTATGGTGGTCGTCATCCTGGCCGATCCGACACACAACCGTAAGAATGGGAGAAAACGAAAGCAGAAGACATAAGAATATAAGATAGGTGAAACAACGATTCGGACGCGCAGACCCTGGTAAGCGCTGAAATTTCTGAGAAGACTTTCTATTTAGCCTTTTCTGCGACTTGGGTTTGAACTTTCCGTTCCTCTGGTTAAGGCCGCCACACTCGCAGCCCGGTCAGCATTTGAAAGCCACCCGAGATAGATTGGAGGGATGCGGCTTTATTCTCATAAAGAGAAAAGTATTGCTCAAACTGCCCTTAGAACCGAACGAAACACTTACAGGTTACAACTTGTGGTAGCTCCCCGAGTGCGGGGACCCCATCCCCCGCAATGGTCAAAGATAGATGCATATTAGCTAAGGCAGGGTTCCCGGGTAGAGAAACGATCGTGGAGTACCGAAGGCGTACCGTGGAACACGCGTCGTAAAGACCCTTCCAGTACCTGTGGAGTCAATTGCTGTCCCAAGGTTTCATGACCGGGGCATTGCCTCCAGGATCTTTTGCAATGGGCCTAGAATCCAACATCGATGGTATGTACGGAATCGATGCCGGCAGGCCCACGCGTGATAATTTGCACTTAGCTTCCTAGATCAGCCGGCGCTGGAACTATAGCCACGCGTCCGCAGCCGCGAAGCGATGCATAGTGACAGCTAGTGTTGCAAAACCATTCTCACTCAATAATGAGTCCAGATTATAAGTACATAAAAATGGGGTTGTTTAGTGATTCGAAACACCATTTCGTGTAGTCAACAACAATGGAATGATTCATGCATCATGCATAGGCTGTCGGGCTTTGCGATGGAACGCTCGCTGCATTATTGGCTGGGTGTGCTTCCTAGTGGAAACCATTGCTGGACGCCACGACCGCATTGGGGCGTGGTGGCCCCCGCAATTCCTTCCAGCCCTCCCAATGCCCAGGGACTTGCCCCTTTTCCACCCACACCACAATATCATTCAATTCGTCCAGCCCTGACATCCCTCGGAATTCGCACCATTTACAGATCGTACGGCTGATTCTTTACCCTCGCGATTTAAAGTTCATACCACAAGAGGCTATTTTGCGGGTGCGACTGCTATATTAGCATTTCGTACCGACAATGTGATACTCAATGGTAGCCACGAGGCCCCGTCTCTTCGTCGGAAATGTTCACCCATTCTTTCTGGAAACAATCTGACATGCTGTTTAGGTAGTAAAGTAATATGTACCACCGAATCCCACGGTAAGCCCCGGTGAAAATTTTCAGCCTACGCCCTACGGGTGGTCTCGAATCGACAGTCCTTGAAGACGGGGCTAGAACAAAGCATACTGGATGCACTGTGTAGTCTACCCGGTATCCCAACAACCGTCTTTGTTGTTGAAAAGCATTGAAAGCGGTACGCCTGTCAGCCATCTGAATATGATGCCAGCTTGATGGGATTGCTGTTGGGGCCTGTCTGGGTCCTCTGGCGAGTCAGTGATCACCCTTGCCCTGTCTCAGAAGGCCCACACTTTCTATCGGAAAGCCTGGGAACTAGCCGAGACGAATAGGAGGAATCAAAGAGTACCGCTCATTTAGGAATCCCTTAGAATATAACCGAGTTGGCGTCAGGTTTTAATGCCTCTAAACACCCCTCGACTTTCCCTGCATGGTCCTCGGCCGAGGGCCGTATACCCAGAAGCTTGTCAAGGGGCCTTGGAAGATTCCGAGCAACACGAGGAAAAGTAATACCCGTCATCCCAGGACTTTGCATCCCACAAATGCTCCAATGCGCCTTACAGGGTGACTGCTCCGCCCAGCTAACCTCGAATAAGCGATTAATGAGAGTTGGTCACGGAGGTTGCACCATACGATGTTGACAATGCCGAGTCGCCACTATCCCTAATTTATGACCAATATTAGATACCTGAAGTAGGTATGGTATAATGCGTGAGGCCCCTTTTTTTGTGTTTCGCCAATAGATAGTGTTGTTAAGATTGGTAGAGGTCAAAGATGTAGGGGACTATTGACGTAGACTAGATTCGAAAATACAGTAGCAGTTTTAGATATTGAAGAGAGCTAGATACCCTTCTAAGATAGATTCAGCGGATGAGTTTCAACGAGTTAGAAAGTATATTTGACGATACAGGTTGGAGAATGTATGATAGGTGGTAGGGAAAGGAAAGTACGACGTCGAGCTTGATTGAGAGCGTGATTTCTAAAAAATGACTAGATTTTGAACCCAACTACCGTGAAGCATTCCGACTATGTTCGAATGATGCTCCATGCAAAATCCGTGCAGGCTCCGTGCATTTCTCCTCGATGCGGCTCTGCTCGGCGCAATGTCGGGTGCTTGTTTCCCCGGTCGGACCATGCCAGCATTGTAGGATCGGAAAGCTCGTTACTCACACAATACGAGATATCCGATTCTCCTCATTCTACACCCTATGAAAAACATCCGCCAGTTTCCCTTACCATTGCGGCTCTTGCTGCACTCTCGCCAGCGCGTGGTGAAATACCTGCAATTATTCTCAGCCCGCATGGGCGCGTCGATGTCAGCGTTCCCGTCACCGCCTCTCCTGAGTCATCAACATCTCCCATCGGGTTTTCATCGTCGATACAGACAATCCTTCCCTGCCTGGGTATTTTCAAGACTGGGTGATTTGATACCTTCTACTTTGCCTTACCTCCAATTCCGTGATCCACCTCGCCGGTGGACCTCGGGCCACCACCCCACGGGGATGACCCACACGACCCCGGTGATCGTGAAGGTTCAGGGATCCTCCGATCATGGGTCTACTCTGAAAGAACAGATTCAATCCCTTCCAAAAGATACCAAGTACCTCGAAGTTGAAGGTGACACGCCTTCCGATGTAGAATGGTCCATTCTCGGTTCTCATTTCTCCAACGTTAAACGTCTCATTTTACGGGCTGGTTACAATGAAAATCTCAACGACAAGGGAATCCCTCTTCACTGGCCTCTGCAGAAACTCGAGATTGTCGATTCAGCCAGCGAGGTTTTCAAAAGCCCCTTCGTTCTCGAGGGCCGTGTATCCCATTTGAGTCTGTTCTTTACGTGTGGACTGCGCTTTGAGGGGCTGACCAGCGATGAAATCAAACGCGAGCATGATGAAGCCATCGAAAGTGGAGATGCCCAGGCGGAATATATCACAGTTCACGAAGGAATTCCAGAAGAGAAGAAGCTAAAATTCACTTATCTTCCAGAGCTGGTGTCCAGCCATATCAACAAGATCTACGCTGATCCGGAACGAGGGTTGAATGAGCCGCCAGCCGGCCCAGTGAACCTGGAGACGTTGGAGATCTGGGAGAATGATGCAATTGATACTTTCAATCGCATGGCCATATCTCTTCCTCATCAAGTGGACCATCTTCGCACGCTGCGGATCAGATCTACCGGTGGCATAGACTTTCATTATACCCACGAGTCTGTGTTCCGTGAGGTATTGCCACAACTCACGAATCTGAAAACCTTGATCCTCGCAGTCGGTGATATGTTTAACGACCCATCTTATCTTCCGACACTCTACAAAGTCCTTCCGCCCAATTTGACGGAATTATACTTCCGTGGGCCTTCTTCACTATGTCAGTCCACCGATTGGCTAGAATGGGTACAGGCTTTCGAGTCGAAGGAGTTTCTTCCAAATTTGCAGAAGCTGGCGTTTGTCCTGGATCTACACTGGGAGAAAGAAGAAGACTTCTGGAAAAAAGATGGGCCCGCTCCAGCGTCCTTGCTCGATCAAGCCCGCTCGGCGTGCCAACCTATCTACGACATTGCGAAACAGCGTGATATCAGCGTTGTAGATATGCCAGCGGAGCCAAAAAGTGCTCTGCTGCGCCCTGTTGATGAACGCTGGTCACAAGGTTAGCTTAAGGTTGCCTCATTTCCACCCACACATGCTACGAATCATGACCATCTCCTGCTACGAATCTACACAACTCCTCTCATCTTAAACCCAGCCCAAGACTCGATCTCTCCACTGGCACAATTCAAGCCAATAGCTATTGCATTATCATTCATCGGGTATATTATAAAACTTGTCTTGATATATTACGCATACCCAGCTTTCCCGGACTAGCCCCTATTCAGAACCGGGTATACATCTAGTAGACGTATCTGAAGTTCAGGTTCTCCCGATCAGTCTTATCCTCGAACGCGTGAATCAGGTTCGGGTCAGCGGCACTCAGATCCGCGGCCGCGACCAGCTCATCCTTGCGCTTGTTCTGGCGCTTCAGGTGGAAGCGCAGGAAAAGCACTGCTACGGTCAGGCAGGCGTAGCATGCGAGGTGGACACTCCACGCAATGTGGTAACGGGGTGCGTCCCGGTCCAGGAAGACTTGTGGGCCTGGAGGAGTACTGTTAGCGAGGGGATGTTATAGGGGAAAAGTTGGAGAGGAGGGGAGCGGGGAACGTACCGATAGCATTTCCGGTCGCCCAGGAGATGAACGTCATGGCGACGACGGTGGATTTCTTGGTTTGGCCGGCGATATTGCGGGAGACCATGGACAGGCAGAGGGTTTGGGCGGACCAGAAGGAGAGAGTGATGTAGTAGCTGATCAAGAGACCGACCTTGGTGGCCAAGGTTGTGTTCTCGACGGTCATCAGGACGATGGTACCGATGTAGGATCTGTCGTTGTATTAGCAAGCATGGTCGATAGAGGGCGTGAAGTTAGAGGGGGTAAAGGAAGGACGAGACACTCACGGGATCACAAAGCCCAGCATGACCAGCAAGTTCTGGTTAAACTTCTTCACCAACCAAGCCGATGTGAGCAGGATGATGATAATGTAGAAACCCAACACCATGGCCAACAGCTGGCTCTGTAGTGTGGTAAAGTTGAAGCTCTTCATGATAATACCGGCAAAGGCACCCAGACCACTGGTCGGCAGGGTAGTGAATACCTGAATACTGCAGTAGCACCAGGTTTGAGGATCGGTGAGAGCCTCCCACACCTGGTACGAGCGGAAATTTCTGTTCTGAATACCAGTCTGGTTCGAACGCAGTCGCTCAACCATCATGTGCTTGTCCTCCTCGCTGAAGCACTTGGCACGCATTGGGGAGTCGGGCATCCACCAGATGACGAACAGACCCCACAGCACGGACAGACATCCGTAGGACAGGAACAGAGCCTGCCAGGACTTGAGGACCTTGTCACCTCCAATCAGGGTGAAGCAGTAGGCGAGGAGACCACCGACGATCTGCTGAGCACCGTTCATCATGTACCAGTAGGTGACGGTCGCGGCCTGCTCCTCACGCTTGTACCACATGGAAGAGAGCAGGACGAAGGTAGGCTGACAGCAGGCCTCGAAGATACCCAGCAGCGTGCGGACGATCACCAGGCCGGTGAAATTGTGGCAGGCAGAGTGGAGAGCCAAGATCATCCCCCACAGACAAATGTTGATGCCAAGGTATTTGCCGATGGGCACGCGCTGGATGATCCAGTTGGTTGGGTATTCGACGATCAGGACGGCGATATAGATACAGGTGGTGAGCCAGGAGTACTGGTTCTCGGTTAGCGTCTAAGTTATATAGAATATGTCGTTGGACGAGAGGACTCACCTTTTGGCCATTCTCCAGATGAGCGTCGGTCTTGATGCCCATGATTGAGGCGAAACTCATCGTACCCTTGTCGAGGGCTTGCAGGAAGTATGTAAAGATCATGACGACCAAGATACGACGGTCAATCATTTTCTTGAGTCGCTTGTTGTCTGCTTCGCTGACGACCACTCTGGTGCTGGAGTACATTTGAACCTAGAATGGTGCTCTGCATTAGTATTGATGGTCTGCCATGCTTGGGTCGTCGCAATCGGGGATTCGCTCACCTCCTTGTCCACTCGGGAGAGATCCATATTGTCCTTCTTCAGGTCATCGTCCGGGGACAACACCCGCTCGACATGGGAGATATCCCGGGCGGTCTTGTCCTCCCCCATCTCGGTAAAGCCCTGCTGGGTAGTCTCTGGCTGGATCCCAGACTGGGATTGAGGCTCGTCGTGAGCCATTGTAAGTGTTTCAAGTCTGGAGTCACCTCGGAACCAGAGGTATCGGTACAAGTAGGTGCACAAGGAAATCCAAAACCAGCCGGGTGATTCTCGGGACCTTATAAGCAATCAAAGCCAAGCCTCGTGGGAAAGAATAAGTGCAGGCTAGCGTTCTCAAGCACACCAGTATTTTTGTGGCGTCCTCGCCAGTTCCAACCCCGGTGGGCTAAGACCGTCATGCCGGTAGTGTTCCAGTCCCATCGTGCCCACTCCCTTGTCGCTGTCAACTCCACCTCTGCCCAATCACGATCCCCCCTCGGCTCGCCTAAGCCCGAGATGATTACCTGAGTGTCCAATGGGACACGTCGACCCCGTTTTCTCCGGGGTTTCTTGGCGCGTGGAGTCGCCCTGTACCAAGACTTTCCAGTTGCTCCACTCCCTGGGCGTCTTGGGCTTGGGAAGAACCAACCCCCACGCAGAGTTGGCAAGTCCGGGGAAGCAATCCACCGAGCGAATGGCTCCACCTCCACTGCCTCTGCCCACTCAATGCTCTGGCGCTCAAAACGTTCGGTTTTTCCCCCCCAAGTTTCGGTCTGCAATACCCCGAACGATGGCTTGGCACATTGCGGGGAAGCGTGGGGATTCGTGGATTGAGGGGCCCCAGAAATCTTCCGCAAATCAGTCGTGGGGGATGGGGTCCCGGCCGGAGGTACTTATTTGGTTAAGGGAGCTCGCTTGCTCATTTGAACAATTTCGGAGTCTTGGCTGTCAGCGAACTGCACGTCACGAGATTGCAAATCAACCGAGTGACCGAGCAATCACCAAGACGCGTCGCTAATTCTTGAAGCTCGGCAAATTGGAATTGCATTTTTTGGCTTCTCCAACTCTTTTCCTTCGTCCAAAAAACCCTCCCTCCTCCTTTGTTCTGCTTTCCCCCCAATTTCCCTATCGATTCCTCCCTCGCAATGGCTTCCACCCGCCCTCTCGCCCCCGAGGTCCACAAGTCCGTCAATCTCCTCATCGACAACCTCGTCAATATCAAAGATGAGACCGGAAGGTTCCTTATGCCCCTGGCCGACGGTCGCATCATCGATACCAAGTCCTGGCATGGCTGGGAATGGACCCACGGCATCGGTCTGTACGGCGTGTGGAAGTACTACGAATTGACCGGCGACGAGCGTCTGCTAAAGATCATCGAGGATTGGTTCGCCGCGCGATTCGCCGAGGGCGGAACCACCAAGAACATCAACACAATGGCCGTGTTCCTCACTCTTGCCTATGTCTACGAGAAGACTGGCAATCCCACGTATCTGCCGTGGTTGGACGCGTGGGCCGAATGGGCGATGTACGATTTACCCCGCACCCGGTACGGCGGTATGCAGCACGCAACGTACCTCACGGAAAACTACCAACAATTATGGGATGATACCTTGATGATGACGGTCATGCCTCTTGCCAAGATTGGAAAATTGTTGAATCGCCCGGAGTACATTGCCGAGGCAAAGAAGCAGTTCCTCACGCATATCAAGTACCTCTTCGACACGAAGACGGGTCTCTGGTTCCACGGGTGGACTTTCGAGGATGGCGGTCATAACTTTGCGGATGCGCGCTGGGCCCGAGGAAACAGCTGGGTGACAATCGTGATTCCTGAGATTATTGAGCTGTTGGATTTGGAGGCCACCGATCCGATCAGGCTACACCTGATCGAGACGCTGGACGCCCAGTGCGAGGCCCTGCAACGTGTGCAATCCGAGTCGGGTGCTTGGCATACTCTGCTGGATCACCCTGACTCTTATCTGGAGGCCTCGGCTACCGCTGGGTTTGCCTATGGTATTCTCAAAGCCGTGCGCAAGCGTTATATCAGCGCCAGCTACCTCCCCGTCGCGGAGAAGGCCATCGCTGCGGTGTTGAAGAATATCGATCCCAAGGGCGAGCTTCTCAATACGAGCTTTGGTACTGGCATGGGTGACTGCTTGCAGTTTTATAAGGATATTCCCCTCACCTCTATGCCTTATGGTCAGGCGATGGCCATCATGGCCTTGGGCGAGTACCTGCGGACCTATCTGTAGATGTTCTTTCGAGGTTTTTGTTACGTGTTCATGCATTATATAGACGGGCGGTGTATATAGGGATAGACGAGTCATGTATCTCAATGAATCATGTTTGATGTATAAACAAAGGTGCAGACAAGGCGTTCTTGTCGGGTAGCAGACCGGAACGTCGGTAAAGTGCCAGCAAATTTGACGGAGACTATCTAAAAGTATTGACGCAAACGAAACGTCCTTCGAAGCTAAGGACTTCGATTGCATCAACAACAACCTCTTGGCTTGTACCATCGTCGAATTGCGCATTAAGACTGCCTTTTATTGATCCCTGAGTCAACACGAGAGTGGCATCTCCAAGGGCAAGTGTCAAACACGAGCTGTCTTCAACAAACGATTCCTTAGACGGTACCAGATCTCCAGTTTGATGGATCGCTCGATGAATTGGGGCCAGCTGAAAAATGACGCTCGGCTTGGCGAGAGAGGCAGGTGAGCAGCCTATGGGAACATATACGCCAAATATAGCTGGTACTTGACCAGTCTTCCCAGATACCAGTAGAATCCTAGCTTTGCTAGTTTTGGTTAGGTGGGATTTCACATGCTCCATATCAACCTCCCGAGATGCATGAAGGATTTCTGGTGCTTCGATGGGAAAGTCTTGGGGTAAGCTCATTGAAAGCTGGCTCAGGACTGGGAGGTTCATGATTAATCCGTCAGCAGGAGACTGCGGTTTGACCGAAGGCGTAAACAATCTTTTCAACATTTCCTGTGCTTCAGCGAGTGATGATGGGGGAGTTGCGGACGGGAAAGTTTTAACCGAGTGCAAAGGCCCGAGGAGTCTAGGCAGACCCAGAAAGACATTTGGCTGCGGAGAATCAATTTAACGGCTCCCTTATACTGATAGCACAATATGATACGCACCACTAATTTTCTGAGGGCGTTGGAGAAGGTTGTGAAAGATACGGCACTCGAGGACTCCTCTCCATTTAAGAATGTCGTGAGTAAGCAGTCTGTCGCTGCTTCGATTTCCGATAGTAACGACGTGAAATTATCCGGGTCAATACCAGCCACATACAACTGCGTTAGGAGCATCAACCGAAGCAACGGTCTAAAATCCTCTACTGGAATTGATCCCGTCGTCAATGTGGAGTTTGACGAAGGAAAATGTTCCACCGGGGGGTACTTTGGTCCTTGGGTCACTGCGGTCGGGAACCGCGCATTGCGCTTGAAATTTCCGTACGTGATAATTTCGAGAGCTTTCCCAACGTGATGGTCGTCGGCTGCGCTTCGAGAAGGATTGACAAAGGTTCCTTGCGGCTCTGTCATGCTCTGAAACAACAGAAGTTGTTGTTGTGTGCTGAGACGATCAGGGAAAACGAGTGACGCCTCGTCGATTTCCGGATCCAGAAGGTTATCGCGATCCAGTCTGAGCAGAATGATCATGCCTGTGCGCAACACATCCAGCGACAGAGTGGGGTGTGGATCATTGTGATACGGAAACGACCCCAGCCGCAGGAGACAACGGTGTAAAATTGGAGCAGCTTCGGCTACGCAGAAGGCTAACTCGGAAGGAAAAGTGCTGGTCATGAATTCCCCCAAGTCAGATACCGTCCAGACTGTAGCATGTTAGTCTGGTGAAATTCAGCAAGAAGAGACTCTACATCTTGCATTTTGCCGAGTCTGACTCGGTGCAGAAGGCGTGGAAAATAGTCTGGAACCATTCGTTCTGGGTTTCGCTCATGAACAATCTCGATAGGCGCCATCTGAATCGTTGTTGAAGTTCCTCTGGCGTCTTTCAGTTATTGTGTCTGGCAATTTGATTTCGAATTGGCCATACCACGGGTTTGGACTGCGGGAAGAAACTCTGTCTGAGGTACTTTAGTTGCGACCTGGCCCATGGCTGAGATATGAATCAGCTTTCGTCATTGAATTGCAATATAGATGGGGAATTGTGTGGTAATCCGAAGAAGAAAAGATGAAAAAGTTGCGAGAGGAGATGGGAGGGGGCCGAAGAGAAGGTGTCGACTGGTGGGGGTGGAGAAGCTTATCACTCACCAACTATCTGTGCTCTGTGCTCAGCATCAAGACGTAGCTTGATGTGCGACAACAATACCTCGGTAGCCGCAGAATAATTGCGCATCTATGACACACAAAAGATGGCGAACGCTATCAGAAGAGGAAGATCATGAACACAATGGACCTGCTTATGCATTGGAATGAGAAGAGCTGGAAAAAACAACGCGGTGGAGAAGTAGGTCGAGAACTTTAAATGCAACTAGATATCAATTTCTCAACTTCCGTCTCCAACGAACCGTCTTCCTCTGAGAATGTCATAAATTATCCTTTACTCATCTTCACAGCACTTTTAATTCCCGTCAGGATGAGGGTTCTCCGGTTATCGCAAAGTGGCTCCCAGGCTGCCCCTCGATATCCCGTTCAATTCATCGCTCGTCCCTTTCGAGAAGTCTCCACTCTTTGCATTTATCAGCAAGCCTGTGGACAATCTCTCTCAAAGTCTCGACAGAATGCCATCCTCAAGAGCCTTGGGTGAAGGAAGAAGACAGCGGAAGGCATGGTATCGTCTCTGATGAAGGAACGGGGGTTACGGGTCAGCTGACTGATTGGGGCCTGTACTGTACCCAGTGATTGGCATGAGTGATACTTCGTAGGTGGCTACCTGGAGTATCGCTTCAGATATGAGCCCGTTTATAAACACACTTTTTTTGATTCTCAAGGCCCGATAATCCGACCATGTATCATAAGTTGACCTTTCAAAGAACAGCTGGAATATCACGATTTGAATGATTGGCCAAATCCATGAAATTCCGAAATTGCGTAAGCGGTCCGTGGCCCAGCTTATCTTATCGGCGATGCTCGCCCGTTCCTTATGGGGGGCATCGGCGGTCTCCGCCTCGGTGGCTACGATACTCGAGCGGGGGAGATTTTTGGCGAATTTGCACATTTGGTGGGTCGGCGATTATTTATTGGCCCTCTTTTCTCCAGATTCAACTAGCCAGAATTTGACACCCTCCGTTCCACTTCCCCGTAACTGGACAACACCCTAACAATTCATTTGCCCCCGTCTAGCACCGCCGCAAACCCACTGCCAAAATTGTTACCCAGCCATGCTGTATACGCACGCTACCATCATCACGATGGATGGCTCCCGTCGGATCATCGACGATGGAGCCATTCGTGTGGATGGCAATAATATCGCTGATATAGGCAAGACTGCCGTGCTGAAGGAGCGATACCCGGAAGATGAGGAGTACGATCTGTCCGGTCGCATCATCATCCCCGGGTTGATCTCTACTCATATGCATACGGCACAGACCCTGCTGCGAGGAACTGCTGATGACCTCGAGCTGGTGTCGTGGCTGTGCGAGCGTATCTGGGTGCTGCAGGGTAATTTTACCGAGGCAGATGGGTATGCGGCGGCGCGGTTGAGTATTGGCGAGATGTTGAAGTCGGGCACGACTTGTTTCTTGGAGAGCATGGTAAGTCTAGATCAAAGACATTGAATGGACTCCTGTCTAATTAAGGGTTAGTTTGCCGATCGATATGGCTTTGATGGACTGGCTCGTGCGGTCGAAGAGTCGGGTATTCGAGGCTGTCTGGGCAAGATTGTCATGGACATTGCCAAGTATGCCAAAGACGATGCGTGGGCTATGCATCCTGGTCTGGTTGAAAACCGAGAGACTTCTCTCTTGGGTACCTTGAAGATGTGGGAGAAGTGGAATGGCGCAGCCAATGATCGTATTCGCGTCTGGTTTGGTGCCAGAACGCCTGGCGGGTGAGTTTGTGCTCGGTATGACCGTGATCAACGATGGCGTACGATATTGACCCATTCCAGTGTCTCCGATGCTCTTTACAAAGAAATGACCGCCATCTCCCGCGAAAAGGGAATCCCCGTTACTATGCACTGTGCTGAAGTCAAGGCTGACCGGGAGTTCTTCGCCTCCGTGTCGCACACCCCCATGTCGTATTGTGATTCGGTTGGCCTGTTGAGCCCATCTACCGTCCTGGTGCACATGGTGCACCTCGATGACTCGGATATCAAGACTCTGGCAGCATCCGGAACTCACGTCGCCCACTGCCCTACCTCCAATGCCAAGCTGGCCTCGGGTATTTGCCGAGTCCCTGACTTGCAAAAGGCGGGCGTCAACATTGGCCTAGGCACCGATGGAGCTCCTTGCAACAACACCTGCGATCTTTTGCAGGAGATGAAACTGGCCGCGATCATTCACAAGAGCATCTCGTATGACCCGACTGCTGTCCCTGCCGAGTCCGTTCTCGAGATGGCAACCATTAATGGTGCCAAGGCTTTGGGCCTGGATGACCGCATTGGTAGCTTAGAAGTTGGCAAGAAGGCTGACTTTGTGGCCATCGACGTCCGTGGCATCCATAACCAGCCATGGCATAATCCCGCCAGTGCGGTGGTGTACACTGCTACCGGTCGCGACGTCGACGTCGTCGTCGTCGATGGCAAAGTGCTCGTCCAGAATGGCGAGCTTCTGACGATGGATGAGAAGGAGATCATCGAGGAGGCCAAGAAGCGCAGCCGTGAGGTTGTTGAGCGCGCTGGTCTTTCCAGCAAGATGAAGGGCCGCTGGCCCATCGAGTAGAGGGAGAATTAATTCCCCTCTACTCCTACACGGAGCAATGACTCTGTGGATTTTTTTACTTTTATTTTTTCGTGACTTTTACTGACATTCTTGAGGAGCCATTGGCGAGCACATAGCCGATCTTTCTTGTATTATTAGTTTTTTCTAACATCGCAATGGCATGATACCCTCATCGTTTTCTTATCAATTTGAGATTCATCTTCACTTCTCATGTCATTTGTACCCCGTACTTCTTACTGAATGGGCTGGGGGGAATCCGGAGTTTTACGGAGGCTAAGGCCTATCGATATACTAATCAATACGCGGCGCGAAAGCTAGTAGAAGGATCTACTAAGTGCACTTGGAGAGATGCTACTACCGCTGAGATCAACGTCTTTTTTGTTATACTCTTTTATGTGTTACGGTGTAACAAGGGTTTGCTCTACCGTTATGTTGGATCCTTGGTCATGTCCGCTGAATGCATATATAGTGGGCTTTCTGGTCTACAATGGAGATCAGGTGACCCAGAACCAAGACGCTGATATCTCATAATATTCGGTGCCTTGTTAGAACCCTTGGAAAGGGGTAAATACAAGCCTGAAAGAGTAAGTGTATTTAATAAAATATAGCATAGGGCTCGAGTCTCGGGGAGCTTCCGCACCTATACGAGAAGAAATTTTGGGGTTCTGTTGAACTCTTTTTGGGTCCTGCTGAGCCGGGTTGCCCGCCGTAGCCGGAGGGATGTATGGTACCGGTGACTTTACTCCGGTGTCAATCTCGGAGTAATTCTCTATGCCGATTGGTCGGCGACGCTTGAGCCTCGTTTCTGAGGATGCGTAACGCCATTGTTTAGGCTAACCTGTTACTCTGTACAGTTATTTGAGCTGCGGAGTCCACTTCACCTTGATAGAGTAGGGAAGGCCCCAAGTTACCTTTTTTGTAGCGTTGCGATTCGGAAATAAATTAGAAGTTTAGAGTCATGTATATTCTGAAGCCTTCTTGTTCAATGGATATCTTCTACCAAACAAATATCTCAAAGTATCCAGTTCATGACTTTCTTGAGGAAACCCCCACCGGGCACAGAGAGCCTTGGAAAAGAAGACTTTTTCTCTTCATCAGTTTCTGCGATAATTCCTTCGTTCTCACGATGGTATGAATCCGTGACCAAGTCCATCTGATCCAGAGGCACAAGCTTAGTTTTCTTATAACCCTTCCATCCGAGAAACATGACGATCATGATCGGGATTTCGATGTAGTACGAAACAAAATCGACTGCATCAAACTCGAGGCTAAAGGCCGACCAGCCTTGAACGAGGACGATAAAGATGTTCAAAACGACAGCGATAGCCGGGCCCACGGGATACGTGAAGTTTTTGAAGGGGAGATGCTCCATGTTCTGACGACGAATGGCAGCACGGAATCGAAGGGATGTGAAGCAAATACACGCCCAAGAAATCTGATTAGAAACTCCGACCAGATTCTGTAGCCAAGTCCAGACTTGGCCAGCGCCAATTTGCTAGCTCCAAAGCACAGTGCGCTGATAATTGTTGTAGCTAGAACTGCTATCCATGGAATTTGGAAGCGATTCGTGCGGCTCAGTTGACGAGGTGCGTATCCATCTTTGGCTAAGGTGTACATTAGTCGAGATCCCGCGAAAAGGGCGTGGTTGGCTGCTGACATCGCGCTCGTCATGATCACGGCGTTGATGAAGCTTCCTGCTACTTTGTTGCCTGCTTCTTGGAAGACAATTGTAAAAGGGCTGGTGGCGGAGGTCTTGGTGGAAAGACCGGGATATGTGTACGGTACATTGAGTCCGATTATCACGATTGAAACGATATAGAAGAGGAGGATTCGCCAGAAAACGTTGCGGATAATATTCGGATATGTTTGGGCCGGGTTCTTCGTTTCGCCAGCTGTGACTGCGACATTTTCGGTTCCGCCACTGTATACTGTTAATGCTGGAACATATGCCGTATTTTGGTCATCTCTTACTAGGCGAAGGACGCTGTCACAAAAACAGACGCGAATCCCTTGATTCCGTTCACAAATGGGGCTTCTCCAATGTAGAAATATCGGTCGCCGAAATACGTGTGTTGAGTGTTGGCGCCACAATTAACAGCGATTCCGACAATGATGAAAACCTGAGGTTGGTCACATATGAAAAGCACAGTAATCAACACAACTTCGAGAACTTACTATTATGGTGATGACCTTGAGTAGAGATAACCAGTATTCAGTCTGTCTACCAGTGAGCTTCGATCATTAGGCCTGCTAGTCAGCGATCTCACCTCTCCATAAACCCTGACAGAGCAAAAGTTCAAACCGAGAACGAAGGCAAGGCATGTTCTCTTGAAATTCCGTCTATCCATAGATCCAACGTATTCAATATCGGCCCTGCAGAATCGAAAAGGCCCATGGGAGAGCTTTCAGTTGAGACTTCCCCGTTGCCTAAGTTGCACGCGACTCTTCGCGATATCTCCAACGAAGTTCACAACGGTCACGGCTTCAAGGTCGTCCGCGGTCTCCCAATAGATGACTACACTCGTGAAGAGAACGTCATCATTTATGCTGGTCTGGCATCCCACGTTGCGCCTATCCGTGGTCGTCAAGACAACAAATGGCAAGGCAAGCCCGCCGATGTCCTTGTGGCCCATGTCAAGGATCTGAGTCAGGAGTGCGATTCGAAGGACATCCCCGGCCCTGTCGTCACTGCCGACAAGCAGGTGTTCCACACTGACGCTGGTGATGTGATTGCACTTTTCTGTCTCAGCGAAGGTCACTCGGGAGGTGAGAGCTTCCTTGCGAGCACGGGTCATGTTTACAACGTTCTTGCTGCTACACGCCCTGATTTGATCAAGACGCTTTCTGAGCCCTGGGCTTTCGATGAGTAAGTTCACTTATACGCAAGTTCAATTTATGATGAACAACACAAGCTGAGAGTGCACACTCTGTCTAGCTTTGCCCCGAGTGGCGATGTGTACAAGCTACGGCCCCTCCTCTATTACCAGCCTGCCGCCAAAGCCGATCCCGAGCGACTCATCATCCAATACTCACGACGAAACCTGACGGGGTACATGGACTGCAAGCGATCGGCAAAAATTCCACCTCTTACCGAAGCACAGGCTGAAGCCCTTGATGCTGTTCACTTTACGGCTGAGGAGCACGCTATCTCGTTGGACTTTCGCAAAGGCGACATTCAATTCGCTAATAACCTCAGCATTCTACACGCACTAGGAGCATTCACCGATGCACCCAACAAGCGGTAAGTGCTTTCAAACACTGCCTATTTTGACTGGCGAGAGGGCTGACATTTGTCTTCAGACGTCACCTCCTCCGACTGTGGCTGCGGGATCCAGAACACGAGTGGATCAAGGCCAAGGACTTGCAAGAGAGATTTGATCGGGTTTATGCCGGCATCACCGTTGAAAGCTCCGTCTTCCCGCTGGAAGCTACCATTCGCAGTAGCAATGTGGCTACTTGATTATAGCGGAGCTTGGAAAAAATCATGCAAAAGTCGAGCCGGGTTACAGCTCAGCAAGAAGTTCTACGGAATTTTATCCATAGTCTTCGTTTAGCCTCCGTACAAAAACATATAGAGATACACTTCACTTAAAGACGAAACAGTGGTAGATAAGAAAAAGCAGACTGACAATCTCACAAGGGAGGATTTTCTGAGTGTTGTATATGTCTAGAAGGTTAAAGCTCTTATATAATTTGCACTTTTCCTGAATCCGGCCGTGATTTGCGAAGACTTGAACACACTCTTTTCTTTACTAGGTACGTACATGCTTGGCTTAGACCCCAGTATGAGGATGTGGTGCCTGAAGATCGTTCAGCCATGCCGACCAATCAACACTATCGTCACTCCCAGTTCCTCTCATGAGAGTATCAAAGAAAGCTGTATCAATATTTTGCAGCATCCAATCCTCCCTGGCCGAGAGCATTGGTTCTTCATTGCCTTGCTCAGTGTAACCAGGTAAAAGCTGCGCTGGGTCAACGCTGATGGCCCCACTTCTTGGCCTTGGAGATGGCATATCATGCGACTGTACTCTTCTCCCCATTGAAACGTTGCCATTCGTATTATTCGCCGTACGAATTCGTTGTTTATCTTCAACTGCAATTTCCCCGACAGAGAAATCACCCGAGTCATTAGATATAATGCCCCCTCGGTCAATCTCAATGACGCCGAAAGAGGGGATAGACACTCGGATAGTATTATTGGCGCTTGATGATTGCGGCGTGCGTATCGTGGGCGGCTCTTGCATCTTACTTTCGTGTGTGGCTTCACTGGCTGCTTCAGCCTCGATATCCATCAGCCGCTGCAGCAAACTAGAGGCTTGTATGCTCATCGAATCCCCATCCACCCGGCTCACTTCTTTGATGCTTTCATGGGCTTGCTCTATTAAAGCACGGTCGGAAGGTCGCTGGTGTACCAAGACATTGTTTGGCATCTGGGCTTGGTTACCTGGCAGTTGTTCGGAGGTGGGTGGAAGCAAATGCCGGTGACCATCGAGATGCGCGATCAGAAGTGTCATCGCTGCCATCAACCCAAAATAGTCCACGGTCCGACAACTAAAAGCGATACGATTGAAGCTGTGGAACATGGTAAACCGGGAGAGGATTTCGCGCGAGGCAGTAATGCAAGTCAGTCGCGAATAGTCGTATTTGTGTCCAGTCGTGGCAGAGCGAAGCATATATGGTAGATGGAGTTGTATGAGGAGGTTGTAGTGAGACAAGTGGTGAAAAAGACGCCGCATATCCCAGAAGAGTGATTCTGGCTGATTGGCAACGGTGGCCAAGTTTGGGGTAAGCCACCATTTTGAGGGAAAATCCCTCGATGCTTTCTGTAGCATATGGTCTATTTCTTGTGTTAAGACATAATCGCTGACGCTGGGTGCGGTGTGATTGCGCTCCAGGATTCGAGACATGACCACGCAATGTATACGTTCAAGGCGACCCATTGTTGTATCTTCTTCGAGTAAAGTTTCAGACGCCATGTAGCGGTCAAAAGATGCTTGGGGGGTACCCAAGATCATGCAGAGATAGCGGTCGAGAGAAAGTATTCGAAACCATATGAACTCGGGATATATCTGCGTTTCATTTTCGACAATATTGCACCGTACCTTGCCATGACGGTGGAGGCCCATGAGCTGAGCAATAGTCATTGCCCTGCGAATAGAGATCAATGCCTTCCGTGGGCTTCCTCCATTGGCATGGTACCAAGTCTCGATCATAATGCACTCCAAACCTTCGATACAGCTCATGAGATCATCGTTGGTAGTGACAAGGCTTGTAGCTATGTCGGCTAGCCTTTTCATCATCTCTCGGGGAGGCTCTGACAGCCCGTTCATCTCCTGGAATGAAGATGGGTGAAGGTGCTGCAAGGCAGTGGCCAGGTGAAGCATGTATCTTGTTGTCAGAATGGGGTGCGCATTAGAACTTGGCCTCTTGAACACGGTCTCGAGAGAGTCTGCTTTGTTGAGGTGGTTATATGGCACGGTCTGCATCTGATAGAATAAAGGAGAAGTGTTGCCACATGATTTCAATATCATTGCAACGTCCTCTTCTGATGGTAATGACCTATGTAAGATCTGTGACAGCTTTTCGTATTCTGTTGAGTTGATAGAAGCAGCCTTCTCGGTGTCAATATTTGAAGACCTGCTGCCATTACGGATAACATCAAAATCAGAAGTCTGGGACTTTCCAAAGAATTGTTAGCAATTCGCATGATCATATTGACTGTCAATTCTAATACTTACTTCCGACGACTTGAGTAGAGTTACAGCCTCTACTGGATCAGATGCAACTGTAGAAGACTTGGAGGCATTGATATTGGCCCCCTGATCCTTTCCCGTCAAATCGAGGCCATCGAAATCACGGTCGATTGGAACATTCTTAAGAAGCTGTTCGACTAATCTTTCGACTCTGACAATGCGATCGCCCATTTGGAGGTTTTGGTCCAAAGCAGTTGTAATTTCCTCAGGATACTCTTGGCTCACACATTTGATACCCCGTCGGCGACAGCGGATGCATACATCGTCTGTGGGTAAGCTGAACGTGCACTTCATCTTGCGTTGCTTGCATTCCCAGCAACTGTGAGTTCCCTTTCGTAGCTTTCTTCGTTTATTCGTGGCCGTAGACTGAGCATCATTTTCTTGAATATGACTATGTTTTGAAGCAGACATTGTATCTAATGGCTACATTAGCAATTCTGGGATCAGTGTGGGGCTAGGTGATCGCTTGTGAGTTGTGACACATTCAAGTCTTATCTGAGGTTGCTCGGAGGAATGGACCGGGATCACAAGAGAGAGAAGCTGATGAAGTGCGTAGTTTAGGTAAAAAGTCAAAAGATTCCTTGGAGTAGAGAGGCCCCCAAATGCATGTCCGAGGTGACGGAGGGAGACTGTAAGTCAGACGTCTCATCCGGAAACTCGGCGGACGAAACTCCAGCTTGGGCCCCACACCGTCTTACAATATGATTGGGTGGTTCATGGCCGCATACTGCAGCAGGTCAGACACCCGAATATCTAAAGATCTATTACTTCATTCTTTATGAACTTTTTGTTAAAGGAGATTCGACCTGAATCTCGGAGGACGAGCGCTGAATATGGCCTCCGCACCTAGCATTATAAATAAGCCATCGTATCCGTCCATTTTGAAATATTAAAACTCACCTTTCTCAGCCAGTCTTTTATCTCTCAAGATAGCTATTTATTGTTCAACCATGGCTAGTAACTTCGATATCGCTCCTGGCAATGTTCAGACACACCTTGAGCCCTTTACTCTTCGTGTTTTTGAAGAAGAGTTAGAAAGATTCAAGAACCTTCTCGAATTGTCAAACATTGGACCTACTACATGGTGGAACAAACAAGATGACTCTCGTTTTGGCGTCTCTCGTGACTGGCTGATCAACGCCAAAGACACTTGGCTTTCTACCTTTGATTGGCGCAAATATGAGTCCTATATCAACGACTTCCCAAATTTCAAGGTCACAATCAAGGACGCTGATTCCCATCAAAACGAAGTCCATTTCGCTGCTTTGTTTTCCAAAAGAGAAGATGCCATCCCTGTCATCTTTCTTCACGGCTTTCCTTCCTCCTTCATGGATTTTCTTCCCATGATGGACCTGCTGAGAAAGAAATATACACCCGAGAATCTACCTTACCATATCATAGCGCCCTCGCTTCCCGACTATGGGTTATCTGGAAGCTTGAATCAGAACTTGGAAATGACTCTAGAGCGGGCCGCGAGCATCATGAACGGCTTGATGATTGCCCTTGGCTTCGAGAAGGGATATGTCGCTCAAGGCGGGGACCTTGGTAGCATGATTGCACGCCTCATGTCCGTCAATCACAAGGAGTGCAAAGCTTTTCACGGTATGTATTCAGTCAACGCCGGTCCATGACGGCGTAAAGAATTCGCTAACGAATATAGTCAACATGCTCACGCTAGAGCCCGACAATACGCCCCCTTCTACCGACCTCTTAGCCCCGGAAGATCTCCAAATCCTTCATAGAACTAGGAAATGGCAACAGAATGGGTTGGCATACGCTCTTGAACATGGCACTCGTCCTGCTACTGTTGGCTTGGCCATCTCGTCTAGCCCACTTTCCCTCCTTGCTTGGTACTGTACCCTGATCACTCAACTCGGCTTTTACTAACGACTTATTAGGCTTGGAGAGAAGCTTCTTGAATGGGCAGATCCTCGGGAGCAGCTCCCACTTGATACCATTCTAGGACTAATGAGCTTCTATTGGTTTACACAGACTTTCCCCCGGAGTTTGTATCATGCAAACCTCGTGAAAAATTACTCTGTGGGTATTGGGCATCCGATTTCAACAGAGAAGCCTCTAGGGTATTCGATGTTTGCCTACGATCTTGCCGTGCTACCCAAACCTTGGGCTCAAGAGATATATCCTAAGCTAGTGTTCTTCAACGCGCATTCAAAGGTGAGTTGACGCTGGTAATGTTGGAACATGATATAGGAAAAATACTGATTCGAAAGTTAGGGAGGCCATTTTGCTAGTCTGGAGCGACCGAGTGAATTCCTAGAGGACATTGAACGGTTTCTGCAGGCAATCAATGGGTTATTTGAGGTGGAGTGATATAGCGCATGCACAGAATGGACTTTGGCCGAGAATATTGGTTTCCGGTGCTTGTTTTTGATTCACTTAAAGACTGTGTAGTGAAGTATAAATAGCCAACTATACACGTGCACTGAAGTTTTGAGTTCTATAGCCATGAATCTAGCAAGTGGACGTCACTTCGATGCTTACTTGATGCCGCGTCTCAAGAGAGCGCAACCCGCGTCGACGTACCGAGCACTGCCTGGATGAATACCATAGGACCATGGCGGCCAAGGATTCGCAAATTATGTGGATGTCTCTGTGAGGGAGGCTATTGCGCGCGCGTGCGGCGATTGCAAGGGTGGAGGCAGAAAATGCCGGCGGTGGGAAGAAGGCTGGTGATGGGCTTCTGGAGGTCTGTTGTCCTTCCAGGTGTGATATCTCGGTCGGCGATATACTAATTTGGTGGCTAATATAGGTAGAAAATTTTGAGAAAGTGGGGCCGTGTGATTTATGAGATAACCTATATATATATATATATATACACACAAGAGGATTCGAGGATATTCGGTTGCAGCGGACATAGCAGTAGAGGAAGCGGTGAAGGCAGTCGTTGGGGAAGTGCTCCCTATAGTCCGCCGTAGTCCGCCGTCCATGCCTGTCTATGGGCCTGTCCCCCACATCTTAGTGCCGCGCTATCGAAACTCTGCCAATGAATTCGATCAGAAGCTATCAAGAGTCCAACAGTCGGCAAAAGTGATCGAGTTCAACGACGAAAAGTGGGTTAGTCCACCGATTAGCTTGGCGGGTAATATTTCCGCTGAACCTCCACAGTCGAATTAGAGCACACTCTTGGATCTGCAAAATCCATGGTTGAGAATCGTAGCTCAATAATGCTCATACCAAACCAATGAAGAGTAAGCCACAGTCTTTCTTGGCAGTCTCTTGGGAACGGCGATAGCCGAAGTGGATGTATGAATTCCGCCTGACAAAGAGGCGGGATGGAGGCCTAACTCTCTAGCGTCCTTTTTATTACCCCTCGTTGATTCTCAGCTCTTCCCTCGGTTTCTTTCTCAATAATTTTGCTTCACTTTTTCACGACACATTCTACCTGGCGGGGAAGTTGTGAATACTACAATGGCAACCTCAGATAAGAATAGTCCGTTGGACTTCACGGTAGGTTCTACGAGGAACCTTACAAACCATTTAAAACATTCTAACGGACAACTGCATAGACATTCCACAATGTCATTAATAACGAATTGACCTCAACAGCCGTGACTCGCCATGGTATCAACCCAGCCACTGCGGCACCCAATCCCGAGGTCCCTGTGGCCACCCAGGAGGATCTCGACAAGGCAGTCCAAGCGGCCCGTGCCGCTTTCAAGACCTGGTCCAAGACTTCTTTTGAAGAGCGCCGGGCTGCCCTCCATGCCTATGCCGATGCAATTGATGCTAACATCGATGGATTCTCCAAAATTCTCACTATGGAGCAGGGTAAGCCCCTGACTCAATCCACGACTGAGCTCGGTATGGCCGGCACCTGGATTCGAGGACTGAGCAGCATTGAGATCCCCACGAATATCATCGAGGAGACCGAGGATCGCAAGATCATTCAGCGGTACACACCCATGGGTGTCGTAGGTGCTATCGTTCCCTGGAATTTCCCCGTGCTCTTGGCTATCGGCAAGATTGTGCCTGCATTGTATACTGGTAACACGATCATTGTGAAGCCATCGCCGTTCACTCCGTACTGTGCCTTGAAGCTGGCGGAGCTGGGATCGCGCTTCTTCCCTCCCGGTGTTTTGCAGTGTCTGAGTGGAGACGATAGCCTTGGTCCTATGATTACAGACCACCCCGGTATTGATAAGATCTCCTTTACTGGATCGATTGCCACCGGTAAGCGTGTTATGGCTAGCTGTGCTAAGACCTTGAAGCGTGTTACGCTTGAATTGGGCGGTAACGATCCGTCGATCATTTGCGACGATGTCGATATTGATGCAATTATCCCTAAGGTAGGAAGGACCTCCTTTATCATCTTTGACGGATAGGGGCTAATTTAATGTCTAGATTGGAATCCTATCCTACCTGTGCAGTTCCCAGATTTGCATGATGATCAAGCGACTCTACGTGCACGAGAAGATTTACGATCAGTTCTTAGAGAAGTTGATCGCTTTCGTCAAGACTCTCAAGGTCGGCGACGGCACCGAGCCGGACGTGTTCTTCGGCCCCGTTCAAAACAAGATGCAATTCGAAAAGGCCAAGAATCTGTTCAATTCTATCTCTACTGAGAAGCTCAATGCTGTTCTTGGTGGCACGATCGAGGACTCAAAGGGCTACTTCATCCATCCCACGATTATCCAGAACCCGCCCGAGTCCTCGCGTGTGGTTCAAGAGGAGCCATTCGCACCGATCCTCCCCGTGATGAAGTGGTCTGATGAAAACGATGTAATCGAGAAGGCCAACGCCCTGGAGACTGGGTTGGGCGCCTCGGTCTGGAGCAAGGACTTTGACCGTGCCACTCGTATCGCGGACCAATTGGAGTCTGGTGTGGTGTGGGTGAACTCGCACTTTGACGTCTCGCCAAACGCGCCGTTTGGTGGCCACAAGCAGAGTGGTGTCGGTGTTGAATGGGGTCTGAGTGGTTTGTTGGGATACTGCAACTCGCAGACGCAGTGGCTGAAGAAGAGCTTCTAGTTTTGGTTACTTGAGAGGTTCCAGATTTTGAACATAGTATTGATGCACATATTTACGACATTATACGCGAACAAAGAATTTTTTGGCTTCCACTTGCACTCGCTAAGTTATTTCCAGTCATTTGTCGAAGAGGATTTACCTTTTTCGGTATGGTGGTCCGAACATTCTTCGGGGCTGTTCTCGTTTTGTCTAAACGCCTAGCCTCACCAAAACCACGGCCATCGGATATTTAGGTATTCATTCTCAGGAGATCTGATATTTAATATCATGTTCCTACCAATTATCGCTTTAATTATTGTCTTCATAGTTCTGAACGTCTTACGGAATCACGATGATGAAAATCCCCAGAGCAATATGCCCACAAATTATGGAAGCTTTGACCAAGTTTTGAATTTGGCAAATGAGTGGAATCACTAAAAGTTGTTCAGGGGGGATGGAGGGGACCTTATTCTTGGAGTATGACGCGCAGGCACATCCGGGAAGGGATTTGCAGAGTTGCATTCAAATCTATTCTACAGTTATCCCCAAGCAAGAAGTTAGTTGAAAAAAGAGGTCAAATCCAGCTGCAATCGCTATGCTACCGATTTGAAATGTGACAGCGATTCGGGCAAAAGACTTTGTATTAGTTAAACTAAAATTTTAGATTTTTTTTATGATTCCTGTAGAAAAATCATAGCTAGCCTGGAGTGTGACGACAAGTCCTCAATGATTTTGAAAATACTTATTCTTTTCAGTCCCTCTGTACTTAATCAAAATTGCAGTCAGTGGTATATTAGAAAGGATAGATTTGTGAGGACATTCCTTCTCATGATCTATCTAACGCAAGACCAAAACAGAAGAGTCGGTCGGGAGCAGAGTAGTTCCAACAATCTCGTCCTCTGAAAATGATTCATTCGGCAGACTTGCATACAGAGATTCCATCATCTAGACATTAATTTGCGCTGCTTTAAAAAGACAGATGCTACATCCAGTGCCAAAAGCATGTTCAGCAGGAGAAATGCAGTCATAGCTCTGTGTAAAGCCAGTAACGTCCATAGACCACTTGAGTTAGGAGTATCCCTTGACATCATCAGCCTGCTGGTTCGCTTTAATATTGGCGGTCACGTAGCGTCGATCTCCTTGAAGATCTCTGCATTTCTTGTATCACATCAATGTCGCAACAATATCTCGATTGACTGCATGAGTTGTTATCACCCCGCATGTAAGGTCTCAACATGGTGGGATGATGTCATCGCAAACAAGAACTCGACCATAATTCAAGAGCTTCCCTAAGCACTATGATGCAGACACAAATAGAAACACGCCCACAGTATCCTGCATGACGTTGTCCACAGAATGGTTTGCCAATAAAATGGCTAGAAATAAATTAAATGTGACATCTTATGCCCTATATGGTTAGTTTGTTGGTGATTGATAGCGCCGATCGTTCCACGGATGACGTGCCGGGCTTAGCGCCACTCCATACAACCACTGTCGTGCCTGTCATCTCCATTCTGGAAGGCGACTTGATGCTTGGCCTACGTTCGCGATAGTAGCTGGGTAGTTCTCTTGTTATTTAAACTCGCGGATATCTCTCCTTGACTCCATAGTTCATCTCCATCTCCAATTAACATATTACCACTTTGAATATTATCCTCCAACTCACATCAAATCTATCTTCATCAAATTTACAAACCGCCACAATGTTTCGCCGTCACCATCGCCCAACCACCACCACTACACGCGAAAGCAAGCCCTCTCTCATGACCCGTCTGAAGGGTCCCAATGCCCGGACCAAGACTGTCAAGACTAAGACCACAACTACTCGACACGGTCCCACTGCCCACACAACTACTCGCCATGGTCCCACTACACACCGCACCTCCAAGCGTCGCTGGGGTGCAGCTTCCCAGACTCAACACCACCACAAGCGCAAGGTCACCATGGGTGATAAGGTGTCTGGAGCCATGATGAAGCTGAAGGGCACTTTAACTGGCCGCCCTGGTGTCAAGGTACGTACTTAGACGCCCGGAAGATTATCTTCGTTCCCCAACTGACTGTTATCATCAGGCTGCTGGCACTCGCCGCATGCACGGAACTGATGGTCGTGGAAGCCACCACCATGTATACTAGAGATACCCTTGACGATTCTGTACGATATGAATGATGAGACATGAGCGTTGTATGATAATTATTTTATTTGGATGATGACATTTTTTGATACCATGACTCATTTCTAATCGACAATTCATGTACAATTTTATGTAGTGTAGGACACCTCACAGGGTTAGCCACACCTATAGTTCTGACGCCCTGCATCATGTTTTGTAAATTTTCCGCACGACGCCCAGTCAAGTCACATAGGAGGAAAGAACTCAAATCTTTTCGTGGTTTCCTTCGTGCCTTTGTTGCTCACCACCCTGCTGTGTAGTTAGGATTCGGTAAGTGGTCAATAAGTCTTATTAAAAACAGGGGCGATGTTTTCAAAAATTTAATTGCAGTATAGGTCACTTCTAGTTCTGTTCCTAATATTCTGCGTATAGCCCTTATGGATATACCTAGGTCATAGGTCCTATACGTGACGACGCTAATTATTATGACATCCTAAATAAGGGCTAGCCCTCTGTGGCGGTTTAGCTAGGACGAAACTCACGATCCCTTCAGGACCTTCCTAGAAAAAGGATGACACTGGTTCCTGTTCGCACACCGCTGGTCCAACGTCATAACGCATTAAATTCTTTTGATTCTTTTGTTGCATATGACGAGTTCCTGGACCCTTTAAGGCCAAAAATATCTTGATTTGGTTGGAGCCAACACATGCAGAATTCTGATGCATTGAAACCATGCATCTCACGGCGCGAAATTCGTAATCCAAGAATTTGCTGCCGGTTCTGATTTAGCCATCTCTTAGAGGTAGAATACCACCAGCTCCACATTTTATGTTTTGTCCGGTCTCCTGCGACTTTAGCATCCTTTAATGTTCTGTCACGTTGCAGATGGTGGAACCACAGTATTGTTTTACTTGCAAAATTCCTGATCATATTCGCATTCCTCTGCTTGAATTATGTGGTGATTGCTGATCAGATAAGCCTATCTCGCTTATATACGAATATCTCCTATTTAAGGACCGGCTTCCTCCTGTAATAAAACGATCGTTCTTCATCACACAATGGTCCCCCATGGACAAGATTGGGTGGTAAAATACCGTCCAATGTTTTATCCCGGCACCCTACTTCGAAGTGCGAAGCACGAGATCTCCTTATCGTACTACTATATGAAAAGTAATCTCGATGCATGTTTCCCGCCTTTCGTCATATTCACAACCGCCTCGCTGTTATGTAGAGAGGCAAAAATTCACGAATTCTTGCCATCCATTGCTTGTATGGAAGAATATACATAGTAACTTTCAAGGATACAAGCTAACAGAAGTAGATACTTTGATATATGCTTTTCTTTATGCGTACAGCTTCGAACTCGCGAATAGTGCCGTGGGGTTTGGAAGACGAGATAAACAAACCAGATCGCCCAATCACGTCCAATGTTACAACCTTAACCGCGACGAAGATTCGGTCTCATCTCTGTGGGGGTATGGCTTGCTTACAGCCATATTCTTGATGTCCAAAGATGGACTCTGCTTTGGCTCTTCACGTTTGTCGGCTCTCATACGTTTCACTTGGCTAATGTTTGGCCTGGAAAAGACCTCGGTATGTTTTTGGGAGCAATCGCACAGTTAATGGCCTCCTGGGAGTTTTGAGGATCTGACATCGAAGTCGGCTGGAGCTGGGTGAAGATCATTATTATTTTGGGTCTTCTTCACGAGTTCAATTCAGGACTTGCGCGATGTCCCAGGAGATACGGCTTGTGGCCGTCAAACCACTCTCCAATCTTCCTGGGTGATAACCTAGGTATGTTCCTCTAGTAAGCCTGTCTTGAACCTCTTCTAATATCTTGCCTTTAAGCCCGCTTTTACACCTCCTGTAGTCTCGTTGTCTTCGAGGTAAGTGTTGAAGCTAAAAGAATATTGATTAACATCAATTAATATGTTGCGGCAGTACCTGTATATCAATTACTGGGTTTTGGAATTTCGATATAATCAGGCGACAGTGATTACGTCTATAATTGTGGCTGCTTTGACACTAGTGGTTATCTTCCGAATCATTTTTTTCAGGACGATCGAAAGTGACCGTGTTTCGTATAGATGGTATATGACCTTATACAACCTTTTGTTGGTTTCTGCATGTGTGTCGCTTGGAAGCTATTGAACGAAAGTCTTTATTTCTCCATTTTGCTTATCATTCCTACAAGAGAGCTGCTGCCCTAGTTTAAAGCCCGTTTCATCGAAACTGTAAATATTACTGTGCTTAATCTGCTTGATCACCGGCTCGAGGCTATCAAACCAGTGGGTTTACCTTTAATGAATATGATTGTCTCTTGAAACTAGCTCTGGGGCTTGTAGACTGTTCCAGTTTAATGCATCCAAACGAGTGTCCCAAGTGGTCCTATCGACTGAAAGGTCCAAATGCGGAGAGCAACGATTCCGAAATAGGAAACTGTTAGTGAAAATCCTCGTAGCTGAGTCAGTTAAGATGCCTAAATCCTCAGGACCCGCAAAAACATTTGAAACCGGAACCAATGCTTTAGTCCGTTCTCAACTTAGCTCCCTTCGTGAGTGCCGAGCGTCGTCAGCCAAGCCGGCTCCAGTCTTCTTAGCCTCGTCTGAGTGTTCAGCACAATCTACAGAGTACATTCGCCAGTACATATATGCATTCCAGGCAATTGCCATGTCCTCTCGCATGGCAATTGCACTGGTCGCTGGCATTCTTGGAGATCTCCTGTCTGCCTCACCCCTGACTCGTTCCCCTTCAACTCCCCTGGACCGCTCCGCTATTGTTGATCTCGGTTACTCCCGCTACCAGGGCGTCGCGCTAGCAAATGGTGTCGATGAGTACCTGGGGATGCGATATGCCAGACCTCCACTGAATGAGTTACGTTTCCGAGGGCCAGAGGATCCGGAGTCGACAGATGAAATCGTGGATGCGACCGCGGTAAGTTCTTATTAATTGACCGTGGCACCAGAAAAACTAACCAGTCGCAGTTCGGACCCGTCTGTGTCGGCGTGGGTCAACGAACGAGTGATTCCCTGGGGGAGGACTGCTTGTTTGTCAATCTCTGGCGCCCTTCAAATGCGACGGTCGACTCCAACCTCCCGGTTTGGTTGTTCATCCAGGGAGGTGGGTACGCAGACAATGCAAACTTCAATTTCAATGGGAGTGAAGTCGTGAAGCAATCTGGATACGATATCCTCTTCGTCAACTTCAATTATCGTGTCGGCGCCCTCGGATTCCTTGCCAGTGAGGAGATCCGCAGAGACGGCGACCTCAATGCGGGTCTGCTGGACCAGCGTAAGGTCCTCGCATGGGTGCAGCAGCACATTCGTCAATTCGGCGGCGATCCTAGCCATGTGGTAATTCACGGTGATTCGGCCGGAGCTGGCTCGGTCGCTCACCATCTCACTGCATACGACGGTCGCAACATGAATCTCTTCGTCGGCGCAGTTGCGGAGTCTACCTTCTGGCCCACGCAGCGCACGGTCGCCGAGACGGAATTTCAGTACGAGCGGTTCGCGCAGGACGTTGGCTGTGGCGGGTCAGACAACACGCTTGCCTGTCTGCGCTCGGTCGATATCACGACCATCATGAATTACGACGTTGATAAGCCATTCCCGGGTGGAAGCGACTCGCCGACTCCATTGTGGTATTTCCTGCCCGTGGTGGACGGGGTTTTGATCACCGATCGACTGTATAATTTGTTCATGCAGGACAAGTTCATTCATGTGCCTCTGGTGGTCACCGATGATACCAACGAAGGCACCCCATTTGGGTACAACGCATCCAGTCCCGAGGAGGTTGCCCAATTCATGAAGAACAATTACCCTGGGCTCAGCGATGAAGACCTGGATGAGATCAACCAGTCGTACCCCTTGACGGATCCTCTTCCCAAACATGCAGCATACTTCCCATCCGCCGCACAGGCATACGGCGAGTCGACCTTTACCTGTCCCGGGAACCACATGGCCTCCATGATGGCCCGATACTTCTCCTCCTATAAAGTATGGAATTATCGATTTAACGTCCAAGATCCGACGGAGACTGCGAAAGGTATGGGAGTGCCTCATGTTTTTGAATTGCCGGCCATCTTTGGATTGGGAGACACCAACCAAGCATCGGAGTCCTTCTCCAATATCAACGCCAAGATCGTGCCCATCACGATGAACTATTATCTCAGCTTTATCAAGGCGCTCGATCCAAATGTGTATAAGTATGTGGATGCGCCCGTCTGGAAGACATGGGGTATTGGGTACGGGCAACGACTGAAGATCCAGACGGGGTCGACGGAGATGGAACCGGTTCCTCAAGATCAATTAGATCGATGTACGATGTGGAGGGCATTTGCTGAGTCCATGGAGCACTGACGATGTTCTTATATTCTTCGGGTTGGTTCTTTGTTGCACTCGTTGTGTCACGGTGTCGCCTTCATTTTAGCGGGCGTTGGGTAGGTATTCGTGGATTGTTCAGCTTCTATGCCTTGTGGCTTCTCGATGAGCCGTCTGTATACGATAGATTTCCCTAGCCTGATCGCAGGTCATCACATCTATTTGGCCATATGAAGACTCAGTCGTGTTGGATCTCTGATCTCTCCCCAGATGTCTCCGCACTTGGTCTAAAGTGACAAGTGATACTTCCGGCCGGTCCCGCGTGTACTCGTGCTTTGTTCCGCCACTCGCAAAGTGAGGGGTAAACGACTGGATTGATGATTCCTTGAAATCCGGGGAAGCTCCACACGCCCCCACCTCTTGTCTCCTCATCATGACCGGAACTCGCGAGAAACGTTGGAAAACGTGAATATCTTCGCCCCTGTATATATTCACTGCACACGGTCTCCTGCTGCAGGATGTCTCATCCACACTCTCCCCACTCATCATTTCCTTCACTCGCAGTCGAACTCGTCGAGCTCATCGCGGGCTATTTGGAATGTGATGGATTACTGGGATTGCGCCTGACATGTCGTGATCTGCAGAAGAAGACCTTCAACCACTTTGCGCGCCGCTTCTTCTCGTCTATCAAAACGGATCTTTCCGAAGAGAGTCTCGGTCGCATCGATGCGCTTTCTCGGCATGAAGAACTCCGCCCATACGTCCAGGGTCTCGCCTTTATGCTGCAAAACGGCGTTGGTCGCGGGCTAGTTTGGGACCGATATCCCTGGGGTGCCTTGTCTGCGCCCCTGGAGATCGAAGCGATCGGTCGGTTACGCGATAATCTTGTCAACAAGTTCACAAACTGTCGATCATTTTTCATTTTCTGTCGATATCCCGAGGGTCATCCTGATATGAGCTGTGTCACTATCTCGGATGCGGTCGCGGTGTTCTTTGCGATGGTCGTTGATGCGCAATTACCTGTAACATCCTTCCATTTAATCTATGCGAATAAATACTCTCGCACGTTGGTCATGGATATGCGTCGCATGCCGAAACTTCTATATCGGCAGCCAGAGTTTAAGATGGTCTGGTCGAATCTGCAGAAATTATCCCTGGAGCAATATCTCACTCTTGATAATTTCGGATTCCTCCTCGAACTCGTCCTCAGTGCTCCTAATCTCCAGACTCTTTTATTGAACCTTGGCTCTCACGATCTGGCAAGCGAATTCATGCATGAACTAGCGGAGACAGCCTCATTACCGCACTTGCAGGAACTGGCGTTATTCAGGACTTCAGTGCAAGTGCCGGACCTTAAGAAACTGCTTCACGGCCTGCGCGGAAGTCTAACAACGCTGACGCTATACCATGTATCTTTGACGCCGGATCAAGATTGGATGTCCGTTCTGAAAGAGCTGAGCCAGAGTTTCGAGTCTTTGCAGAGCATCTCGCTGTATTATTTGTGGGCTACTGCCCCGACGAAAGAGTTGCTTTCGTTCCCGGATATTCATAAAGCACCTGAGCTGTGTGATACGCCTAAGCAGAAACTGCATATGCTCTACTCGGAGAATGTGCAGAGTCCTACTGTGCTTGGGATTGAATACTCTGGCTCGAAAATGGAGCATGTCCTGAGGTTGTTACAGGCCGCGACGTGACTTTTGCAGACCGTTGAGGGCGACCTTGGCACTGGCTTCCGTTGCGTACATTGGCTCGATAGTGTTTTTCTATATTGTATACTTGCATTATTTTCCTAATTATGGAGGTTGGGTCCTCTGGATTTGTTGATTTTCATTTTATGCATACATCAGCTAGGTTGAACTCTTAAATCGTCAATGAATTTGCAGATATTTCTTGAGCAAGGAAGCAGCTGCGGCGCCCATTGCATAACCTCAAGTCCAGGTTAGTTATTTATAGCAAGTCAATCTCCCCGTGAACATAATATCCCATTTCACTCCTTCATTTAAGGCTCTTCAAACTTTGCTTCTTTACATTCCGACCCGACAGCTCAATCACCGTCTGCTTGATATCCCCCTCAAAGCCAAGCGACACTCGAAGCTTCTCATCAGGCCACAGCGTTAGATAATTATCTGACCAGAAGACGGGTGCAACGTCTGCACCATCAGATGACTTGATCGCGTTCAGTCGCAGGAACACGGCGGGAACCTTGGACTTGTTCTCCAGTTGGACATCAACGTATGTCCAGCCATCCTTGGCCTTGGCCTTTACACTTATCACGGTGGCTTTGACATTTGCGGAGGGAAGTTTTTCCAGCTTTTTGTAATCTGTATAATCGGTCACCGGGGTGGTGTACCAGTTTGACTCATCCCAGTTGAGTACGTCGACTTTAGGAGAGAGCCAGTACACGTTGTGGCTCACGTCTCGCTTTGCTTTGGTGTCGCGGAGGACGAGGCGCAGGAATGCAATATCCTTGATCTTGTCGATGCCGCTTACTTGTTGGATTTCCTTGGACGAGTTCGGCACGGTGGTAGTCTTGACCTTGGTGCCGGAGATTTTCTTGCCGTCAGTGTCGATCAGATCGATGGAGATTTCTCGGTCACCAGTTACATCTAAGGAATGGTTGATTAACCAGACACTTCTAGACTCGTAGTCGTATACAACGTGCTCCAGGCGATTGCCGACTTTGGTGCCAAAGTAAGCCCCCATTGGGCTCAGATAGTAATCAAATAATTGCCAGTGGAGGTTCGGCCAGGCACTGTTCAGCATCCAGTAGATAGATCCGGTCGCAGGTCGAGATGCATTCTGTTTGGCAGAGTATGCCTCGTACTGGGCCCGAGTTGCTTCGTAATCGGCCATCTGGCATTTCAAGATATAGTCTTCAAGACTCTGTGCCTTGCCATACCGAGCGAAAAGAGCCTTGTTGTAGATGGAGCGATCGAAGAATTGCGAGTCGTATCGGGACATGTGAAAGAGGCTAGCATCTGGCTCTTTCCACAAAGTTTCCAGGTCTTTGTCAGACATGAATCTCTTCAGACTGCCCATCTCGGGTGTACCAGCTCCCGCTCCAAGCTCGGAGCCGAACCCGAACGCAGCGCCTTCCTGGTCGCCATACCAGTAGTTGGGGGGCACCCAGTCGTACGGGCCGTCCATTTTCATTCCAGAGGGGCCCAGAGCTTCAGGGTACCCGCGTTTACTGGCAGACGCGATGATGGGATTTTTCCAGTCCATGTCTTTCAAGGCATCTAGGTAGACTTCCGTGGCACGGTCATTGGGCCAATAGTCTGAGCCTACGAGGAAGCCCAGCATAGAGGGATGCGCTTGCATCATCTCTGCTTCGTGAAGCATTGCAGCTTGGGCAATAGGATAGTCGGATTCTCCCCATTTGACCCCCTGGGCGTCGTTATTGTACTGTGATCCAGTTAGAGGTGCTCGAAAACACAAGTTCATGGCAGATGATATTACCTCCCAACCCTCCCACTTGTCACAGCATTCCCAGCCGGCAAGTACCATCATACCCATTCGATCAGCAAGCTCGTATAGCTCTGGATGCTCCTGCTTGCCTTCCAGACGAACTGTGTTCATTCCCATGTCAAGCATATACCGGAAGATCTTCTCCAGCCGGGTCTCATCAAAACGCAAGAACATGTCCGGCCCATAGCCGGCTCCCATCACCTGGAATGGCTGGCCATTCACGACAAAGGCCGTATCGTTGTGCTGGTTCACGTATGAAGATACGTGTCGAATACCGAACTGTTGAGCCCGAGTCTTGTCCGAGATGTTCATTGTCCTGTCATGAACAAGCAAGTTTGTTCGTACCGTGTATAGTGGCTGCGCACCCCAGCGAGCGGGCCACCATATCGAGGCATTCTCAACGCCGACTTTGATTGAGACTGTTCTGCTCTCACCGGGCTTGAGTTCCAAAGATCGGGTGATGGGGCCAGCCTTTGATCCTGGTGGCGGGGTGATGGTGCCATTCACGGACACTTGGACAGTCTTTTGCGAGTGGTTGACCAGGTCCGTCTTCAGCGTGACGTTAACCTTCTGGTTCTGATCAGGCATTGTGAGATCTGTTATCACGCGAAAAGGTGACATCGAGACAGGGCCCGTCTGAGATATCTCCACATTCCGCCATACCCCCGTGCCGTTATCTGAAGGATAGGGGTTCCAGTCAACAAAGCCTAGGGCGAAATCTCTTAGATAGTTCGTCGGGTAAGCTTTGATGAGCAGACAGTTTGTTCCATCCTTGACATGGCCGGTCAGGTTGTATTTATGACCACCATACGATCCCTGTTGCTCGTTACTGGTCGCGATCCGCTCACCGTTCACGTAGATCTCGGCTTTCGAGGTGATCCCGTGTGTATGCAGTGTAAAGTATTGGTTGTCACCCGGGGTGAGAGTGAACTCCTCCCGGTACAGCCATGGAGAACGGAAAGTAGGATCCGAGGCCAGTTGGTTCAAGTTGTCTGAGAAGAATAACTCCGTATCATTGAACACGCCAGCTTGAAGCAGGCCGGCCATCACGGTTCCACGCGGGCCGACACGATGCCAGGTCGACACATCCACACCGGGCTGGGACAGGCCAGACATATCATCTGACACACGGGTACCAGACTGGAGACTCCATCCTGGGATGGTGGCAATGTCACCGGGAGATGAGACGAGAGGCGACACAGCGTTGCTGGCTGCGTGGACCCCCGCCAGGCCCACAAAGAGGGCACTCAGAGTTTGCGACAGATTCATCTGTAAATATCTCTTTCCCTATTGTGCAAGGCCGGTAGAGATAGCCTAGGTGTTGTGCCATGAAATTTGGGATCTTGTCGAGATAAATATTGCCACTGATCACGTTTGTCGCGTGTCACCAGAACAGGGTGAAGTTGCATCGTGAGCGACCGGTTGAGCGAGGGGGTTCTACAACCGTGGCAGACGAGATGTCCGATGTGCCTCATTCTGGTGCAGGGACCTACTCTGTCTGGACTAGTTAGTTCGGTGATTCCGGGGAATTGTAGATTTTCCCGGTTCAATCTGGCAAAGGACGAGCGTATTCCAAACAAGGCGAAGGGTTCATTAGCGCTAAGACTGTTTAGACTCTTGGCAGGGAAAACACGTCGGTGAAGTAGTTGTCGGGTCCTAAATTGGCGCCGACAAGGAGATAAGAATGGCTTAGTACATCGCAGAGCAACCTTGAATTTTACTTGATAACATGAATAACTATTGTATCAGCGGGCCACCTAGCTATCAGTTGGGAATCGTTGAATGATGGATGTGACTACTGAAGTAGAAGAAAAATAAATACATTTCCACATCGGGACCAACGGGAGCAACTCTTCCACCATCTCTACCTCATCCATTTTTACTTATAACAAGACTTGGAACTTTCTCTACTCCGATTACATGAATACAACTATGTTTCGCTGTCTCCAGAGATACAGCCTATGAATGAAGAGGTCGGCCAACCCTACGGGGCTCCCAACGAAGTCCTCTGTCTGTCGGCCGTTCGATCTAGATATATATTTCTCGTGCAACCACGCCCCAGGTCGGCCAAATGACAGCGTAGTGAAATTAGTACATGATCTTCCATACCTATTTCTCCTGCATTACTGATTCCAGCAAGATAAAAACCATTTGATCTGAAGTAGCAGGTAAAATAGGCGCCAGGGATAGTTTGAGAGACATGGACTTGGTATGCGGAGACCATTGATGCCAGAAAATCGAGGTGTCATCCATCTCTTTGTCAACCACCACTCATTGAGCATAATCTCCTCACTTGTCAGTTCAATCCAGCGCTGTCCTCAGAGAGCAGGACACCGGGACAATTGAATTGTCTCCTTGGCCTGTTCGGCCCTCTTCACCTCCAAAATGCAGCAAAGGGGCGAGGCCCCGACCCGTCCATTCTCCTTTCCGGAAAGGGATGGCCATGACGAACGACGGAATGCGGCCAGTGTTGCATTACGACTCGCTTGCAGTCAAGACCCATCAAGATTATGACTCCATCGCAACAGGCCTTTGGTGTTCATGATTGGGTCTACTCTGCCCATTGTCCCTATCGATTGTGTCGCTGTGGTTGACAGCTCTCTGCCCGCATTCCACGCAGATCCGCATCGTGGAGCAGAGCGAGCTAGAACCATGGAAGCCCCGACTCATTGAAAGCTCCATGGTTACAATTGACTCTCCTCTGGAACTTATTCCGGGAAAAGTGACAATACCTTCGCTGGAGGGTTCCTTGTGCGGTCAGCCGTATGGCCAGGGGCCTTTTCCCCTGGGCAAGGGTGCCACCATGATTCGAGGGATGGAAGTATTGTTACCATGCCAGCACTCCTGGTATCTATGGAATGTGATCGTTTGATCCACACGCGGCCCTCTCGCGCGGCTTCCCCTCATGGTTACTGACGTTGCGCTCCTTTTTTTTCCTTCACATCTTCTTCTTTGCACGTTCGCATGAAGAAGCCGGATCGCCGTGAATCACGGCGTGAACTGAGTATCTACAACTATTTCCTCACTGATAGGGTCTTCGTTCTTTCAGGAAGCTTGAATTGAGGCGGCATTACCTGTCAATTCGCCAGAGTGTATCGAGTCTTCCAGTCTCTTCGTCGATCGCAAAGCACATAATGCGAGTGGCCGGCCACTCGACTCGCCCTTCGTGGGTGAGTCTCTTGACAATTGGTCTAGCGGGACTAGGATATGTCGGTGCTTTTGATATGGATATAGAAGATCCAGGTGAGAACGTCATGCCAGACACTTGATAATGGGAATCTGACTGGCTTCAGACTCGATCAAAAAGGCAGCCAAGGATATTGTGACCAACATGATGACTTATTATACTGGTATGAACCCTGGCGACAATCCAGGTAACTTGCCAGATCCATACTACTGGTGGGAGGCGGGTGCAATGTTCAACGTCTTGATTGATTACTGGTACTTCACTGGGGACGACACCTACAACGACATTACCATGCAGGGCATGCTCTGGCAAGCGGGCGACAATGGCGCATTTATGCCCAACAATCAATCGAAGACCGAGGGAAACGACGACCAAGCCTTTTGGGGATTTGCGGCAATGTCGGCTGCCGAGCGAAACTTTCCCAACCCCCCAGACGGCAAGCCCCAATGGCTGGAAATGGCTCAGGCTGTCTTTAATACGCAGGCCCCACGATGGGACCCTGCTACTTGTGGAGGTGGACTGCGCTGGCAGATCTTTACATGGAACAATGGGTACAACTACAAAAACACCATCTCGACCGGTGGTTTCTTCCACCTCGCTTCACGGCTTGCGAAATATACCGGAAATCAGACATATTCTGATTGGGCAGAGAAAGCGTGGGACTGGATCTCTGACGTTGGTTTCATGACCAAAGACTATCATTTCTGGGACGGAGCGAGTGATTTGACCGACTGCAAAGAGATTAACCAGATTGAATGGACTTACAACAATGGGGTGTTCTTGCTCGGCGCAGCCAACATGTACAACGTGGTACGTGCATTCCATTCGCGTTTGGATTGAAAGAAGTGAAACTAATTTTGGCCAGACCGAGGACCCCAAATGGAAAGAACGCGTGCAAAAGATTCTTGACTCGTCCGAGATCTTCTTCGCCAAGACACCGCAGAACGTGATGTACGAGCGTGCTTGCGAAACGGTCAACACTTGCATGGTCGACCAGCGATCATTCAAGGGCTATCTCGCGCGATGGATGGCCGCCACCACTCAAATGGCTCCATTCACTTTTGACCAGATCATGCCAAAGTTGAAGGCTTCCGGGCAAGCTGCTGCCAAGACTTGCACGGGTGGCGAGCTGGGGACTACCTGTGGCCTGAGATGGACTGATCAAAAATGGGATCATACCAAGGATTTTGGTCAGCAGATGGCAGCTCTTGAGGTCGTTCAGGCCAACCTTATCACTCAGGTTGCGCCGCCCGTGACCAGCGACAATGGCGGCACGAGCAAGGGAAATCCCAATGCTGGTGGGAAAGACCCAGAGCCAAAGCCGAAGGCTCTGTCCTACAAAATCACCACTGCAGACAGGGCCGGTGCAGGTATTCTGACTATTATGATGCTGGCTACCCTTGGTGGATCATGCGGCTGGTTGATTTGGGACTAGATATGCTTCCTTTTTCTTTTCTTTCAACCATCTTTGTTCGATGTACCTGCGGTGGACGTTTGGTTTTGTTTCATTGGGTTTGGTGTGGAATGGAGTTTTGTGAATAATGGCTGGATCTGATATATACTGGATTTGAATCTTATTTTTCTATTTCTAACTATTTTCTCTCTTTAAACTTTTCACTTCAACAATCTCAGAGTGTACTAGGAGTGGAACAAAACCGGTCCTGGGAATGAAGCCATCGGATATACGGGATTACCCTTCCCCACATTTTCCCCCCGGACGAAGAGGGGGAACAATACCCAGCAATATCACCCTGATGGGTAGGATCTCATCGCAAAGAGGGGTTGCTGGCGTGGCGGGGGTTATCCGTAGCCGCGTTCCTCGGTGGTCGGCTAACCCAATGGTCGAGGATACATATACATCTCTGGTCTTCGTGAAACAGCGATGCAGCCTCCAAAGACTTGCTCAAGAATTCACAATGGGTTCAGTCACGGAGACGCAGCAATACGACATCCCCACCCACTGTAAAGCGGGTGTCGTTGTCAATGAAGGCCCAGACTTCCATGTCGAGGTGCAAATGGTACCGGTTCCCGAGCCAGGTATGTAGTACACAGTTCAAGTTTCTAGCAGCCGTGACTGACGCCTCAAACTTGTCGTTATCCAGGACCCGACGATGTCTTGATCCGACTTAACTTCACGGGCCTGTGCTATTCGGATATCCATATGATGATGGGTGATTTGGCCGCACCACCCATGTCGACCTTTGGCGTTCGGTCCCCGGGTCACGAAGGTGCCGGAGTGGTCGTCAAAGTCGGAGCCAATGTGAAGAACTTCAAACTCGGCGATAGAGCGGGAATCAAGCCGCTCACCGATACGTGTGGTTCTTGCCATTTGTGCTGGGATGATAAGGAGACGTACTGCAGGAAGGCTATCCATACTGGATTGATGACAGCTGGTGAGTTGTATTATCTGATGAACCCTCGGATTATCCGCGAGGTCTCACACTCAGACAAGGTACATACCAGCAATATTTGGTTTCTCCTGCACGATATGCTTCGCCGATCCCCGATGGTGTTCCCGACGAGATCGCCGCGCCGGTTATGTGCAGCGCCAGCACGATTTACCGGTCGCTCCTTGAGTCCAACCTTAAATCGGGGTCTTGGGTAGTCTTCCCAGGTGGCGGAGGTGGAGTCGGTATCCAGGGTGTGCAACTGGCCAAAGCCATGGGCATGCGTCCCATCGTCGTGGACACCGGAAGTGAGAAACGTGATTTATCGCTGAAGATGGGCGCAGAAGCATTCGTTGATTTCAAGGAAGAGGAGGATCCGGCCAAGGCTGTGATCGAGGTGGCGGATGGTATTGGTGTTCATGGGGTTTTCGTGACGGCCCCTGCTGCGTATAAGACGGCAGTTTCTTTCGTTGGTGATCGCGTTGGATCCATGGTGATGTGCATCGGGCTGCCCTCGATCGGGTCTGTGAATCTGGGAACGGATCCCTGCGAGTACATTATGAAGAATCTTACCATCAAGGGGACCTTGGTGGGTAGTCGGAGGGATACCGCGGTGGCTTTGGATTTTGCCCGTCGTGGGATGCTGCAGCAGATTAGTGAAGTGTATCCCCTGAATAGACTGCCGGAGGCGGTTGAGAAGCTTCGCAAGGGCCAAGTTGCGGGGCGCATTGTGGTTAATTTCAATTGGGAAGAGTGATGGCGGTTGGTTGGAGTGTGCCATGCGTCGATGAGCGACGGAGACCTTTGTTGAAGAACGGATAAATGCGAGTCAACAACAAATTATTGGGTTATTTACTCATTGGCTTTGAACGCATAGAATTGATTCTCTCTATGTAAAACAGTCTAATCGAAGAGTAAGAAAAATCACGAAAGAAACTAGAAAATTCACACCTCTAGCTCGACATGTCCCATCTCCGAGCCTCGTTGTTACAATTTGCTAGAGACAAAGTAGGGAACACCCTGGGCCTCGTAGAGATCCTTGTGCGCAGCCTTGATGATATCCGCTCCCTAGAATGATTGTCAGATCCTGATATCGCTTTTGAGTAGGGGTGTTGTGTGGCTCACCTTTTCACCGATCATGTAGACCGAGTTTTGGATACGGCAGTCGGGAATGACTGGCATAACGGAAGCATCCGCGATTCTCAGGTTGCGGATTCCGTGGACACGGAGCTTCGAGTCAACCACACCCTGGTGGATGCTCTTCGAGAGACGAGCGGTACCGCAGGGGTCTTAAGAGGGATGTTAGCACTGTACACTTTGAGTCAATGAAGAATAACACTTACGGAATCCGGTCTGGCTTCGGTCCAGGACAGCTCGCTTCATGTCCTCATCAGAGTGCAGAGGCATCTTCCAGGGGTACTCGGCAAGGACAATGTCCTTGAAACCGGCACCGGTGGTCAAAACGTCGTATGTCCAGCGCACACCCTCGCGCATAGCCAGAATGTCCAAGTCGTTGGCGAAGAAGTTGAGGTTGATGTTGGGCTGAACCTGGGGGTTCGCGCTGTTCAGAGTGACCTCACCCTCGGACAGGGGGCGGAGCAGATCGACAATAACGGTCATGTAGTTGCCCTTCTCGGGAACGGGGTAGTGCCACTGGAAGGCAGTGCTGAAGATACCTACAAAGTCCAGCTCGAAGTGAGGCTGGCCGGCGGGTCCGAAGGGATCCAGGCCGCCGTTGGCAGCCTTGGCCTCGCGATAGGCAGGATATTTCTCCAGACGCTCATCGATTCGAGGGAATCCGACCATCTCCAGCAGTCCAGAGCTAACGGGACCAGTCTTGTCGCGGTTGTAGGCAGCAACGGCGGAGTCGTTCAGAGAACCAGTGCGGAGCAGATGATCATCGAGACCGAAGCCATCCTTGATCTGTAGCACGAAAGGTACGATAGGGTGATCCAGAAGATGCTGGCCAACGTGGGGAGAGTTGACGACCGGGGTGATTCCGTGTTTGGCAAGCTCATCAGCAGGACCGACACCGCTGAGCATGAGGAGCTTGGGAGTCTCAAACACACCCTGAGACACGATCACCTCACGGCTAGCATAAACACTGATCTCGGTATTGGAGGCCTCACTGATCACGGTGACACCAGAGCAGACCTTAGTAACTGGATCGATGATCAAGCTCTTGGATTGAACACCGAAGAGGATGGTCACATTAGGCTTATTCTTCAGGTACAGGAAGCTGCCCTGGCGCTCACCCTGGTAGATGGTATCCACGCAGTGGGTCAAACCTCTCATCTCACCAGAGTAAATATCCTCAGTAAGGACTTCGCCCTTAGAGACCCAAGCCTCGGTGAGGGCATCACGGAACGGCTGCATCTCGGGGAGTAGCTCAGCATGAGAGATGTGCACGGGACCGCCAGTTCCAATCTTGCTCAGCTCGGAGGGATATAGCTTCTCATCGTCGTGATAGGTAGCACATTTACGGAGGTAGTCCACACAATTGTCCCACGTCCAGTCACGGCCACCAAAGTCTTCCCAGTCATCAAAGGTAGGCTTCGAACCGGGGATCCAGGTAAAGTAGTTGGCACAGGAGCTGCCACCAAGAGCCTTTCCACGGGTGTTGGGCTTTTCAATTCGTTCGTAGTCGTCACGCTTAATCATGGTGGTCTTATATGCCCAGTCGTACTTGCTTCCGCGAAGGTTGAAAGCTTTGGAGGGCGTAGTGATCTCATCGATCTGGTCGGGGTTGGGGATACCCGCCTCCACGACCAGAATGCGAACGTTGGGGTTTTCAGCGAGGCGACCGGCAACAGCATTGCCAGCGGTACCACCGCCGACGATGATGAAGTCGTACTCGGAGCCGTTAGAAACCATAGCCATGATGGTGGTGGTGGTTGGTATTGAGGTTTTTGAAATAGAAAGAGTTAAATAGAAGAGTCAATTGAGTCAATTGAGAACGATCTTGATCGTCTTCCGATGTCTTGAAATTGTTAATGAGGAAAAGACCATCTCTAGCTGGAGAAAGCAAGTAGCTTTATACATTTGGATAGCTTTGAAGTTGATATCATGTTCAACTATACCGACTTTGCCGGCATCCGAAAGACATCGTGACGGGTCCCGAGTAAAGTCCGGAGTCAGCAATTAGGGTTGACAATGTAGATGGATTTCTCGTTGTCGCGATGCAGAGACTGTAGCTCTACTTGACGCAGTAGTGTTACTGTATACGGTAACGGGTGTGGCTGAGATTGAATAGGGCGGCCAATACGGTCGCGTTCAACATGCGCCCGACGGGCCGACCAGAGACTTCGCGAATGAGAAAGAACAGGCCGTACCCATTTCGGTGACTTCCCCTCATGAGGGGACTGATTAGATGCGGAGAATTTCCCCAATTCTTGTCCGCTTTGTCCCGACCGAGTAGCACAACTGGCCAATCAGAGGCTTTCAATTACGGGCAGCCATACAGTTATCGACTGTGGCTGGGATACCTAAGATACCCACTCTCGGAGATGACTCGGCGGCACAAACTCGGCGTGCATTGTTTTCCGCACAGAATCTACCTCATACGCTGAAGCTACGATCCTTACTAGGATGTGATCTCATACATGCTCCAGACCATTCTTGATTTCGAAGCCTTGTAGCAGCAAGTGATAACTACCTGAGCCGGGCACGGGTGTAGCGGCACTACTAGATTGCTGCGGAATGTCGGCAGGAGGGGCTGCTGTACATATAGGATTTTCCAATGCCTATCGCCCCATATAAGCTTATCATAGCCTTACCCCATGTAGCACGCTAATAGATTTTCTCTCGGATCGGTTTCCTTGCCTTGGTGTGTGATAAAAATTTGAGGACGACACAGACTATGATATAAAGCCCTCCTCATTCCCCAACCGATACGTCAACCCATATCAGACAATTTCCTTCAGAAATTGAACGCAGAAACATCCTCAATGCCGAGTCCCCAATTCACCTTTGCCGAAGGTAACGTGCTGAACTACATTTTAGCTACATTCTAGCAATCATCATTCCGTTTCTGACATCCTCCAAGGCCAGCCGGTCGTTGACCCATCCACGAGCATCACCTTGCCTACGTTGGGTGGCGGTGGCCTTACGACCCTAGGAGATACCCTGCTCATTGAGACTCTTACTCATTTTAATCGGGAGCGCATTCCCGAGAGGTATGTTGACATTTTCGTTCTTTGTGGTCTCTCATTTATCTTACTGTTTTTTACAGAGTTGTTCATGCCAAGGCAGCCGGTGCATGGGGCGAGTTCGAAGTAACTAACGATGTTTCTTCGCTCACCTCGGCCAAGTTCATGAACGGAGTCGGCAAGAAGACTCCAGTCCTATTCCGCCTGAGTACGACTGGCGGTGAAAAGGGCAGCGCAGATACCGTTCGGGATGTGCGAGGCTTCTCGGTGAAATTCTTCACTGAGGAAGGTAACCATGACATTGTGGGAAACCATGTTGTAAGTTATCTGTTTTCAATATGCACCTACAGCTGTCATACTAACGTATCCAAGCCGGTCTTCTTTGTCCGCGATCCCATTCGCTTCCCCTCGTTGAACAGGAGTCACAAGAGACATCCTGCTACTAACTGCCCTGATTGGACCATGGTAAGTCTCATTTGGTGAAGCCTATATTCTGACATCTACTCACAAGATTCTCCAGTTCTGGGACTTCCATGCGAACCAGCCGGAAAGCGTCCATGCTCTGATGCATCTTTTCGGCTCGCGAGGTATTCCCGATTCTATTCGTCGAGTCACCGGCTTTGGCGTGCATACATTCAAGCTGGTGACGGCCGAGGGCCGATTCCGATACTGCAAATTCCACTTCCGGCCTGTCGACGACATCACCCATTTCTCAAAGGAAGAGGCGACTCGCATGGCCGGAGTTAATCCCGACTTCCACAACCAGGATCTGTGGTTCGCTATCTCTCGTAAACAGTTCCCCGTGTGGAAGCTCTACGTTCAAGTCATGGAACCGGAGCAGGCTGAGACGTACGGTCGCGGCCTCTTCGACATCACCAAAGTCTGGTCTCACAAGGACTTCCCCTTGATCGAAGTTGGCAAGATGACTCTCAACAAGAATGTAAGAGAACATTGTATCACCAAGATAACTCTTTTGCTAACGGGACTGGTCAGCCTGAGAACTACTTTGCCGAAATTGAACAAGCGGCATTCTCACCTTCGAACATGGTGCCAGGCATTGCGATGACGCCCGACCCCAGTGAGTCAATCTTAAATGGGACCTACACGATGGCTATGCTAATACCATTACTACAGTGCTGCAAGCTCGTATGTTTGCCTATCCTGACGCCCAGCGATACCGACTCGGAGTAAATTATACACAACTCCCATCGAATCGTGCCATCTGCCCCGTTTATGCTCCCTATGAGAGAGACGGCATGGGTATGCACACCCGCAACTATGGTGGCGATCCAAACTATGTGCGCAGTTCCTTGAGCCCCGGTATCCCCAGCCAGACGATCTCGGACGTGCGACACACCGAGGCCATTCAACGCTCTGCCTTCTTGGGTAAGAATGAGATTGCAGTCGATGACGAAGATTACGTGCAGCCCCGAGAGCTGTGGAACAGAGTCTTTGACGAGGCTGAGAGAAAGCTGTGGGTTGAGAATGTCTCGGAGACTATTGAGGCCATTCCTGCAGGCTTGAGGCAGGCCGTGATTGCGATGTTCAGCAAGGTCGATGCACGCATTGGACAGATGTTGGCTGCCAAGGGCAAGGAAACTTCGCATCTTTGAACAATTATGAATATTTGATAGACTGTACTAGAAATTAGACTTTATGCACATACTAAAGGTGGACCTCGTTGAGTACGGGATTGGTAAAGAGCTCTTAGTAAACTCATCTTGAATGGCATCTCATGGCTTAGCAATGTTTTTCTGGAGAAAGTGAGATTCATCAACGACGATTGCCAGGGACTATCCGTGGCAGTAACAAGCGCTCAAGAGTATATGCTCCCAACATAAGGCCATTCCGTTCGAACACAACTAGAAAACCACAACTCAAAAATTCATGGAAGAAGGTTAGATTGGTGGTATTCCGATCTGACTATAAGCTCTTGCAAATTTCCAAAAGAGATGACAGGGATCTTCTCCAAGTTCATCGTAATGATATTCGGCCAAAGACCCACTTTAGCTCCCCTCGACGCACGTGACATGTCGATACCTTCCCCGTCCTCCGAGCTCTCTCGTTCGCTCTGTCCATTGTAAACCGCACACAATCCTCACACCTCCCCGGATATCCAACTACATGGTCCGTCACCACCATGGTTGAATCTTTCACACTTCCTCTGCGCCCACCTCCGGAGCAAAATGAGCGCCCGGACACCCTCCCCGTCGAGATCGCCCAGATCAACAACCAGTGGGGTTCTTTCCGTGAGGTGAATGAAGAAATCCTGCGAGCCAAGATCGCCGAGGAAGAGAAACGCCATGGCACACAGCAAGACGAAGAAATGGGCGAGGCCGAACCGGAGGCTGGAGAACTTGACGCGACTGAACGTCGTGAGCAACTGTACAAGCGACGCCACGAGATCACCCAATTCGCAATGTCGGTCATATTCGCCCGATGAAAAGAGGCTTTCAGAGAAGTGTAGCTGACACAAACGTCTCAACAGAAAGTCCCACCAGGAAACTATGCTCGCCCTTGATTTTATTTCCCTCCTACTCTCGAAACATGCGCCGCGCCAAGCCGAAACCTCCATGTCTCCTTTGCTCAAGCAACTCGCGCCTCTCGGCTCTCTCGATTCCGACATGGTGAACCCTCCTCCGCGATCAGAATCGGCAATCAAGGACATCTCGACGGTGTCGAGAGGGTGGCGCATCCAAAACTTCAATGCCGCCTCGAACAAGCTCTTGAGTGCTGCCACCAGACTAAACGGCGAGATCGAATCGGAGACTCGGTACTGGAACGAAGTGCTTACCGTCAAGGACAAGGGCTGGAAGGTCTGCAGACATCCACGAGAGCGACAAGCTTTAGCTGTACAGTATGGATTCATGGAAGGTATGATAAGTTATGTCCTACGCTACAGAGTACGCATATTTCTAACCACAGTACAACAGCTACACCTATTTTCCGCGACCGTGGGCTCGCTTCTCTCCGACGGGCGAAGGATGGAAGTCTGATCCTGGACAAAGGCCTGCTTCCCACGGGGGCACGTCACGTCCGGGTCCGGGTAAAACAAGGAGAGCAGATCTTTGAGAGCTCACAGCCGCCTGGAAGTGGCCTCAGTGATGCAGATCCAATCGAGCATCGCATCCTCCAGGCACGCGATTCGGTTTTCGAAGAAGAGCTTTTCCATGAACTGGTCCGAGAAGCCAGGTCTATGGCGGGTTGTAGCGTGACTACTCGTCAAAATCTTATTCGCATCCCCGTCTCTGAGGAAATCGAAATTCTGCTAGATCTCGTGGATGCCGATACACACGGTGTTGTTCTTGAACAAGACCAGGCGCAACCTGATAGTCGGCTTGCAGACGGGTTAGCCCATGCCATCCGGATTCTACTGTGCTTTGCTCATCGTCAAAACTTGCGTCGAAGAACTCAACTCCCTCGTCCTTTGACAACGACAAGACCGACAACGCCAGAGTACTATCTCCTCCGTCCCGCCTTGGCTTACCTGCAGCATCTATCCCATGTCAGGTGGCTACAATCATATCTTACAGATATCTACTCGGTCTTGCGATCTGCCGGCCTGGACATGCCGGAGTGGACTTCGAACCAATACGCTAGCTGGAAGCTGTCACCAACATCCCCACCACCGGCTTCTCTCGAAGCGCTGGTCGAAACGTTCCTTCGGCCGATCGAGTCTGTTTTCACTGGGAAACTTCTCACTTCTCGTGGCTCATTTACCGTCGCCATTCGGACCAACCTATCATCACCGCCCTTTGGCACCCATTATGAGGTTTCTGTGAAACTGCCGACTATTCCAGATCTCAAATCACCCGGTCGTCTGGGCTTGAAGGATGAGGTTGAAGCGGCGATTACACATCTTCTGCTTCTTGATGTAGTCTCAACGATCTCATCCAAGACGCGATCAGCTACTGACAATGGCCATGGTACGGTTGCCTCAAAGGAGCAAAGCTGGGATGCGATATACCCTCACCTTGGGGAGCTTGTCCTGCCTAATGCCAACCCTGAAAAACACAAGAAGATGAAGGTTACTCTCTCTCGTCATGGAATGACACTCACAACCTACGTTGTAAATAGCATCGATGGTATTGGCCGTGGCGCCTGGGAACTCCGGTCGCACAAAGCGGCGGCTCATCTTTGCAGATTCCCTCCGCCATCGGGGGGAACTCTGGATGACCAAGAATATTCGTCGGCGATGGATTTCGTTGTCGCGGAGGGGTCTGATGAGCGTCCGTGAGGCGAGTCAATAATCGCTGATAATGCGACCCCAGTCTGTTGTTTTCAATTATTTTCAACCCACATAGATACCCTATTCTGCGCTTTAATCTATACTTTTCCAAGCGAATGAGTACGTTTTTGTTTTCCAATTTAAAAAAAATAAGGATTTTCGGTTCATCTGTCCTCATCATGAGTATGCTGATCTCCCCCTCTCGAGAGGCCGAACGAACGACAAAAAGATGTGGACTCACGGGGAATTGAACCCCGGACCACTCCCAAGCTCATATTAGAGAGCAGATGCTTTCCAATGCGAAGGGAGTATCATACCCCTAGACCATAAGCCCAATCGATATAATATCTGTCAGACTTTAACCTTAAGACAGGCAGCATAATCGGACGAAAAGGAAATCCAAGCCGTTCGGCCCATGGGTCACGGGTGGGTACAGCGAGGCACTTCATAAGCGGAGACAACTTTGATTCAGTCAGGGCTCTTTTATCTGTCATACAGAGATGAAAGGAAAACTAGCACAAGATATTATGCACACCCTCAAATGAACCATTTTGGGGAGACTGATTGGTCTAGGGAAGGCTTCTCAACTGAAGCGGCTACCGCAGAGTGCACGGGTGGGGTATACTCCGATTATGTACATCTCATCCATCGGATTGAACAAATATTCCCAAGTACTCGAAAATGTCATTATCATTAAGTTCATATACAAAGTCCATGCCTACTTAGTAGAACCACCGGAAGTCATCACTAGCAGGACCCTCATTCAGGTTCTCCGTCGGAATATCCCTCGCCTTGACATGGACGCCCTGTCGCCGATCTCTACGTTTGTTATCAAACATCATCCAAAAGCCAAGAGCCAGAGTCAAGAGAATACCAGTGCCACCAAAGGCAGCAGTGGTAATTAGCGCAGGGAAATATTTGGGTGCATCTTGGCTGCGGAAGATGTTGGAGCTTACGACTCCCATGAGGTTGGCGACCGGGACAGCGATGCTAGTAAGCACCACACGTCTTCCCTCGTTGGCAATGTTGTTATTGTACCAAGAGTCGAGGAGAACGGAAGGTGCAGACGTACCCCTAAAATGTGTAAGCGATGAATGTAGATGAAAAGCTCAACGGAAGATCTTACCAAACCATCATGAACGTAGCAAAGTATGCAACGCTCAAGTCACGCTCAACGTCGATCGCGGCGTAGATGATGAATCCGATGAAAGTGAACAGGAAGCCCAGTGTGATGAAAGGGAAACGCCATCTAGTCCAGTCACTGCAGAAGGCGAGAATGAGTAGCATTGCAGCTCCGGAAACGTTAGGTGCCACGGTATATAGATTGGTCTTGACGGTGCTGTATCCCAGGCGCTTGATGATGACGGGAAGGAAGAGCTGAACTCCTTGCAACGGCACACCGAGACAGATCTGAATAGCCAGAATAGCCCAGCTAGTCCAGTGCTTGAAGATCCGGAATGCGTCTCGGATGTTGAGCTTCTCGTCCACGACGGAGGAACTGTCAATCTGCAGGCGAAGGTATGCAAGCTCTTTCTCCTCCGGGGTCAAGAAACTGGCCTCCGAGGCAGACCGGGGTAGGTACCACAGAGCGAAGAGGGCGAACAGTACGGTTCCACAACCCTCGATCAGGAAGAGATAGCGCCATGATGCCAGAGGGCCGGTGTGGATGCGGAAGACGCCGAAGGCAAGGAGACCTGAGAATGCTGAGGCGATACTTTGAGCAGCGTAAAAGATAGCCAGGCGACGAGCCAGTTCGCCTCGGCGGTAGAAACTGTGGATATTAGATTTAGTCTTTGCGATGAATTTACGATGTACTGAGTGTCAACTTACGTGGTCTGGTAGTAGATGACTAGAGGGAAGAATGCACTCTCCGCCATGCCCAAGAACCAGCGGATAGCGAAGAGACCGCTGAAATTGTACGCAGCGACCACCAGAATAGTGCATGTACCGAAAGTAAGCATCATGCATGGGAGCACGATGTTAGGTCCGAACTTCTTGCCGAGCAGGCCGAGGAAGGGTGCGGTGAGAACGTATGGAACGAAGAAAATACTGAGAATCAAATTGTACTGGTTTCCCTTGAGGTGAAGGGTATCTTTGGGAGAGTGTAAGATACTATAATGATGTATAGCGGAACGAATGGCTTACCTTCAAGACCGGCTGTCTTTGCATTTCCGAGGTTGGACTTGTCGAGACTGTTAAACAAGTACATAATTGCCAGGACAGGAAGCAGCCGAAGGTCGAATTTCCAGACCAACGCCCGCTCTGCCCGAGGGTCGATCTCGACACTCGCGATAGTTGTGACTGCATGGGCCTTGGAAGGCGCTTCGGAGTCCGCCATGGTTCGGAAAGCTGTATGATAGATGCTTTTTGCACCGATCTCGTGGGAAATGCCATATCACATATAACATACAGTCTTGGAGCCTTATCGGGGTCCTTGCGGGGAGACAGTATACATCACCTAATAACCGTCCCGCCCCCAGATAAGGCGTGGAAGCGTTGGCTTGGCGATGTTCCACAGATAAGCCTGCGCCAATCGGGTGAGGCCTAGAACAGGATTGACTCTTGTTTGTCCTATCGTCGGCTGTGGAAAACGGCCAACCTCCGCTATTATTCAGTTTTGGGAATAGATTCAATGATTGTGAATGGAGTGTTCTATATCCAAGGTTTATGGCTTGCCGAGCACTACCGTATTCAGACATCAATACTCCGTCGAATGCTCGAATGTACTCAAGACCTTTGATGGCTCGGTGCTTTGCCCTCCTTTCTACCCGAGCCGTACCCACCATCAGTTTAGGGGTTCTCGAGCTGATAGGCAAATCGACCGATATCGGGTAAACGTCCTTCCCACAGCCACATGGGCTAAAGACCCTGAAGGGCGCAACCACGGCATTTATTTAAAGTCTAGGAGATCACTAAGATTGTAGAAGGTCGGCGCGAGGCTTGGAAGATGGAATGATTTGTTATACTCCATAGCAATCTCATTAGATGTAGGTACAGCATTTACTGGTCCGATTATGTATACAAATCGAAACATCACGAGCACATGGTATGCAATTTAGCTGGACGGCGTAAATCGTCAGCTCCGTGACCTTTAGATATGAGTGGGGAATCTTCGGGACAAGGCTTACCCATCACACTGGTGGCTGCCCTCCGTTGCCGGATCCTTGCATCCACTGCTGCAAAGCTTGGGGTGGCCAATTTGACCGGGGTTCGTGCAGTGGAACAGGACATTCTTGACATCCTCGTTCTCCAGGTCGGTGCCCTTCAAGACATCCTTCAAATCCGCTTCAGTGAAGCCTGGAATGGGTTAGCGAAAAGGGATTGTGAAGTGCGACAAAGCCGGGCGATTACCTTTGGAGTTGATCAGGACATCGGAGCAGTAGTCGAAACTAGGAGTACACGATTTGTCTGCTAGGCCAGAGGTGACCAGAGCGAAGAGCGTCAATAGAACGGAGGAAAATCTCATTTTGAATGCTGCGATGATAAACAAGGACGCCAAGGTCGGTAGGAAATCGCCGACATTAAATGCTCCTCGGCGTCTTTTAACATTCATTTGCCCAATTAACATTTCTCTTGCATTCCTATATCCGTCCCGAAAGCTTGGTCCAGCGTGTTACCCCGGAATGCGGGATGGTATGTGGCTACGCCATATTGCATACCAAAGCCTAGAAATCGTGCACATTTGACCTTCCCAGCAAGTTCTATTGAAACGATCGGTGGATAAAAGAATAGGATGGATGAATTGGATACATTTGATAAATAGGGCTCTGAGCTGAGCGTCTTTTGGGCCTATAGGCGCCTGTATGTACATTGGGGCACTGCGACCATATGTTTTGTATAAATTTACATGCAAGGGACTACCAATTCCCCATAAAAAACGTCATGCCACAATACCGCGCATGCATCAATCAATGGGTGCGGCAATTTTGCCGAGAAGCGCCTAGTTAATTTGGCGCCTTTTGATGGGAGGGCTGAGCAAGAAGAATTTATCTACATAAGGGGAAAGGGAGCAACGAGACGTTCAATTAAGCTAGGATGAGTCTTAATTTTAAAAGCTGTTGTGGGCTAGGAGCGACGCAAATTATAGTTCTGGGTGTTGAAATGAACAATTTTGACAAAGATAGTTTCTCAGCCGAGGCTAGACACGTCCTAACCAGGCAGTTCTACCCGTATGTGTTATCATGTCGACTACATAGCCCCGCACAATCTTCAGGAATTTAAATCAGTCAACAGACCTTCCAGAAACTTATAGTTTCCGACATATTTTGCCCGGCTTCCTCGGAGATCTTCGCATTCCATATTGTTCTTGCCCAGATTCATCATGGCACCAGACAAGGAGCTTGGTAAGTAGAACAAACGCTCTAGATTTCTTGGCCGTTGACACGGCATTAAAACCGGTGACGGCATGTAAAAACAAAGAATGTGGCTAACATCTCCCTACAGCAAGCCTTGTTACAGCGGATCCAGGCCTTCCACGTCCTAATCCCACCCAATCATACTGGCAGCATATCCCGCATCCTCTTGCAAATGTCCGATCGGAAAATCTACCCAGCGAAAGAGACTATGTGATCATTGGATCCGGCATCACAGGCCTTTCGGTCGCCAAAACGCTGTTAGAAAACCAAGTGAATGCAACAGTTACTGTCCTGGAGGCTCGTACACTCTGTTCTGGAGCGACGGGACGCAATGGCGGTCAGATGGCTGCTAACGCAGGAGAAGAATATACGCATCTGGCCGAAGTTCATGGGCCCGAGATGGCTGGTAAAATTGCAAAATTTACACTCCGGAATTTGGAGAAGATGCAGGAACTCATCGAGGACTATGATGCTGTTGAGACTAGCGAGATGCAGAAGCTCAAGAAGTTGCGTGTCTTTATGACCGATGCCAAGTTTGAGGATTTTAGGAAGAGTATCGCACGGCTGGAAGCAGATCATCCTTCCATGAGAGGGATCTATGAGATAATTGATGCTGATACAGTACTCAAAGTGAGATCTCCTTACAAGTACCTTGATGTTTGAGATGGCTTCTGATAATAATCACAGGATCATGGAATCCATCGAGCTTCCGGCGGTGCCTTACTTCCTGCCGGGACGGTATGGCCCTATCGTTTGGTCACTAAGGTTTTCGATGCTCTCTTAAAGAAGTACCCCGATCGACTAACCATTGAGACCAACACGGCCGTAAAGTCTGTGGAGCATGTTGAGCAGACCATGACACCCATAACGTCCGTGTACCCTTATACGGTACGCACATCTCGAGGTCCAATGAGAGTGGCTAGCGTGGTATATTGCACAAACGGGTATAGCGGCCATCTCCTCCCAAGTTTACGAGGACGTATCCATCCGTTCAAGGGGACAATGACAGTTCAAGATCCGGGTACTTCACTACCAAACAAAGGAAAATCCGTGTCGTGGGGGTTCCATTACCCACCCACATACGACCCAGATACTAAGCGTCACGGATACGGATTATACTACCTCGGTCAAAGCGCCAAGACGGGGTATTTCTATTTTGGAGGCGAGAACACACGTATGAACGAAGCCGTATCATCGGATGATACTTTCGTTGCTTCGCATTCTGTTTCACATTTACAATCAGTTCTCCCGCGGTTCTTTGGCAAGCAGGATGAAGCCCCCTGGAAGCTGATTAGTTCATGGAGTGGAATTATGGGATTCTCGTCGGATGGGCTGCCATTGGTAGGTCGACTTTCTTCCGCTTTGACAGGCCGCCGTGGGGAGGGAGAATGGATTGCGGCTGCTTTCAATGGTTACGGGATGGCCAATTGTCTCATGTGTGGAGAGGCATTGGCTTTGATGATATTGGGCGATAAAGTAAATGACTGGCTTCCTGGTGCTTATGAGCTTGGTGAGGATAGATTGCAGAGCATACTGACTCCACCAGAGGCTGTCAAAGCCTTGAGCTCGAAATTGTGAATAATTTGCAGGATAAAATAACTCGAATTCATTGCAAGAAACGTTCTCGAATTTAACCCAGAAGCTCTGGTGAACCATCCGGTCTTCGTTCCGACTATATAACTAGAGGTCATGAGCCTAGTCTCTGTTGGGATAATTATTTTGATAGTTCTTTTCAGGCTATTATGAGATATTCAGACACTCTATGCAATCGCTCAGATGGTCTCCAGCCAGAAGTTCCGCCAACATCACGCTGACGTGCTCTTTCCTACCAGGCTATCTCCTTCCCATCATACTGGTTGGGCCCCGGCGCATTCTCCCAGCCTGGCACATGGATATTGAGGAACTTCCCATTCTGATGTGGCCCAGTTTGTTGCACGATATCCACAACCTTCTCTGCCCCTGTCTCCACGGGCAGATCGGCTCGAGAGCTGCCGAGGTCGGTACGCAGCCACTGCAGCAGTTAGTATGCAATTTGATTGCCGCATGCTGAGGGCTCTTGCGGAAACTTACTCCGGGGGTCACAGCCACAAACGTAAATCCATCAGTCTCGTATTGCTGGGCATATTGAACTGTCAACATGTTCAGTGCGGCCTTGGAGATCTTGTACGCAGGTGTGGGAGCTTGTCTGTAGGCCTCGGCTTTTGCAAGTGAGCCCATAGTGGTTGATCTGTATACCATTAGCTATCTTACCCCCGATGAAGGTATATGCCGTCACCCACATGTTGATAACAACTTTCTTCTCTCCCTTGCGGAGCAGAGGTAGGAAGCCTTGCGTGACATTATGGACGGATGTGACATTCGTATGGAAGATATCATTCAAGTTATCCCTGACAACGTTAACATCATTCCTTCTAGTGTACTATTTTAATGCTTACATCCCCTCCAGTCCAGCCGGAGCATAATCCGTTAGACCGGCATTATTGATGAGATAGTCAAGCCCTTTTCCCTGCAACTTGCTCTCTGCCAACTTGGCCGCTTCTTGGATACTGGACTTGTTGGTGACATCCAGCTTGACCAGTTCAACTCGGCCAGATGAGGCTTTCACAATCTCCGTGAGTTGGGGCGAATTGTCCTGGCGCGCGATCGCGATAATTTTGCCTACTTGCGCGGCAGGCAGGGAGACTAGCCGGGAGACGAGTGCCAGTCCGAGGCCTCTTGATGAGCCGGTGACCAAGTAAGATGCCATGCCTGCTCAACGATTGAATGCTTCTTGTTGGATATGAGCTTTCTGTGAGATTAGTTTGCTGTAAGTGGGGAGTTGGTGGTTACACTTCGATCCCGCTCTTAAATAACGCCAAGGTCGTGACGGGCTATACACAATCTCCGCGCTTTTAACCCCGTGCTCGCGACAACGAAGGCCGGTTATTACTCATTCCCCACTGTAACTATGGGCTTCTAAAGTTGGGGGCACTAAAACATGATTATTAATCCAAAATGTACACGTTTCAGGTGCTAATGGCTTCCCCATAAGTGGAATGATGGGCGCTCTGCTGGGTAGGAAGGGACTGGAAGATTGACGCATGTCATGTAATTCGAGGATCAAAGCTACAGATATGCCATGCAAATGCGGACGAAATGAATGCATTTTGTGTGGTTTGTCATGAATTAATCAAAGTAAGTAATAAGGCGTTTGGGTGGAAGTTGGGTCCACCGTAGGCGAAAACCATCCCACCCATCATGTACATTCGGCATTAGGAAACCGATAATAGTTTTAAGTAAATGTCAATCGAGTCCTCATTTACACCCGTTCGCTGGCAGTTACCTGTTCAGGTTGCTCTCGCATCGGGATATTTTCAACATCATGTACAGCGTTGGCATGGCCAGAACCATTGGAGATATCGGTAGCCTTTTCCTGGCGGGTATACGACCAGCTATCCGTTCCAAGGGAGCTAGGGAAACCAATGCCTCGAACGAATGCTCTGCGGTGGCTTCGGGCACCCCATGCCCAGCCTGCGCCCCGTTGGATGGGCAGATGGTACATGCGCATTGCGATGTAGGCGAAGAAGATTCCAATGAGGCCACCGCAAATAATATCGAATCCGTGATGGCGATAGTCGAACCACCGGGAGGAGGCGATAAAGAAGGCTACCGCAGTGGGCAGGAAAGTAAGAATCATCAGTAGCACGGGGGGCGCCGCACCGCGCGTGCGGACCGAGGTGCGGTCGTCGCTGTAATCATCGCCTTCGACGGGGAATTGAGGCAGATAGGGGAAACTAACGGACAATTTGGCAGCGAGCCAGAGAGTCAGGTAGCCGAGGCCGGCGAAAGAGACTTTGTAAACGTCGAGTTAGCGATCGTCCCTCCCTCTTGCTGACGCCACTTTTGTGGCTCAATTCAGTACTTACGGGATGCATGTCCACTAGGGAAGCTGGAGAACCCATCTACTCGCAGGTCGTATCCCTGTTCCTGGCAAATCTTCCAATCCACCAAGACCGGGGCACCTGCCAGACGCTCGCCGAGACCACTGACCGCAAACTCTGCAATCTTCTTCACGTCCGGGTTGCATCGCGCCAGCAGATCCGGTCGTGGCTTACCCATCAACGTCTTCAATCCCTGTGTGGCCATCCAGGCACTTGCCAGGGCAAGCGCCAATCCCATCCAGCCCACATTCCACTCCCAGAACTTGCGTCGCAGCATTTGCAATTTGGATGCTCTTGCGCCCCCGACGGCAGCGGTTCCGGGAATGAGGAGCGCCGCTCCCAGGAATACGATCACGGCCGGTGCTAGCACGGAGACGAGGATCAAGGTCGCGGTGGAGACAGTTTCATGCTCAGTGAAGGGGAAGGAAATATCCGGGTCGGTCAGGGAGAAGGGACGCTGGTTGGGGTCCTGTTTGTAGAATCCATAGCCAATCAGGGCGACACCACTATCCACTAGATCAGTCAAGGCGCTTCGTAGCTGAGATCGCAGACTCCGGAGCCATACATGATGAATATCCAGTCGATGATATACGACAGCAGCAACAGCTTGGAGATGTGCGCGATCGCACTTTTAGGCGAAAGAGGGCCCATTTCGCTGGAGCTGCACACTATACACTATCCCGTGCTATAAGTTAAATACACTCGTGGTTCTAAATCTGGTGCTTGTCCGGATCGATCACAATCGGTAATACGCGCAGGATCGAAGGATCGAGTGACGTCGTTGCGCGCGTGCTCGAATGGGCGCGGTTTGAGGCGGGCGCCACGCAATGATCCCTGAATGATCGCGGAAGGGGTTGGTGTGCTGCGCACTTCGCCACGGTCGCAAAATGGCCTCGAGGGGAATTGCGATGAATCAACAAAGAGGAAAGGCGGGATGGGTCGAGGGAATGAAATGAATTACACCAACGAGAGGAGAAAAGAAAAGAGAAAACGGCGCGGTAGAAGAAAAAGAAAATGCAGGGTCCGAATCCCAAAAATGAACAAACAAACTCCCCCCTTGGCGATCAATTTAGGCTCCCCTCGATAATGAATAAGTGGGCACCGACAGTCCAATAAACTGCCCACAGTGACACACTCCGAGATCGAAGCTCATCCCCCTTGAGGAATGGAGTCACCCAAATTTAAGGTTCGCTGACGCCGGGCGTGGCGGAGGTGCAAGTTTGACCGGATGCTTTCTCAATTAAGCGTAGTTCACAGGTGCAATGGCCAATCGAATCATCAACAAGGGCAGCTCGATGGCTGAGCTTGCTGAGCTTGCTGAGGCCCTGCATAATTAATTTGGGTGCCTACGATCGATCGAGCGGAAAGCTTGACTTATTACCTATGTACTGTAGAGTGAACTATACTCCGTAGTTAGTCGAGAGGCTCAAGAATGGGTATTTCGCATAATGGTCAATGGTCATTTCAACGTACCGTACTGCTTGCTATGCGACGAGCTTAGTATAGACCGCTGTATTTCTACCAGCACATAGTAAAGATTAAAAAAAAAACACTTACTAGTCCGACTAAAGCCTGCTGGCAATGGTTGGACAGCTTGCAGCTCCTGTAGGTCAGTCTGCCGTTGGACGCCTCATTCTTCAAGGTGCAGAAACCGATTTTGTTGACTAAGCTTTCCAACATCATGCTCAAGGCTGGCTAATCGAATGTAATTGTATCCTATCATTGTGCTGTCTGTCATGTCCAAGTATTGAATGTTTTTGGGAAAACGATCTTCACGAGAGTCCAAGCTCGTTGACGTCATAGTCATAGGCCAATTGCCGAGACATCTCCAGCATTGCCCTCTATCCTTGAAAAGAGCTACTCTTCCTTTCGGTCTTCAACCACATCTTTCCAATGGTTAGACCAGATTCAACAATGCCCGTGCATTGCTAGCTATGACTCAAGACATTATTCCGCGTGAGTCAATTCTGGTTATGTTCTATACTGACCGTCGCCTCGGATACTATTCTTACAATATTGGGACATTTTATCATGCAACGTGAGTGTTCTTGGCCTAAACCTATGTCCTGTACCGGCCAAAGAATAGTCACAATAATTACGATTCTTCACTTGCTGGGGTCGAAGCCGCAGGTGAGAAGAGCCGATCTTGGGCATGGTTCTGATTCGTTACATAGTTATTGTTACTCTAGTTCTGACTTAATTCCTCTTCCGGAGGCAAAAAGGCCCAGACGTTGACAGTATCCACATTATGAGGCAGACTATTGCCTATTCCTCCTAGTACTTTGGTCCCACGGATTTTCGACCAGAGTTCAAAGATGCGCCTGAGCTAGGGAGTACTTTTCTGAATGGGGTCAACAGACCCACAGATGCTGAAGAACGAACTCTCACTAAAGGGTCCGTTCCCCTAGAACTCGCTATGATTTACCACACCTGCTACTACCCATCACCCTTAATACTGTCGTATCAAAGTAGATAGTAGTACTTCCTCGCTCTTCCTTCTATTTGGGGTGTTGTGGCTTTTTAGGGGCCCTCGAGCGAACAGTTTAGTCCGGCTAAGCGGAATATTTACTGATCGAATCTTATTTCTAGGCCCATCTCGCCCATCTCTACTAGGTATGGTCCATTCCACAAGTGATCTCATACAAAGAATACAAGGTCTATTCATACTGATCTTTCGAGCGCATTGGAAACACCTGAAAGAGGGCTTCAGCCCTTGAGCCTTAGCACTAGTTGAGAGATAAATGAAGGTAATACCTATTGCTGGGAAGCAAATAAGCACTCTAGATTTAATCCGAGCTACTCTTCAGGCGAGGCTGCGATTCCTTGCCTGCCATCTGCCTTAATTTCCCCCCTTTCACCTCGTATATTTGAACAATCTCTTTTACTTGATGCCACATGAGCCAATTCCGTCTTGAGTCTCGTCTCAGACCGAAAGAAAGTAAATGTGTAGGTCACAAAGTCGTAATAATCGAGCGCAGCAGTTGAAATGAGCTCGTACATTAGTGTCTTGATGTCATCCACATGGCAAAAGTACCCGTTGAGATCCCTGTGCACTTTAAACACGAGTATATTCTTCAATTAGTCTCAAATCGAACAATAACGAACGTGCCGAGAACCTTGTGGCGATTGTACCGTACCATTCAATATCTAACGGATTGACCAGGTGCACTCCGCGGAGAACCACAAGCCCGGGTTGAGGCTGGCAAAGTCGTCAAACCAATGATGTTGCATGGGGACGTATATCCATGATGACAGAGCGTAGCAAGTGGGGCAGCGCTCGGTACTCCACGGGTCAAACACCCGGCCAACCAGATTCACGGGAGCTGCCAATTTAAGAATGAACGGTATAGTTGGTCGGGAAGTCCATTTACACTTCCAAGCGTAGACAGACGATTTGGGACGGTGCGTTCTCCATCCACGAGTCATAAAAACGCCCACTGTAATTTAACTAAATTTTTATAGCGCTACTGTCACTCTTGGTCCCCACTTTCCCAACATGAAGTAAGTATGATTCAATGCGCAACGGCGGGGTACGGCAAATAAGGTGCACGAGAATATCCCTACTATATTCGGGTGGTCCTTCAAATTGACTAGGATCGCGCTGTCTCCGGAAAATTAATTCAAAGTCTTTCATTAGACAGTGTACCAACCAGATCCCCCTCCTCAGTGGAAACTCCGGCTGGCATTGGCCAAGAAAGGACAGTATCTTCGCCATGTTCAGTAATCGGTGAGTCGAAATATCATTAATTGTTCTTTTGCCTGTCGTTATAGTATGTACAGCTGACTTCCCTTGCCTCTCAATTAGTAAGAACTCCAAACGGCCCGATAGCGAGCTAATTGAGCGCTTCCAAGGTCTTTACGGACCTGTTTTATCTCATACAGAAGCTGACTCAAAGTCAGCATATGATAACGCGTTTCCGAGCAGACAGAATGGACCTGCATTTTCACCAAGGTATGGATCCATCCAAAAGCAGACAAGTAATTGCAAGCTAACATGGCAGTAAGTGTCTTTGGAAATGTAGGGGAAATAGGTCACGAATCTTTCAATGGCCCTACAGTACCACATTCAATGGAGCCATTCTCAGGGCAAATAGTACCGTCTCAGAACCCGGGCTTTCAGCTTTACGAGTCAGCATTAAAATCCTCCGCCAAAGAGGTTGACCGAGCAGTTTCACCAAAAAATCTGTTCGGTGCTGAGAGTCTTCAATTCGCTCGACTGTGGCTTCCCAACTCTCAACCAAACTGGAAAATCGATCCCGCTTCATTTGATCACCCTTTACCTTCGCAGCAACAAATCCATTCGGGTCTTTTTCCCAGCAACTATGCAGGTGAACCAAATCAAATCTTCCACTGTGACTCTGGCTACGAGACTTGGGACGAGCCGGCGCACGCTTTGTCCCAGAATGGAATCTCCAGAGCTCAGAGTACGAAGAGTGCAGTAATTCCCACTTCGTCACAACGCTTCCCTGTAAGAGGAACAACGGTGCCACATGCTGGGGGTGAGAGGTAGGTATAATCCGGGATGGTGGACTCCTCATTGTCAATAATAACATATATCCCTCAGGTTCCGCTTTCATACTTGCCTTCGAGCCTCGACTGCGATGGTCGGGGACTCGAAAGAGGTGCCCGAATCTTACCTTAATAAGGGTCAGGTCTACCATCTCCGGGTGACCGACTCAACCCCACCCAGGATCACTGCCGAGGCCCCGAGGTACCGGACGTTCGTGCGAGTTTCGTTCAAGGAACAAGAACAGCGAGTCAACGCAGGAGCCTATTGGCGGTTATGGAAAGATAGCCGGGGGTTGGCCGAGTCGTATAAATCGGATCTTGAGCTTCGAGCCGTGGAGTACGCGGGTCAAGATGGTCCTCAGATGCAGGTTGAAGAAGAGTTCCTAGACGGGTTCTCTGTTACGTGGACGGTAAATCAAGCCACCGGTCTCAACGAATGCAACATTCCGGTACGATTCAACTTTCTCTCCACCGATTTCACGCTGGCAAAGGGGGTAAAGGGTATCTCGGTGCGCTTTTGCGCCAAAACAGATCAGCTCAACAACAAGGAGACGCCCTTTCAGCCAGGAATTTGCTACTGCAACATCAGGGTTTTCCGAGACCATGGCGCTGAACGAAAACTATCAAATGACATAACCAACGTTCAGAAGAGAATTGCCAAATTGAGTGAGCAGGTTGCAAAGACGGCACATCATGAACCACCAAAAAAGCGCAAGCGTGGTAGCATAATTGCAAGAAACATGAATGAGCTCAAGGGCTCTAGTCAGACGGAAAATGGTTGGTCGATGGACCTGGGCGACGACGCAGCAGCTGCTTCGTATTCAAACAAGCTACAGACAAAACTGGTCAACCTACGGAAAATGTTATTCTCGAGCTGCTCTGAGAGTGAGCTGAGTCTTCGCGGAGGCAAGGAGGACGATCCTGAGGTGCACGTCACTCAATTGCAATCTAGCAGTCTAGGACATCAGAGCACTGCGACGCAACGTATAAGCTCTAGTAGAGGTAGCACTACCTCTCTGGATGACTCGCTGGGTTCTGTTCAGAACGGCTTCCCAATGACTGTGAAACACACCGGCCCGCGCAGGTCACCAATGCCCGGTAAGCTTCCTTCGTTCTGCATTCACGGGCGGGTTGACTTAATTCTTCTTTCAACCTAGTTGCATGCTTCTATATCCATCGTTCAGGAGAAGACTCACCTTCAGATCGATACTATCGCACAGTCTATTTGAGAGAACGCTCTGCCCGCGACTTGATCCAAAGGATATGTGAGAAATTCTCAATTGATGCATCAAGAATTTCTTGCATATTACACACCAATCAAGCTGGTCTTGATATTTTAGTTGATGACGACTTTGTTGAGCAAATAGCGGAAGGTCAGGATATGATTGTTCATTTGGAGAGGCTTCCCTTGAAGGACGGTGGAGCGGGATCACCGCCGAATGCTCCCTTGGGGATTCGGTTGGAGTATTGATTCTATCCAGGGGGGATATATGCCATGGCGCAAGCTCATAAAGACTCGGCAACTCACTCTCCAGTTTGGCTCCAATGGAACACCCTCTTTTGGTGTATGCTGTTGGGGGTTCTCTAATTTGAAAAGATACACGAGTAACAATACCTCTTAATTGGAAATATATATCTCGCCCCGTAATCATTTAACACCATTCAATAGAGCTATAGGTCTTCAAGTCCAGTGCTCTCGAGTGCCCAGAACCTCTTATGACTTGCGTGTTGATGTTATTGACGCATATACAGCTTTAGGGAGACGTGTTACGTATACTGGGTTGCTTCCTGGTTTCCGAACCATTCACGACTTGACAATGTTGCCCAGTCTGAGAGTGCATAGCTATATCTGGCTCATAGACTCAAAGAGTCTGCCACCTCATATACAACTGGGCTTGTGGTTTAGTGGTATAATACTCCCTTAGCATGGGAGTGGTCCGGGGTTCGATTCCCCGCGAGTCCAGCTTTCTTTTTGTCTTTTTTTTTTCTTTTTGGGTTCCCCAATGGGTCCAAGGAATGTTTATTTTTGGTAAGGAGTACACATTCGATGCTAGGACCGTTGGGGACTAGCCTATCTAGCTTGTTGATGATCATAACCAAGCGGCTTCCGCCACGATTCGAAGTAGCTAGTCGTGGGAGAAGATAGTACAGTATGCTCATGAAATATCCCTACACTTAGTTGAGATTGAGGGAATAAAAGGACCACGATTTACTATGGGAATAATCCCGGATTACTACATGGTCGAGCCCCTACCAAGGTGTCCGCATTCTGGAGATGTTGAGGCATGAGAAATTTAGTCGATTCCTGTGTGTAGACGAACGGCGGGTACACGACTCGCTGAGGGTCGGAGTGTCCTGTAGTCAGATACGTTAAATTACCACAGATTATGGTTATTGATACAATGAATATGGACGTGATCTTGTAATTGCCTATTTGTGACAGTCAAGGGTAGGAAAAAGTGTCGATGCTCTAAATAAGCCAGTCTAAGGGAGGGGCGGTTTGAGCCTGGAACTTCAGGCTGACAGTTCCGTCACCTGAAGTCACCTGCTCGTGAGGCGGCCCTACTGAAAAGCCCTACTTTCCGTATTTGGCTGACCGTACTCCCTCAAGTCACCTGACTGAGCTGCCCGCCCTAAACCCAAAGAAGAAACTGGGTAGTGACATCAGCGCCCCGGCCTCGAATTGAACGGCGTCACCGGTACTTTTTTTTTTTTTTTTGGGAGAGGAGAAACATTAGGACAACAGCTCCATTTAAGAGGCCGCTGAAGAGTCGGACATTACACTCCGTCACTTTTCCGCTCCACCATCACACTCCCCTTGATCAGGTTTCAACCATCACTGTTTTGCCCCTCCTTTTAGAGCTTCCAACAGGTCTATCCGGGTCTGTGACGAAATACCTTTGGTAACCTCCCCACTTCTGCTTTGTCTCACCGGAATTGGGTTCAACCCCCCTCCCACCGGCCGTCATTAGCTTTACAGCGTTTAATCGAGGTCATTTTCCAGTCCGATCCTGATCTCGTCTTCCATCTATCTCATCATCCCTTGAAGTGGTTTTGTACTCGACCTCATCGCTGGGAAGGTCGACCCTCTTCAATTCCAACATGGAGTCCGCCAAGCAACCCGTCGATCCCCCCAAGAAGCGCCGCATTGGTGTCCTCACCTCCGGAGGTGATGCGCCCGGTATGAACGGCGCCGTGCGGGCCGTTGTCCGTATGGCTCTGCACTCCGACTGCGAGGCCTACGCCGTCTTCGAAGGCTACGAGGGCCTGGTCAATGGCGGCAACATGATCCGCCAGATGCATTGGGAGGACGTGCGCGGCTGGCTGTCCCGCGGTGGCACACTGATCGGTTCTGCTCGAAGCATGGCCTTCCGAGAGCGCGCTGGCCGACTGCGTGCCGCTAAGAACATGATCCTGCGAGGAATTGATGCCCTCGTCGTCTGCGGTGGTGATGGTAGCTTGACTGGTGCCGATGTTTTCCGCGCCGAATGGCCGACTCTGCTGTCGGACCTCATTGCGGCAGGCGAATTGACCGAGGAGCAGGTTCAGCCCTACAAGGTCCTGAACATTGTCGGTCTGGTCGGTTCCATTGATAACGACATGTCCGGTACCGACGCTACCATCGGCTGTTACTCGTCTTTGACTCGCATTTGTGATGCGGTTGATGATGTGTTCGACACTGCGTTCTCGCACCAGCGAGGCTTCGTCATTGAAGTGATGGGTCGCCACTGTGGGTGGCTGGCTCTCATGTCCGCCATTAGTACTGGTGCAGACTGGCTGTTCATTCCTGAGATTCCCCCTCGGGACGGCTGGGAGGATGACATGTGCTCCATCATTACCAAGGTATGTGCTCGGAACGGAAGCAACGGTCATGCATCATGTAACTAATCAATCGCTTTTCTTCAAAACAACAGAACCGCAAGGAGCGTGGCAAGCGCCGCACGATCGTTATTGTCGCCGAGGGAGCGCAGGATCGCCAACTCAACAAGATTTCGAGCTCCAAGATCAAGGATATTCTCACGCAACGCCTGGGCCTGGATACCCGAACCACCGTTTTGGGTCACACCCAGAGAGGTGGTGCGGCTTGCGCCTACGACCGCTGGCTCTCCACTCTGCAGGGTGTTGAGGCCGTTCGTGCCGTTCTGGAGATGACGCCCACTTCCCCATCGCCCGTTATCACCATCCGCGAGAACAAGATCATGCGAACCCCTCTCATGGAGGCAGTTCAGGCCACCAAAGACGTCACCGCAAAGATCCACGCGAAGGACTTTGCGGCCGCCATGACTCTGCGGGATGCGGAGTTCAAGGAATACTACCACGCTTACCTGAACACAGCAACCCCGGATCACCCTAAGATGATCCTCCCGGAAGGCAAGGTATGATCCCGAAAGCAACGGCAAAATGAATCACTCTCTCCCTGATTTCTTGCTTTACTGACTGACTCTTATGAATTCAGAAAATGCGGATTGCTATCATTCACGTCGGTGCCCCTGCCGGTGGCATGAACCAAGCCACTCGCGCTGCCGTGGCCTACTGTCTGACCCGTGGACACACTCCTATTGCGATCCACAACGGCTTCCCGGGTCTCTGCCGCCACCATGCTGACAAGCCGGTCAGCTCGGTCCGTGAAGTTCGATGGCTCGAGTCTGACAGCTGGGTCAACGAAGGTGGTTCCGACATTGGTACCAACCGCAGCCTGCCCTCCGAGGATATGGAGGGGACTGCCAAGTGCTTCGAGCTTTACAAGTTCGATGCGCTCTTCGTTGTTGGTGGCTTTGAGGCGTTCACTGCGGTTAGCCAGCTGCGAAAGGCTCGTGAGAAGTACGATGCTTTCAAGATTCCTCTCGTTGTGCTCCCGGCCACCATTTCCAACAACGTGCCCGGCACCGAGTACTCGCTGGGAAGCGACACCTGCCTGAACACCTTGATCGACTTCTGCGACGCCATTCGGCAATCCGCCTCTTCGTCTCGCCGCCGTGTCTTCGTAATTGAGACCCAGGGAGGCAAATCTGGCTACATTGCGACCACGGCTGGTCTGGCCGTTGGCGCAGTGGCCGTGTACATTCCCGAGGAAGGCATTGACATCAAGATGCTCTCGCGTGATATTGACTTCTTGCGCGACAACTTTATCCGTGACAAGGGTGCTAACCGTGCGGGCAAGATCATTCTTCGTAACGAGTGTGCCTCCAGCACCTACACCACCCAGGTTATTGCGGACATGATCAAGGAGGAGGCCAAAGGCCGCTTCGAGTCGCGATCGGCCGTTCCTGGTCACTTCCAGCAGGGTGGTAAGCCATCGCCCATGGACCGTGTCCGTGCCTTGCGGATGTCCATCAAGTGCATGCAGCATCTCGAGTCCTACGCTGGTAAGAGCCGGGATGCCATTGCCGCGGATCCCTTGTCGGCTGCTGTCATTGGTGTCAAGGGCTCTCAGGTTCTGTTCTCACCAATGGGTGGTGCCGATGGTCTGGAGGAGACTGAGACTGACTGGGCGCGTCGTCGTCCCAAGTCGGAGTTTTGGCTCGAGTTGCAGGATGTGGTCAATGTCCTGTCTGGTCGGTCTACCGCCCGCGCTGTGGATACCTGGACGATCTACGAGAGTATGTAAACCCCCAACAATCCCCTTCCCCCTCCTATTCTTGTGGACCCTCGCCACCCATTGGACTCTTGCACGTCTACTTGTTATCGGCTCTTCGACCCGCACAAACCGTGTGTGCGAGGATAGTGCTTCTCGGGCTCTCTCCACCCCTTTTTCTTCTACTGAATGTTAACCCCTCTCCCTTTCTTTTCCTATTTAGATCCCGCTACGGTTCACAATGTTCCTGCCGTCCCCAGTTCTCCCTGAAGGATATGACTCATGACTTGGTTTCACCATTCTTCTGACGGTCACCGGAAATTAGCGACACCTGACCGTCCTCCACGGAAGCTTCGGCCTTCACTTTGATACGAAATCAGCGTTTTTTCCAGACTCGTCACCTCCGCGAGTGACGGGATCCACTTCAACGTCACTACCATGGACGCCGCCTTTTATGTTTGTATGATGATACGCCACGCACCGCCCAGATGTCAAATTGATCTGGGCAACATCCGGGCATAATCGTGAGGGACTACACTTTGCTCCTTACCCTGTCTGTCCCCAATTTTTGTCTTGTTTTTCTAGATCCCGGCCCCAAACGTACACACAGCTATCGCTATTAGATCTGCAAATAAAAAGACGTTTAGCCAAACCTTGCTTTGACTGGGAATTCCTTATTCTGAACTGCCCAGTACTGAACTATTGTGATGTAATTTCTTTGAGACAAATGCATTGGTCAACGTATGTCGACTGGGTATGTTGGATAAACGATAATGAACTAGGTAATCGAAATGGCACGCTGCTGTCTACACTGAACCGACAGGTGGCGTGTATGAAGATATCAACGAGGATAGGCGCATATCTGCTTCCGCCTTATTTGGACGGGTTGACTGCCCCTTCCAACTCATCCAAGAGATCCACCGTCTCGGCGGGATTTGCAATCCAAGCAGTCGTAGAAGCTAGACGGGCCTGATAAGAGGATTGGGTAAGCTAAGAGGATCCCTTGAAATTCAAAGGGTCACTTTTTCGTACCTTAAAGTCATTGGCACCCGCCGAAAGGAACTGATCACCAATGTGAAGTGTCTTGGACGGATCGATGCCGCCAAAGTACCGCTGACAGGCTCGGACACCCCAGGATTTGTCGCCAATGTCGACAAAGACATCGTTTCCGCCTGCGAGGCGAGCGTTAGCCTGAAAATGTTTCTTGTAGTGAAGAGGAAGGGTGGGAAGGAACTCACCGTTGAACGCACAGAATGGGAGTCGCGAGCCCACCGCAGATCTTTCGACGGTATTCTGAACGACGAGCACGGTTTCCTCGAGTTGTTCGCGGTTGATGCGAACTCCGTTCACCGGGTAAACACCGACAGCGCGATCCTTGCGGAGAACGGCAGCTGGGAGACTGAGATTAGTCGCACAGGCACGCAGAGCCGACTCGGCGAGATCAAGCAGCTCCTTGATATCATCGTCTCGCCAGGCGCGCATCTCGTCGAGTAGCCATTCGTCACGAGGCACATAGGTCAATCGAACGTCCGAGTCCGGATCAAAGCGGAATAGGAAATTACTCTCGCCGCCCATCACGATGATACCCTGTTTTTGGGCGAGGGTCAAACTAGTCGACTCGTGCACCGCATCCAAGAGTCCTTGAAGGCGGTCATAATACTTTGGAGCCTCTTCGTAGCCGGCCGCGGTGACGATGCCCACCTTGCGCCCTTGCTGGAGAAGACGCATGATCCGGGGAATGACGGGGTTATCTGCCGTGAGGCAGGCACCGTCGTCGTAGAGGGTTACATCTCCATCGAAGGTGACGAGCTGGACCTCGCTGGATCGGACGAGACCCTGTAGTTGGGCGGAGTTGAGGATGAGTCGGATATCGTTGAAGGAGGGTGCTACGAATCGCCGTCGGCTGATGAAGCGGCGCTGATCTTGGTACTTGAAGGCATCTTCGAGATGGAGCCGGGTGAAAAAGAACCCCACCGACGGCACCAGGAGCTTCAGCTTGGATTTGCCGGGGGCATTGCGTTCGTGATGTTCAACTGCGGGGGGATGGTTAGCAATCGGCAATCGGCAATGGGGCAAGAACCAAGGGCGAAAGATGATGTGACGGCAGTTATTGTGTTGCCTAGTAGATCATCTCGCTTTCTCGACTTACTATGATCAAGGATCAAGTTTTCGACATCGCGCATAATCTCGGCATAGCGCAGGTGCGTATCTGCCGCAACGGTATTGAGCCGCTCGCTAGATTCCTGGGAGATGGCCGTAGGTTGGGAATGCAGCACGAAAGGGACTGCCAGGAGACCCTATTCTTTTCTCTAAGCCACGGATCACACATAAAGAGTCGATGGAAAGCCCACCTTGATCCATTCAATCTAGATCACCAATGTGAGCATTCAATACTATACTAGCAACCCAGAACAAGGCCGAGGAACGTACCAATTGATCGCGGCGATGAGTCTACCACGGTAGAAGTCAGTGAGGGGGGGCGATTCTGGGAGGGCACAACCGGAAGGGGCGTACCTTGAGGGCATCTAGTTGGCAAGATTAGCAGGCAGGAACATGATATAATTGCGCCATTCGATGCACATAAGCACCAGGATCAGGCTTACATTCGACGCGATAGCGAGTCGTCATGGTGGTTGCTGATTTGGGGGTCGATCGATCAGGAAAGGTGGGAATAACAAGTCAACGACTGAAAGGGCGGGGGGGAACCCAGAAGCAATCGGGGCGGACGAGATCCCGTTGGTCGCCCGGTGCACGTCCCTCCGAGATAGTCCATGGGACCAACTGGCCAGTTGTCGATGGACTGACTACCGTAAAAGCTGACACCGACCGACTAGAACTCCAGCAGCATGTACTTGTACTGCTATGAGTTAAGAGTATAGCTGATCACCCGTTGGAGCCATGTCAGTCAACTGGTACTGTAGACACGATAGCCCAAGAACTCGCTGATCACGGACACTACTGAGCCGGGCCAACCAGAGCGGTTACATTTAAGCTAACTAAATACGATTGAGTTAGCTAGTTTACCCCACCAGGGTCGTAAAGCTTCCGTGACTCACAATGTTTCATGCCCGAGTCAAGCACAATCATGAGAAACTCGACACATGTCACGACTTTGACTCTCGCTAGCCCTACTAGTGAATAGTCCATCCACCGAGTTAAATGGGTACGAGGTCTTGTACTTCCTGCCGTTGATCTGATTGGAGTAATATAGACCGGGCTTGAACCCCATCACACCGCTAAGCCCCTATGTGACCCCCCGCCTTGTGGGCGGAGTTCATCTACGACATAGCGGTCACGTACAGCCTCTTTGACCCGGCGGAGACCCTATTGGGGTAACTTGAGTGATAACTCAAATGATGTACTATGCACCCACAATTCACGATCCTTGACCGAGGCTGGACACAGTATCCAAGCGGGCCTGGTCGATCAATATGCCTGGGAACTGGAACTAATCGATTTTGGATTTTGGATTATGAATCCTCCAAGAGGCATTATGACTCTTTCAGGCAGCACTGCCACGACATTGCTCGTGTCCAATACGATGCGGATCCTGGCTTTTGCAATCTGAGGCTCGCTCTGTAGCAAGGAAGTCAATGATTATAAATGCGTGGCCGTGGATGCCTGGATGTGCAGTGTTTGATCAACCAGGCAGAGACATTCTCCAGCTTCTCGTCCGACAGAAGTAAATGGTATAAACAGACATTCATAAACCTGTTTGAACCCACTCATCAACCTGCACAAATTATCATCTACTATACTATATAATATGCTGGCTGCATCAAGACCATCGTTCAACACCCTGTACACAATGGGGACTCCGGAAAAACACAATCCATTCGATGCTCCTCCACCCTATAACCCTTCCGAAGTCGGGAGCTCCGATTACCCTCTTGACGAAAAAACCTATCTGTTCCGGCCAGGCTCCAATGAACCAGGTCTTGCAGTGGCATCTACCCTGACTCGCGGTCTCCAAGTCCCATCTCGCACTGCCGCCACAACGTCCGGCTTCGCATACCCAGCTGAGCTGATTCAATATGGCATCTCCCAAGACCACTGGCAACAGTTCACCCAAGTCATCTGTGACGAGGCCAAGCTTTCGCGCCAACAGTGGACCACGGTTATTGGCAAGGGTCTCGGCACGCTTGCCATTGGCGGCCTCATGATTGGCGCTCTTAGCGCGATTCCGGCACTTTTCGTTGCCAAGAATGCGCGGAAGAGGCAGGAACGGCGAAATTTGATTGCTGCGATGGCTGGTGTACAGGGGGAGAGGCTATCAAGGCATATCTCTCAGTGGAATGAGACCTTTTTCAGGCCTAAGGGTGTGGTTATTCGGGTTGACTTGCCGGATGAGTATATCGGTGATATGAATAGTATGGATTTGCATCGGAGTGACCGCAAATGGGCGAGGTCGGAGGAGGAGGCTCGTGAGAAGGCGGCGCTGAAAGCGAGGATTGTGATTATTCCTTGGGACGATTCGGTCTCGAGTCGCTCTCCGACTACGAGAGACGAAGGGAGGCAGGAGTAGTGTGCTACTTTTGGGCCTTGAGGGTTGGTTGTTGTGATTCTTCATTGGGTTTCCTTACTAAAATTAGGCAAGGCGTCGGGCGCATCATGGTCATTGTTATTTTTTGTGTGGGAAAGTGTACTTCCGTGTATTACATGTAGCAGTCTTCAATGAGTTCATATTAGAACACGTCAAAATTGGTTTGATCTCATCATGGCATGTCTCATCAGAAGATAACGGCATATCCTGCATCACTGTAGATCACCGAAATTAAATTACAACAGTCCCCTCTCAAACGTGAGTCGAAGCATCCTGTCGCTCCACATGCTGCGACGTGCCGTGCTGAGATGTCATCGCCTCCATCTTCTCGTCAATCACCTGGTCGCGCTCCTCGGCATCTCGGTTACCGTACCGGCCAATCTTGTACCAGGGCAGCTCGAACAGTCGGTCCATGCTCTCCAGAGTCCGACCGGCCGTTTCGGGAATGCTGAACCAAACCCACACGCCACCGATGAGGGTGATCACACCGAAGAACCAGAAGGTTCCCTTGGGGCTGATGCCACCGTCGGAAACGGGAAGCAGCATGTTGGGAACGGCACGGGAGTTGCCATACTGGTTGGCAAAGTGCAAAGTCATCGCCAACGAGGTGGCCAGGGCACGGATGCGCAGAGGGAACAATTCGGCCGTCAACAGATACTGCATGGAGTTCCAGCCAAGCGCCCAACCGAAACCGGAGAGGTAAATCATGGCGATCGCGCCCTCACTCGCGCCCTTCTTGTTCTCGGGAAGCTTGAAGCTCTTGTCCACGCCCATCTCGGGGACGGCAGTCAGGAATCCGGCAATGTAGAACATTGAGATGGCCTGCAAGCTGATTCCAATCAACAGGGCGCGCTTACGGCCAATGACATCGACCAGGAAGAGGGCACAGAGAACTGCCGCAACCAGCTTGACGATTCCGAAGACAGCAGTCACCAGCAGATTCTCGTTGCTACCAGTGACTCCCAGCAGCTTGAACAAATCGGTGGCGTAGACGGTGATAGAGCCAGCACCGGACCACTGAGACAAGACCTGTGCCATCAGGGCCAAGTAAATGCGGTAGAGGTTAGAAGGAACTAGGAATGTCTCCTTGATGATTCCCAGAGGACCAGCACCCATAGTAGCCTCCATCTCTATTTGATGGGCGGTCTGGATGGCGGTAATCTCACGAACGACATACTCGTGGTCAGCTGGCAGGTTGCGGATACGGGAGAGGTTGGAAATAGCCTTGTCGACCTGGCCTTGCTTGATCAGGTAACGGGGGGACTCGTATTGAAAGAAGGAGAGGACGAAAATCAATCCGGCAAAGATGACATGGAGACTGGTAGGGACTTCCTGCTGGCTGTTAGTATCGGACTGGAAAAGGATGTGCGTAAAGCGGGAGAGAGAAGATTTTGCGTCCTTACCCATCGCTTGTGAGTGTTGTCGCCCATGTTCACTTGGCATCCATAGTTGGCGAAATAGGCAAGCACGATACCTAAATTTAGAGGCAATAATTAGATATTGGTCGTTCGAAATGGGACGAGTTTTGCGAGGAAATCTCGTGGAACCGAGGAAAAAGCCATGAAAATAGCAGAATGTCACTTACCCAGGTAGACAAAACCAGTGAAAACACATGTGCAAAGACCTCGAATGGCTGCGGGGGCCTGAAGAATAATTGGTCAGTGACGTTTCCCAGAATGCATTGCAGTCGCACAGCCAGGACGCCCCAGCGCTACTGTCTCGCCGCTACTCACAATTTCCGCAAGGTAGACCGGGGCCACGACCACTGTCTGCCCAACACCTAGTCCTGCAATGAAACGACCAGCATAGACTGCACCGAGATGGCCGTTGTTGCCCATGAAAATGGCGGCGCCGATAATCCAGAAGACACAGAGTTGACGAGTAGCCCAAATACGACCGATGCGATCACAGACCAGGAAAGCACTGTAGCAAGAGAAGCGAGCATTTAGTAAACTGTTCTTTTCATGACCCCTGACACTCTGGTTCCTCATTCGGTTTCTCGAACTTTTCTGTGCGACTTACAAGAGAGCACCGCCGACGGAACCGATCTGAACCATAGACGAGACATTGGCCTTGATGTTGGTCTGCTCAACCGTGCTGTAGGAACTGTAGTTGATGTAGCGTTGAAAATCCTTGGAATTGAAGGCGCCAGAAATGAGTCCCTCATCGATACCGCGCGCAGCACCCATCAAACCGAAAGAGACGACGGCGAACCATAGCTTCCAGTTGAAGACCTCCTTGGGTTCATCCAGATTCTTCAGCCGGAAGATGTTGACTGGCTTCTTGGCTCCGCCTGCCATGATGAATAAAGTGAAGTAAGAGTGCCTCGACTAGTAGGAAATAAAATGGGTAAGAGAAGAGGAGGGAAAGACAGAGAGCAGGCCGGTGTGCGAGAAACAAAGGGGCAATCGACACTTTCTTTAATACTTTCGAATCCTCGTGTGATCCCCACGACAAACATTAAAAATTCCCCGTGGGACTGCGGGGGAGAAGATCGGGGTAAGCCCCATGGGCAGCACGAGAGCTCGGACGACTTCCAGTCGGTAACTGAGCCAGTAGTGACCACCAACCAGTCCCCAAATCAGGAATCACATTCTAGACCTTTGTTGATTGGCCCTCCTTATTCTCTTTGTCCAGCCTTTCGGCGAATTCAACCTGCTCCACTTCCAGAAGGGCAGGTTTCAAACGCACCCCAGAATGTCCGATACCGTGAACGGGTCTAGAGCAAAAAAAGCACTGTTGGCCGACCATCGGGGGGATAGACGGAGTTGGCCAAGGTTTGAGGGACGGCGCCAAGGGAGCTTGGATGCCGAGATGGGATGGATGATGGGCCAGCTGTACGGCACGCAGCTGCGATTCGGCGGCATCGCCGGGTGTGGTTGGATCATTTTGACGTTGGGGACCCCGCGAGGGTTGCAGCCGAGTTGGCCCCGGCAGAACTACCACATGGTGGGCAGATGGTGGAGAGGGGTCGTATCGTGCAGAGATGGCTGTCGTGTGCATTTGATGTGCGTCAATGGGCCTTTTTCATAGACCCCTTTTCGGAGATACCGAAGATGATCCCCCGGCATGGTGTCTCTGTGCGGTTCTCCCTGCGTTCGAGGCGGATATCCATCTGTCCTTTGAATTCATCCAAAGGAACGCCAGCAACAGACCCTATCGTTTCTTCCCTCATCACCGCATCAGGAAGTCAGTGGAATAGACCTGAGACACCTGAGGATCCACTGTCCATGGACTAAGCAATGAACAAAGTTTGCCGGCTGGCTGGGGCTCGGGAAAGTTCCGGTGGACGTGCCGCGGTGCCAAGAGGGGGCCCGAATTTCTCCATGAGGGGCGAAACTGGGGTTGGCCAGATTCTTAGTGATGCTGGCCTTCTCATTGGCTGGTCTGATGAAAGTGATGACACGCCCCCTTGATGAGGTAAGTCCACCGCGCATCTAACTAGCGTGGGGGACGACGGATTGGCTTAGGGTTGATGGGACTTCATGCTGATTCGACGTGGGTGGAAAGTTGAAAAGTGGGACGAGCGGGCGATCGGTGAAATCTGAACCCCCGTCCAACCACATGACGGGCACATGACTGGCATAGCGTTCTTTGTTTCCTTTCCAGCCTTTGAAAGTGTCCACCCTCGGACTAGTGCCGACTGCTGGTCATGTTAGACCTTCCCGTCTAGATTGTAATTTAGGTTCAGAGGCAAAAGCAACCCGCGCCATGGCGTGGCGTGGCATGGCATCCATCATATACTTCGTATCGCTTGTCGAACTAGCCAGCAGAAACCCCTAGTTTCCGCCGATGCCAGGAGATTTAACGGCTATACAGCAAATTCTATGATCCGGAAATCGGCAATAGGTCAAGTTCCGTCAAGAATGATGGCTCTGACTGCTCAGAGACCTTGGCTTCCTCGGTGAAGTGGGCCAGTAGAGCTACGGAAATCAACCCCCGCCGGCCGGTCAGTCTAGACTGGATAGTAGTTGGACGATCAAATCTATGAGGCATTTACGTCTTTTGGGAATCGAGGCTACAGATAAGCAGTTTGTCACCAGCGTGTGATGATTTTGTTTCGAACCGAGGAGCTTATTGGCCGTGAAATATGGAAATTGGAGAAGAAACGCGCAATATCATGAAAAATGACTTGAAAGATGAAAGAGAATATGCTGCTTCAATCTGGAGAATTCACATAATTCGAAAATAAGAGCCTTGTCACCTTGAATATCTTGACTAGGCAGGCTTCTAGGAAGTCCGTGATAAGAATGTGGTGGCATTGACTCGCCTGTCTCGGTAGATTTTCGGACAAACCACCACAAGCGCAGCATGCTGTGTCGACCACCCAATCAGGGATCCATTAATCGTGGCGTATCAAAGTGTCCATAGCCCTTGACCACGCTCATTTCGTCGACATCGGCAAATTTAGTCTTGAAGGTCCAACCGCCCACCGAGTTGTGGAGCATCTTGCACCGATGGTCGGACGTCTGGTCGGATGGTGATTGCCATAGACAGCATCCTATGATGCCTAGCTCCGAGACTGTCTGTCCACTGTCCAGAGCCGTCGGGCCCATAAGAACATTCGACTGAATCGGCGGTTGAATTCGTTCCATCAGGATGTATGAGAACCACCGTTCTTTAGGGATTGAGGCGAGAAAGTCTGGGATCTCGGTTCCGTACACGTTATGTCCTCCACCTTCCAAGGAGGGCTTCAAGATGTAGTTGACCGATTTTTCGGGATCGCACGCCACCTTTCTAGCAAAGAGCCCTTGCTCGGATTCGTCTAAGGGAAACACGGGTACGAAGGTCTCTCGAATCGTGGCAGCATCCGACTCCGAGAGGAACCTTTCTAGTGCTCCCGGTGCGGCAAGTGCTTGTTGTACCTTCTTAAAGGTTGTAATATGGGCGAGAAGAGAAGGGCATTTGATTGCCACGGAGTTCTCCAACTGGAGTCGGGCCTCCCAACCGACGTGGTTGTATTCCTCTGCTTCATACCCAGCACGCAAGTACACGACCGAGATTTCCACCGGGGCTTTTGATGCGAGCCACGGTGGGTGGAAGAGCAATTCTCGGTTCTCGGTGAGCCGGGTATACTCGAGAACGTCGGGGCCAAACTCGAGTCGATAGGTTGGTACTGGGTCTTCTCGGTCCCATAGTGTATATTCTATGGGGCGCTCGTCTGCCGTGTTGAACTATTTCACCATTAGAGTGATATGGAATCGGGATAATTGAAATCACTCACATTGTTTGGCTGTACAATCATCAACACTGCCGTCTGTCTGGCCTCTTGACTTCTTGGCCCACCATAGGTGGTATGGGCCTGGGCGAGACAGGAGGCAAGTGACTTGATGTTGTTGTTGACTGGGAGTGACGAGATGTCCAGAAACGTGTCTTTTACATTGTATATCCCCGTTCGGGCAAGATACCGATGCATGTCTCCTACCTTATTTGCGTGGGATCCACCGGAGGAGGAGAAAGTGTTCAGTTCGACCTGTTTCAGGCTCGTTTCAAATACTGCATTCGGGGCCCGAGGTTCGACCCCGTCATTCAGATGGAGCATATAATCCGAACGAAAGATCCCTACGGAGACTTTTTGGATGTATCCTGTTTCTTTAGCCGCTTCGTAAATACTCCAGAGCGCCGTGGCTAGGGGCTCGACGGGGATGATGTCTCGGATGGCATCATGGATCCACTGCTCGTCCTCGGCGACGGAGCAGTAGAGTCGATTGTAAATTTCTTGAATCTCTAGCGCTTGCTGAAATTTAGCGCGAGGTAGTACCGTGGGGAAGCACTGAAAAGAAATCTTCCTATCAGACAAGACCGCTAGTTCTCTAGATGAAGATGTCCTACCGAGACCCCGACCGGGTAACTGAACACGCTGGACTCTGTCTGTGAGCGGACATGCTTTAATAGCGAGCCATTATTGACTGTAATTGGATATCAGCCTTTTTCGGGGACTGGAAGCTCTTCTGGATTGATGACTGACTCTGTTGCGGTTTCTTAGTTTCTCGGCCAGGCTTAACACGCGGGGTGGAGGGGAAGCGCTTGACTCTTGGTCATCGAGGCTCACCTGCCAGTCCTGAATCTGTGCAACTAATGACAATGCCTGTTCTTCACTGAATCCATCCATCTCAGGCTTACTTTTGATTGCGACCGGTCAAAGGTTGTCTAGCGGGTTACTTTGTTCAGCTCTCTCTCGATGGTGAGTGAGGCTGGTTCCCAGGCGGCAGTGGGGGCCGCCGATCACCACGCCATCGAATCACCACGGAGCCCTAGTGAGAACGAAGATCATCCCCGAGCATGCGAAGCAGCTCTATTTCAGGTTCTGAGTCGTTTATTTCAATTCTGATCTCTAGCTTTATTCGCTTGTCCCCTTAGAAATCAGTTAAAATAACCAGTTCTAGGCAACCATGGATGATATATTTCCGATATGGGAAGAACTATATAGTTTGTGGGTGATCTACCACAATGTCGGCGGTGCCAGTCCACTGCCAATGCTGTGGCAAACAACATCTCGCAGTATGCCAAGAACATTTCCACAGCCAGTGAAAACATGATGAAAATTGAAGATCTCCAGAGCTCACTCCGTGCTCAGTATGATTTCCAGATCTTCCAACAGGCGGTCCCTATTGCCGAGGTTGATTACTCTTTTTCTGGGGCGCAAAATCCGAACTCCTTATACTAAGGGCTGCGACAAAGTCTCTCAGCGCATCAATACGAAAGATCCCGTCCTTGGTCGGGCAGAAGAAGAAAATCTTCATCAGCGTCGAGGTCAGAGCGTTGAGAAATACTGCATCCTATGATGATGCCGATCGAGACAACGCCGCTTTGAACACGGAGTCATATCAAAATACCCAAGTAGCAAACGAACTATATGAATATCCGGACCCCTCATCAAAGTCGTTTTCTATTCCACGAATCTTGGTTCGCAGCTTCGTCGATGAGCTGCATCAATGTCTACAATATCCCCGCAATGAGAGATACAATTTCAGCTAGAGACCGTCATTTGACCTTTTGCAGACCTGTCCCCAGTCCCAAAAGATCTTGCCAGGACGGAGATGATCCCTGGTCCTCCGCGCTCAATTTTGCCTCCGCAATTTCTGGGGTTAATTCATCAGCCCATTCTGCTCTAGTGGCGGACGCCAAGAGGATTCGACAGTTATCCTCTGCTTGATGACGACTATTCACCTCTGTTCTAAAAGAAGCGAGAAAAACCAAAGAGGGGTTAGCGCTCCTAAAATGCACCGAATAAATTATGCAGGGCTGCTGGGACACTTCTGGCGTGTTGTTGCGAAGGGCGCCTAGCGTTTCTTTATTTTTCCGGCCTGTGATGCTAAGGAAGGGGCTTGTCGCATCATGTGTTTCGGATGCATTCTAGTCCATTCTTGTCACCCACCTTATATGAAAACGCAGTCACTTTTGGCTACAAATCCGATCTTGACACGGACTCGGTGAGGCAGCTGGAGTGTGGCGCTTTTCTTCATATCAGGAGGATCATTGCATGCTGCCGATTTGAGGGATGACGACACTTTAGCCGGAGCGTTGAGAAGGGGATCCGCTCTTAAATCAGGCTCCCTGATATTGAATGTTTCGAGTATCAAGTAGAGATCCGTTGAAGATGCTCTGGGGCAGGTATAAATTCGACGTACTCCGTCGATTAGAGGAGAATGGCAAACACCTGCGACTCCGAAGAGCAGAGACGACCGAAATTTTTTCGTTTAATTATTAAAACATAAACCAACCCTCACAAGAACTGTATGAAAATGTTGAAAGTTGTTGCTCCAGCATTGCTGGCGACATTGGTGGCCGGCCACGGTCATATCACGAACATTGTGATCAACGGGGTCTCCTACGAGGGCTGGGACATCAACTCGTTCCCCTACGAGACAGATCCCCCTACTGTCGTGGCATGGGGGACCCCGAACACAGCAAATGGATTTATCACACCAGGTCAGTACACAAATATGGTTCTTTCTAGCACAATGATCACAACCACTCTCGAATATTCCTCTTCTTCCGTCATGCTATCCTCTCCCGTCCCTCACTACTCCAAGATTTGAAGAAACGACCCACAGTTTGACAATCTAACTAGATAACTACGGAACATCTGATATCATCTGTCACCTTAATGCAACCAATGCCAAGGGCCATGCTGTGGTAGCGGCCGGAGACAAAATCAATCTCCAGTGGACGACGTGGCCCGACACACACCATGGCCCAGTCATTGACTATCTCGCCAACTGTGGTGACTCGTGCGAAACCGTTGACAAGACGACGCTGAAGTTCTTTAAAATTGATGGCGTAGGCCTCGTGGATGACACTACTGTCCCTGGTACCTGGGGTGATGATCAGTTGATCGCCAACAATAACAGCTGGCTGGTCGAGATTCCTCCCACCCTTGCCCCCGGAAACTACGTCCTGCGACACGAGCTCATTGCCCTGCACAGTGCTGGCACCGAAGATGGTGCTCAGAATTATCCGCAATGCTTCAACCTGCAAGTCACTGGCTCAGGAACAGACCAGCCCTCTGGTGTGTTGGGCACGGAGCTCTACAGCTCGACCGATGCTGGTATTATTGTCAACATCTACACATCGCTATCAACTTATGTTGTGCCTGGCCCCACACTCTACAGCGGAGCCGTCTCTATCACGCAGTCCTCTTCTAGCATTACCGCTCCTGGAACTCCAGTTACGGGATCGGGTAGTGTTGCGACCACCAGTGCCGGCACTGGTGGAAGTACAACTGCAGGGCAGACCACTTCAAGCACTACCTCAACAACTGCACGCACTACCTCAACCACATCCGCCGATACGACCTCATCAACTACTCTGACAACTCGAGTCAGCACAAGCAGCACAACCCTTATCACCAGTACGACATCAAAAACCTCCACTACTTCATTTAGTGGCGGTTCGACACAATCCGTGTATGGGCAGTGCGGAGGTAGCGGCTGGTCCGGAGCCACTGCTTGCAATACGCAAGCGACTTGCAGTTCTATGAACCCATATTACTTCCAGTGTGTCCCAACAGCTGCTTAGTGACGGAATAGTATTGGTTTTCGTGTTTATTGCTTCTATCATCAATCCCGTTGGTGCTAACTCTTTCAATCGTGTCTATGTGATGTATATCAATGAAAGCAAAATCTCGTTCTATCGTGTTTCAGTTTGATTAGAGGCAATTCAGTAGCGCTAGGTATCGGTTTCCGTTCGAAGGAGGGAGAATGAACTATCAGATCACTCCTAGTGGCTGACAGTCACGTTTGCCTCAAATAGATGAGCAGATGTGTAGAAAAGTACTCCGTATCGTCTACACAATCCGTTTGTCTCAAGGGGCAAAATAATCCGAATGGGCGGGTCTGTTCCTTCCAGTGGATCCATTCTCCATCCCCGCTATACCCGAAATGATCTTCCCCCTCAACGCGACGCGACGTGTTGGTTTCGCACGGCATCTTCATCCGCCTGCACTCCTGGCTTACCTCCTTACATCCCAGCATGATTTCTACAGACAAGAGCCTCCCCGAGGGCTATGCGCTTCAGCATGGCTACCCCTCGACCTCCCAATATCTTCATCTCCGCTCTGTGGCCGGACTCACCGCGAAAACAACGTCCCAGGCGGCTGCAGTAGCCACTGGCAGCTGGTTCGGCTGCTACATTACCTTCGAGGCCGCCCAGGGCGATCCGCAACCGATTGGCATGGGAAGAGTGATCGGAGACGGTGGCTGGTACTTTCATATTGCCGATATGGCCGTGCATCCGGATCACCAGAGGAAGGGTCTTGGGGATGTGATTCTGAAAACGCTCCTCCAGCATATTCACCGGGAAGCCCCTGCCGATGGAAAGCCATATATCACGCTGTTTGCCGATGAGCCAGGCCGAAAACTATACTATAAGAATGGATTTGTGGATCCAGCTCCTGGTCAGCTAGGCATGGCCTTGAAATAGATCATCATTGAAAAATTGATCAAAATGCCACGACGTGTCCTTTTAATCCGAACCCGAATAGTATCTGACTGGCTCACCTAAATAATCTGATGCGATAGAGCGATTAATACACAACAATTGTGCCGCCACTTTGGCTCCCCACAAAGTCTCCCCACCTGTCATGGTCTCGCTTGACCCCGCGTTTACCTCCGAGTGCGGATAGGCTGCGTGAAGGAGACGAGCAGGGGCTAAGATAGGAAGCTGAATACTGTTATCTTCATCTGCCCGCGCTCAGAATCACACAATGATCGTAACTGTTGACCGAGTGACCATGCCAGGAAAGAAGAGTGTAGGCCTTGATGTCGGCTGGGTAAACCATCTTCAGCTATAAACTCCGAGATCCCCACATGCCACATGGCTCTTCATGAACTATTTAAACCCCACGATAGATCCGCGAAGAGCAATTGACACTGCAAAACCACCATGGCTCCCCCATTCCGTGCTGAGCACATTGGCTCATTGATGCGCCCGGCAGACCTACTGGCTGCCCGGTCTGCTGCAGGGGTCACATCTTCATATTCACAGTTGACGGAAGACGTCCAAGTCATAACTGAAAAGGCAATTGCTGACATTGTTATTAAGCAACTCGAGCTTGGTATTCGCCCAATAACCTCCGGAGAATATGAGCGGGACAAGTTCTACTCGGGATTTTTTGAAAATCTCCAAGGGATGGAAGTCATCATGGATATTCCAATTACCGAGGGCTACCGAACCAACTATCCAACCCTTCGAACACTGAAGAGTCTTGGAATCACGACTCGTGACTCTGTCGTTGCTGTCGATCGGATTAAATACACCAAGTCCCCTTATCTGTCAGAATGGCAGGCTTTACGTGCTCGACTTCCTCAAGAACAGTGGAAGGATTGCAAAATGACCATGCCACCAATCACCCACAGCCATATGCAGGTAAGTCTGTCTTAGAGCTATTGATATCCGATCCTCTTGCATTCATGTATTTCAAAGGCACTGACATTTCTGCTTTTAGATGGCGGTTGGAACTGCTTATCGTCCAAACACCTACTCTTCAGACCACGAATACTTTAAAGATCTCGCGGAAGCATACGCGGCAGATTTTCGGGTGCTTTATGACGAAGGACTGCGATCGATTCAAATCGATGATCCATGTCTCCTATTCTTCGTGACGGATGAATTCCGATCCGGCTGTGTCGCAGACGGGGTAGACCCCGACGAGCTACTCGACGAGTATATTTGGGCGCACAATCAATGTCTACTGGGAAAGCCCGTAGACCTCCATGTTGGACTGCATCTTTGCCGTGGTAACATGGCTGGCTCGACTCATATTATGAGCGGATCATACGAGCGCATTGCCAAAAAGTTGTTCACCGAGTTGGCATATGATACATACTATCTTGAGTGAGTTGCTGGCCATTGTTCAAAATTACATAGCATCGAACGCTCTGCTAATTCGCGTCAATTTTCAAGATACGATGATGACAGGGCCGGTGATTTTGAACCGTTGCGCCATTTACCTATCGGCAAGAACGTCATTTTGGGTGTCGTTTCTACCAAATCGCCCGAACTGGAGGACTTGGACAAACTCGTTGCCCGTGTGAACTCTGCAGCTGAGGTTATAGCTCGTGGACAAGGCCGCAGCGTGGCTGAGGTGTTGGAATCAAGTCTTGGGGTCAGTCCACAATGCGGATTTGCCAGTATGAGCTCCGGAGGGGGTTGTGGAATGACCATGGATATCATGTGGAAGAAACTCCTCTTGGTTGAACGACTGGCCAAACGTATCTGGGGGTGAGAATCTTGACATTCATTCAGAAGTGTGAAACTCCACAAATATCATATTATCGTCTCCCTAGGATGGGAGAGACATCCTCAGGGTCAGTCTAACCGAGATTTCATATCCTCTATGATGAAGCGGTGTGCCGCTTTTTAATCTCGACTCGACGCCTGCTACAAATAAAATCATCCCTTTTCTGTCCATCCTCCACACACGATGAACGATATCAGATTAGCTTGAAACCATATCAGCTTAAGCGAAGGAGTGCTTTGCAGACAATCAAGTAAACATTTCTTCCAACCGGCTAAACAAATCGTGGCGGAACCCGAGGAAACTCCGGCAACAAAGCGGGGTTCCCGTTGTTGCAATGATCGACCACATGGCAGCCTCGGAGACTCTCGTTGGACTGTCCGATCGCCCCTTGTCTACCGAGGACATCCACACCATTTGTGCCTTACCGGCTGTGAACTCGCTTAGGAACGCGTCGTGGATGTTTGCCTCCATCCGGTACATGATCGTCCCCACCCGTCGTTCGACAGCCGTGAGATCCGCTGGAAAGGCGGATGCGCGGTTTCATGACTGACGGGTATAAGATGCATACCTGAAAACCTTGCGAGGAAGACAGTTGACATTCACACCAAGACTGCGGAGTAAAATCGGTGCTGCAAGATGCAATTCAACACGATTGCTGCCCTGGTAGCCTCGCTGTCAGTTGCACGGTCCGCCAATGCGATCGATATCATCTCCTCCAACGACGATGGCTGGGCCGAAGCGAATATTCGAGCTCTCTACGATACACTCACTGCCGGTGATCATTCCGTCGTGGTGGCTGCACCGGCTGAGAATCAGAGTGGAACTGGTAATGCGACTTGGAAACTGCCTCCTTACTGCCCTATGCTGATCATTCGGTTTTCTAGGGTCCTCGCAAGCGACTCCGACCGTTCTTACTGAAGCCTGTGAATTCAACAGCTGTCCTTCTGGAAGTCCGGCTGTGGGATACAATGCTTCGGATCCTCGTCTGAACTATGTCAATTCGTATCCGGCAACTTCCATGAAGTACGGCATCGATTCGATTGGCCCCAAGTTCTTCGATGGAGTCCCCGATCTTGCGGTCGCTGGTCCTAATGTGGGTCTTGAAGTCTCAAGAGAAGCTTGACAAATTTCGAAGTGAGATCGTGCGCATTTCTAATCACCCCGCATAGGTTGGAAGCAACATTGGCCTGGAAGTCTTACTGTCCGGCACCGTTGGAGCGACTACTTATGCTGCCTATAATGCTGGAATTCCCGCTATTGCTTTCTCCGGATCGACCGGTTCGCAAACCGCCTGGAACGCTTCGGCGACTTACCCGGTTTACAGCCAGGTATACGCCGATCTTGCACTCAACGTGACAGACACGCTGATTGCCTCCGGTGTACCTTATCTTCCAAATGATGTGAGTATCATTCGAACAACCGTTGTAGTGGATCGATAACTGATACATTTTTCTTAGATCTGGCTCAACGTAAACTTCGGTGCAGTCTCCTCTTCATGCCAGACCGCCGAGGATTTCTCTTTCGTCCTTTCACGTATTCATGTGGCTATCCCTCTCATCACCCCCGACGATGTGACCACCTGCGGCAGCTCCCGGCTTCCAAGCGAGCTCGCACTTTCCCTCGCTTCAGGATGCTACGCAAGCATTTCGGTGGGAGTGGCCAGCACCAAGGGAGACGCCAACGCCACTATGCAGGGAGTCGTTCTGAACAAACTGAGCAACATCCTCACTTGCTTGCCATAATTGGTGGAGATATTTGCCCGGGTGCAACCTTCAGCACCTATCGGGTGTCCATGCAAGCCCATGCAATGTACTAAAGCTTAAGTTTTGTATCCCTAAGTCTTAGCCGCGCAGCTTAGTGCATAAAATAGATGACTATCTCATTCGAAGGATTGATTTCGCATGCGTCGTCTAGCAAGTAGTCAAGAAAACACGCTATATAACGGAAGCTTGCCCGGATTAGCCATCTAGATTAAAGACGTCTTCTTCAGAGACGAATCAAGAATGGTGGGGAACCCACGAGGAACATCCCAGCCGAGATAGTACATCGAAGTGGAGTACCGAACTATCGGCCACCATCCCATTTCGGGACTGAAGACCGTTTCGGACCTGGGTGCTCTCGGAGCGCGTGCAGATATTAGGTCTATCGTGCTGTGAGGTTTTGAAGCGGAGAAATCACTATTCCCCGCTTTGAAATGACCATACTGTGGGTTTTCGCAGATATAAACCGTCCCCAACCCCCCCAGTGACAAGTTTCTTGTAACCATTAGACTTCAAAAACTATGATCTTCAACCGTATTCTTGGCCCTTTGGCCGTATCCGCCTTGGCTGCGGCAGCTCCCAATCCCAAGCTGGCTCGCCGTGGAACTATCGCATCTGATGAGATAGGTAAAATACCCTTTACGATCCTTTGGTACCAACTTAGTATCGAAGCTCTATTCCAAATTATCCTTATCTATTATGAGAAGTCCCCTTGATTGTACCATTTACTGACATATATTCGGTTGAAAGTCGGATTTTCTCAGACTGTTCCATCTGGCACCACGGGTGAGGTCTATCTTGCCTACCAGCCCGATCTGTATGTGGTCAATGGCTGTGTTCCATTCCCCGCAGTAGATGCTAGTGGAAACACCAAGTAAGTATCCCGAAAGGTGCTATTCAGTATAACTCAAAAAGCTGATTTATCCAGTGCTGGTTTGAATCCGACCGGCGCTTCCGACGGTGACTGCAGCAGCAGCACTGGTCAAATTTATGTGCGCGGCGCGACCTACGGAGATTACTACGGTCTGATGTATGCGTGGTACATGCCCAAGGATGAGCCATCCACGGGCCTTGGTCACCGTCATGACTGGGAGGGAGTTATCGTGTGGCTGTCTAGCTCTACCAGTACAACGTCTGGCAATATCGTCGCAGTTTGCCCTTCTGCTCATGGTGCCTGGGACTGCTCTACCGATGGATTTACCCTTGATGGCACTGCGCCCTTGATCAAGTACTACAGTATTTGGCCAGTGGATCACCAGTGTGGCCTGACGAGCACCGTTGGCGGGACTCAGCCTTTGATTGCTTGGGAGTCCTTGCCTACTGTGGCCCAGGATGCTTTGGACACCACCGACTTTGGTGATGCCATTGTACCGTTCATTGATGCCCATTTCACCACAAACTTGGCAGCCGCCACTTTCTAGGCGGACATTTGCCATACGAACCGGCATACGGCTAGATTGTTTGATGAGTGAAAGCAGATGTTGAAAACAATGTTACGAATGGCAAGATCTACTCCTTTAATTCGTATTTGTATCAAGGCTTCATACTAAGTGTAAGTTATGATGGTCTATGCATAAGTTAAAGGTAACTTTGTTGATGACAGAAAAATGCCGTCTTAATGTCACTCCACGCAATGGAGATACAAGGAGTCTATAGGGGATATTAGAACAAAAATGAGACATCTATATAAGCAGAGGAAATGCAATCAGGATGCAGACAATGTGGGAAAGACACAGAAAAGAAAAGATAAAAGACTGGGAACTTGGGGAGCGCTTTGATCGGCTTCCGTGGGAAGATCGAGGCTGAGGAGGGTGGACTGAACTCAGTTCCACTACTCTGACCGGGCACTCTTGGTCTTCTTGCTTCGTAGTTTCATCATCAAGAAGACGAGAGCATAAGAAGAGATGCAGAACAAGGCAGTGATACCAGACTAGAAACATTAGTCAGTATTTGATCGGAGTAGTAAAGTGAAGAAATCATGAAGGGGAATAACTTACATCTCTCCAGGAATAGTACTTCTCTTGTAGATTAAAGGTTTTGGCGTAGTCAGCACCAGTAGAATACTGACAGAACGAGCAAGTTCCTGTTGAGTTTCCATCCAGCAAGTAGCCGGTCTGGGCCGAGAGGAAGTCTGCCATGTATTCACCACAAGTCTGCCCTGAGGGCGCGCTGAAAGTGACGAATTCGGATGGCTGGCATTGGACTTTGACATCCCACAGAACCTCACCGAGAAGGCCCCCAACAAGGTAGGTGAAAGGATCAAGGTAGTAGAGCCAGTAACGCCAAAATGCTTGCAACTGGCTGTAAGGAACGACGACACCACAGAAACTGACCAAACCGGCACCGATCAAGACGGGATTCATGACAGCTGCAAAGTATTCGTTCGGCGCATATGCAGCAATTGCCTGACCGATCGAGGTGTAGAGGAACTCGTAGACTGGTAAAATTGTTAGTCGTTGTCTGAGACGACGACACAAAATACAACAGTGGAATGCATACATATCATCTGAAGATAGAAGTGGCCAGAAATGCTGGCTTTAATCGGGAAACCAGCGGTGAAATAGAAGCAAGCGAAGTAGAGCGTGGCACAAATGATGAGGTATGGGATCTCAGCAACCGTTTGAGCTCCGATGAAGGCAATCCAATGGTAGGTTTTGGACTAAGCGGTATTAGTTAATCCATTCACCAAGTTCCAGGACATCACTTTGACAGGTTGACGAACCTTCTTTTCGCGTGTTTCAAAAATGTCCCGATTAGCCAAGAAGAAAGGCTGCATCTGGTTAATGCAGCCTGGGGCAACGAAGATGAAATTGAAAATGGCAAAGAGTCGCAATTGGAGGCTGAAAGTCCCGTCTCCGACTTTCCAGAAGGTGAACCCGCTGAAAAGAGCCGCAAAAACGTGGAGAATAATCTTGTTCCACATATAGTCCTTGAAAAAAAATGTTAGTCTGCACAAATGTTGTAATCATCAGAGATCAGGAATAATACCGGTGATCGCCAAATCTTGATGTTCATACGGTTAGTAACCACCTTGAATTGAAACCAGTGAGAGGTAGCGAAGTTCGCGGTGTCCTCCACATAGTTTGGATCCGCGAGACCATTTTTGTTCAGAGCCTCAAGTTCCTCGAGGGCCTTTCGTCGCTCTTCAGATTGGCTCCATACGTCGACCCAGTCGATCTTCTCTGAAGTACCACTTCCTTGCACAACCTCGATAATATGCTCGGCTGGGTTGGCATCAGGTGGGCAAGGTGCGCCGTTGCGTGCGAAGTAATCTAGAATCTTGCTCGACTCATTGCCGGCTAGAAATTTCGAATGTTAGATTAAGTTACAAACCGTATGAGTGGTTTTAAAGGACTCACTCTCTCCAAAGTATGTCATCCGTCCACCCTTCGCAAGCAACAGAAGACCGTCGAATGCGTCGAACAAGACAGCAGAAGGTTGATGGATAGTGCACTTCCGTAGGTTAGCATGATATGGAGCGAAATTAATCACATTTATCTTACCAAAACAGCCTGGCCTCCATCCACAAGCTTGCGTAGGAATCGAACGATATTGTATGCGCTCTGACCATCAAGACCCGAGGTAGGCTCATCCAAGAAAAGCAGGGAGGGCTTTGCTACGAGCTCAACACCCAACGTCACCCTCTTGCGCTGCTCAATAGTGAGACCGGCACCAGGAACTGGACTGAGATTAGTTTTGAGAGATCAAAGAAAAGACAAGGAAGAGTCGACTCACCTCCAATCAGCGCATCCTCAATATCTTCAAGCTCCAGAAGATTGATAATGTGATCCACATATGCGAGTTTCTCTTCGTGGGGGACGTCGGCCGGTTGACGAAGAATGGCGGAGAAGACGAGCGCTTCTTTCACGGTTGCAGTGGGTTCGTGTACGTCCAACTGCTCGCAATAACCTGTAGTCCTCTGGAAGCTAATGCCCTGTGGGCGTCCATCAATAAGGATCGATCCGTAGATCTCTCCCGAGTCCTTTCTTTGGGCAAGAACATCCAGAAGTCTGCCAAGTGCGTAAATAGGAGCATCTAAAATATAGTTCGGAGAGCGACTCACGTTGTTTTTCCAGCTCCAGAGGCTCCCATCAAAGCAACAAGATTACCTGGTTTGACATAACCAAACACCTTGTTCAAAAGTTGCTTCTTTTCTCCATTGAAGGGTACATGGTAGTCAAGATCATGCCAAGTAAAGATGGACTGCTTTGCTGAGGCCGAGAGAGTTGCTGGTCCTGCTGTTTGCTCGGTCATGGCGTCCCTTGCTGCGCCCTTGGTTTGCTTCTTTTCGCTTCCGCGCTTGTAGAGCAGGACAGAAGAGCCACTCTGACTATTTAGTAGCTCGAAGCCCATCGAGGTCAAGAAGATAAAGAACAACCAGAAGCCGACAATGACTCCGAAGCTGCGCCAGATGTGGTGGAACGAATAGCTATACTGCTCTCGGATATAAGCCGCGCCGTCGATGATGCCATCGGCATCGCTTCCAAGGACAGAACAGCCTCGATGAGGAGAGGCAGAGCTTGGGTAGCCAGAACCGTAAGGAATATAGTCAGGCTCTTTGCAGACAAATTGGCGACCAACAAACTCGTTTGCCATCAACGCCTCAAATGCGTAGGCTCCTGGGTTCAAGTAGAAAATCCACCGAAACCAGACGTGCATCTTGTGGAAAGGCACCAAATAGCCTTGATGGAGATTTTTAGTCAATGATCCTCTGAATATACAGCGAATTTTGAAACTTACCTCCGTAGACAAAGAAAATTGTTGAAAGCAGCCCAGTGAGCTTGGAAGCATTTCCAAATCGTGCGCAGAGCGCACCGACTGCCCGGAAGAGCTGAATGAAGCACAAGGTGTTCACAATGATAATGATCCAAAAAGTGAAGAATCTTCCAGCATCCATCTGTAAAGCAGCCATGAAGTACAAAATGAGCGAGAAGCATGTGACCTGGATCATGACGACCGGAATATCTGTGATGGCGTTCGAAATGCAGAAGGCGGTTGGACGATAAAATCCAAACCGCTTTTGACGGGAGAGAATCGGGCGACCCATGAAAGATGCAGTAGTCTCAGACATGGACTCTAAGAGGAAATATAAAACCGGGAAGAAGAGTACACCGGGGCGCAGGAATATGGAACTGCTGTCTTCGGCGAGGTTATAGAAGATAGATCCACAAACCAATGCCTGAATGATGGCTGAGCCGACCTTGACTATAAGGGAGAACTTGTCTCCCCACATAATCTGGAACTGACGAAGAGTGCAAGATCGAACCTGATCCAACAATTTTGCAGTATAGACACTCTGACTGCGAGGAATATGCTGCCTATGCTTTTCGCTGGATACTGCGACCTTCAGGTCCTCCGTCTCGTGGGTCAATTTTTCGGGGGAGTCCATCTTATCCATCTGCTCTTGATAGATATAGCTGGCGTGATAACGGGACTCGAATTCCTCCGGGGTGTTCGGCACCTTATCCTCCCATCCAGCACGGACAATTCGCTCAGTGAGGACGGTAACAGACGTGAGAAAATCTGCTATATTGGCGCCCTTGGGACAATTGAAGCCGAGTGATTCGAAGTACCCTCTAGCCAAATGACGAGGGCCATAGTAAATCACTCTGCCATCAGCCAAAACAAGAACCTTGTCGAAAGTATCGTAGATTGCATTTCCAGCCTGATAGGTGGTTGTGATAATGGTTTTTTGATTCTCGTCCGCTTCTCGTCGCAAGAGTCGTGCAAACTCTACCGCAGCCTTTGAATCCAGGCCGCGCGTAGGGTTATCCCAAAGCTGGACTGGGCTCTGTTTGAACGGATGTTAGGGAATGAAATGGATCCTGAAGGGGATTATGAAAACCAACCTGCCCTGCCATTACTTCCGCTAGCGAGACACGTTTGCGTTCACCACCCGAAACACCGCGAATGAACTCATTGCCGACACGGGTTTTCCTCGTGTGCCCAATGCCGAGTGACTCAAGGATATCATCACGTTTGTCCATCACGTAGTTTTTGCGATCGGCTAATGTATCAGGTCGCTCCTCGGGAACTTTGTTACGGAGGGCGAACTTCATCGTCCGATTCACAGTCAGAGTTGGGAAATGAACATCATCTAATGAAAAAGCTTCGTTAATTTATTGTCATTCGAATCAAATCTCTCCATGAAGTTACCTTCGTTGTTGAACATGATCTGCTGACGGAACTGCTTTGCAGCTTTGTGGTCCATGCTTCCGAATCGAGTCTCACCACTGACTTCATCAAAAGTATCACGGTCATTTGAAAGGACCCGAAGAAGAGATGTGCAACCAGATCCTGGACGACCGAGAACCAGAAGCTACACTCGTTAGCATCAAAAGCTTGCCGTTAACGCAGCGCCTGGTCCATACCATTTCCCCCGGTTTAACCTGTCCCGAAACATCTTTCAAGATTGTCTGTACTAATCGTCAGCGTAAGTCTTTAATCTGTCGTCATGTCATTTTTACCCTTTTGTGCTTCTGCTGTCGTGTGAATAGACTGCGAAGCTGACGGGGATCAACCTCTGACCAAAGCGTACTTCCCAGTGCAGCATCTGGTGCCGTGACGCGAACATTGATGTCGCGAAAGGTCACGGTGAGGCGCTTTTGAATGCCTTCGTGGCTAGCACTTTCCAAGTCGACGGGCGTCAACGTCCCTGATGATGGAGTCTCCATCCTGGCAGATTGGTCCTCCGGGATGGATTCAGTGACTTTGCTTCTCTTGTGTAAAGCAACGTCCTTGCTCAATCTTCGTATATTATAACCGGTGGCTCTTTTATCCGTGGAGCTTTGAAACTTAAAAAATGGTCTCCATCGATATTTAAAAGACCAATCCTCAAATTGAATTATGTCTAGAGCTTCATTTACTCACACCTTCTACATCCGTATTCCCGGAAAAGTGGATCATCCCGGAAATAAGCTCGTGCCCCTTATCCATAATCTTCAAGAATCCGGCATTAACAGCGCGAACGCCACGGAAGTACCCTGAAACATCGGTTTTACAATTTTTTTTTCGTCTAGCACCATCATTGGCCAATGGTAGGGCTGGATATGAGGTCCGCTACAACTTTATTGCTGCCTAGCTTTGTCAGTCCAGCGATCAGACTTATCGTCGGATATACAAGTCTATTTTCGCGCCAATCTCGATCTGAATTATTTCCGGATACCCGTCGATCGTTAAATTTCGGTCAACCAAAAGCCAGAGGCCCTTCTAGAAGGCCCCTTCTATCCCCGGCCTTAATCAGCTTATGGGCCGGCAATAGAAGTTTCGTGCTTTATCTCTATTGCTACTCGATGTATGACGTACTTTGGGCCTTCCCCTCGTGACAGGTGGCTAAATTCATTATCACGCTGCCCGACGGATCAGATAATTCATACCTCCGATTCAATTGAGTTTTTGCCTTTCGGCGGTTATTGTTCAAGGGGTTATTTGAATAGACGATCTGTCGAAATAGTATCCAGGGTTTAATAAAGGGGAAAGAGGCAATAACATGACATTGTGTTTCAAAGAATAATTACATAGTTATTCTCTGTTTCCCTAAGAGCCATTATATTCATTAAAAGTTCCAAAGTCGGTATATAAAATCTATAAATAAAATTGGATAAAATGCATAAAACGCCCTCCACCCTGGTAGTATCACGAACGATGAGCACTTTTAGGGAAACGCGGGATCCGCAGCCTGATACGTCGAGAAGAATGCCTCCAAGTCCATAGTCGAAAAATCGAAATTCCAACCCATGTCGGACTGTGTGAAATCCAAAAGATCTTCATTTGAACCTCCCGATCCCCCCGTCTCCGGTCCCTCGAGTAATGGCAAATTCCATTGTGGTGCTGATAGGTCTGGTGGTTGGTCGAAGGAAGGTCTTTGAGGGAGCGATGGAGTTGGGGTTACCCACGCCTGATGATCGATATTACCGAGAGGTTGAGACACCGATGCTGCTTGTTGCGAGGGCAGTGTGGAACTTTCTTCGGCCTTTGGACAGGGCGTCCACACGTAGGAAGGGTTGATTTTACGCAAGGTTGTTTGGATGGCTGAGATGCTGCTTTGAATTGGATCACCTGCTCGCATTATGGATAGGGTTTGGAGAGAAGCGTAGATCCATGGTAAGTGAGTTGTTGCTGCGCTTGGGTCGTGAAGCAGGTCGTATATGAGTGTGAATGCGGAGCTGCCTAGAAAATATCCGTGGTAACGTAATTCCTAGCAAAAGGTAAGTGTTTATTCAGCAACTGGATGGGGTTATCTGGCTGGATTACCTTGACAAAGTCATTACTGCGGGACGCTTCGCCCAAGTGATGGATAGTCTTCCTCGCTACGGTCAGGGCGTGATTGCAAGCTTCATTCAACCAGGTTGGTATTTCGGTCGAGCGACTGGCAGAGCCCCCATTGGGCTGTTGAAGGGACGTTTTCATGTCCCGCTGCCAGTGACCACGGAAAATTAAAAAGGGGCGGATGACCAGAAGGAGAGTATGATAGTACACTGATATTGGTCAGTAGCCCGGACAGTCATGGTAGTATGCTTGACCTTACAGGTGATAAAAATCGTTTGGCAAGCACCGAGAGATCCCGGTTGAATGCCAGCATTGAGGCCAAATCCTAGCGCCTGCTGCATTTGCAACTCGTGGCCTCGAAGGTCATGAATGATCGAGCGGGCGACCCGCCACATGTGTAACAATGACTCGTGGCTTTGACCGTAAATCTCATTACTGGATCGAGAAACAGTTTTGCAAAGTTCACCCAAGAGTCGTATAAATGGATCTTTCGCATATTCAATGTCAACATCCTTTATGGACAATGAGCTCGGTCGACCGACGTGAAAGCAGAACCACCTAGAACGGCATGTGAGCAATTGGCCAGCATGTAATGGATTTAATGGATTCTGAGGACCAAGGTACATACGTTTCAAAAACATAGAGAGACCAAAATGTGATTCGTCGTTCTTCAATGGTCTCCCAGTCTTGGGAGTCCCCATGCGGGACATCTTTGTGCAACCCCGCAGAAAGAGCCCTGCGGGCGGCTGTCCCAAGATGCAAGAAGGCTGAATTGGGGCGACCTTGTTCATTTTGATAATTGGCGTAATGACTGGGAGGAGTCCATGTTAGTATTATACAGGTCAATCGTGTAGCGTGTGGAGCGACTCATCATAAGAAATGCAATTTGCACGGTCTGCAAGTTCACAACATCGTCATATGGCACCAACGACACCTTGACACGATCCACAAGCACGTCACCCCATGCATAATGTTCCGTGCCTAATGAAGCCGTTGCTAAACCGATCAAGACGATGGCTTGTGTCAGAGTATCGGGGTGGATAGAAGGGGATGGGTTGTAGAGCTTCTCCAGACATTGTTCGTAATAGGACTTGGGTCGATGGGGCATCATGTGATAAAGATGAGTCAAGAATCGAGAGAGAAAGAGCTTTGCTAGCTCATACGGCAAGAACATCATCGGTATGTCGCCGATGGCAGCAGACTTGCCAATGTCATGAGTATCGGGAGTACCAAAAAAGATTCGCCGGAAGCTGAACAAGTCCAGGCCAGCGCCAGCCTCTTCAACTTCGCCCGAAGGTGCGGGATAGATAGTTGGATTAGAGGCGAGGTCGCGGTAGATGTGTTGCATGAGTGAAAAATGCGAGGTTGGCCCATAGTATAGCTGCATCTGACATGAAGCCGAAGCCATATGAGTTGCAGATACACTATTTGGGAACTCAAGCATCGTTGATGGACCCCCGGATTTAAATGACTGAGTAACTGGCAGAGAGGCTTGCCGGGGCCGCTTTCCCTCGATGTCAGCCGGTGGATATTCGTTCTTTTTCCTTCGTTGTCGGATAATATCTCTGTAGACGCAGGGAGTCTTTCGTTGCTGACATGTCTTGCACCTGGCAAAAGTCATCAGATTGTTCTCCCCTATCAGCCCGCTAGATTTAGATACTGTAAACTCACGGGGTCAATCCATTGCAACGGATTTTGCGCTTCCGACACTCTTGGCAGGCCTTTGGAATGCGCCAACCAGCGGTGAGAGGCTTCACGGTATCAGCCATATCCGAGCGACAAAGGAGTCGGTACTCGGGTCCCAAAGCGCTCGCACCGGCTTTCTGTACTATCACGGTGGGGGTTTGCTTGTACGGTGGATATGAAGTTAGGCGTCCGTTTCATCCGCGCTTCATCCGTCTATATCCGAAAAGAGATCACGTGATACTACGGTCGCGCCCTCGCCCAATCCGCATTTCTTGGATTTCTGGATAAGAAGATGAGGATGCACCCCCACTCTCCCAGCGATCTTATGATTCCACGATGACCAGAGCGATGATCATCGCAGGATCTCAGTCATCACTGGGGCCGAAGCTGTATGGTCCGAAAGGATGGTCTGGGATTTGGACGCCAACTCACTAGCGTGTTCGTTCGCAGCCGTCGGCCACCCACACCACAGCTCGTATCCTTCCGTGAAGACAACATCGGTCTTTCCCGAAAACCAGACCGGAGCTGTCTGAAGAACAGACCTGACTCGTCAACTCGAGCGCCGACATTCTGCCGATGAGAATGACCTTCGGATCCCCGCAAGCACGCGGCACAGCTGCCAAGGCGTGCGCTTTGATCCATCTAGTCAAGCAAAACACCCAAAGTCCGGTCGCATATGGCTGTCGTGCTATGGCTGTCGTGCTATGGCTGTCGTGGCGCTGCCGAGATTTCGTCGGCAAGAGCTTTCGGCAGTTAATACAAACGGTCGACAGGCTGGCAGATCGATCGGCTGGAGAACTGAGTTTCTTAAGTTAACTTTGTTCGCCGGCAGTGCTCAACTCTTGGGTAAGGACGTCTTGAAAAGTTTAGACTCCGCGGGACCGGTCCCGCTTCACACTTTATTTTTGGTCCTCCGTCCGGGGTGATCGGGGTAGAACCCGAACTGCGAGTGAATCGTCGGCCTGGACTCCATCGGATCGGAATGTACTAGTCGATCGGAAGCACGAAGCCTGTGGTGAACGGGTCCATGATTCGTCTCCACGCTTCCAGTCTTACCCCGTCTTTGCGATGGACCCTTGATCGATGGGTAAAACCCCACTTGGACTGTACAGACACGGGCAGATTCTTAACGTGACTATCTCGATACTTCTCTGATGATCGAACTGTGGTAGTTCATGCTGACCGAAATCTTCGATTACCCGAGCCTCTATGACCCTTATGATTGGCCCACTCGTCCTCAAACTCTCGGGTCCCGCCAAGTAACGCCTCCCAGCGAAGGACGCGCAAGAATTTCCGAGCGCCAAGGACTGGCTCTCTTCATTCAATGGCTCTTTTCCGACGGACGGGTGGTCAATACATCTTGGCGCCGGCAATTCCAGACAACCGACAGAATGGTTGGCGATACTCGTGCCGCGGTCAAACTCATACCTTGATCTTCAGATTCGTCTTCCCCATAATCTAGACTTCCCCGCAACCCCGGATTCAGTCCAGTTCGGGACTTCCGACCGGGAGATAGCAAAGGACGTGACGACTGGCCCCATGGGGTGACACAATCTCTATAAAGGACCACAGCTTCCCCCAGGATTGCTTTACGCGACTGCTTGGCAACGGATTTTCGCCCGTCTCCTCACCCCCGCCCCCCGTGAAACCTCTCGACCCCCAGATTCCAGCCTCCTTTCTCTCCCCTACAGCTTCTTTCTCCTATGACTTCCACCATGGCCGACCCGGAGTCTGCCAGGGACGAGAAGGCTATCTCTCACCATAAAGAGGACCTGATGTCGGAAGTGGCCCGTACTGCCGCCGAGCGCGGCCATCTGGCCACTGATCAATATGGACATCCCATCGTTGAGTTTGACAAGGAGGCCGAATCCAAGCTCAGATTGAAGATTGACCTGTACATCGTACCCACGGTGGCCCTGATGTATCTGTTCTGTTTCATTGATCGGGCAAATATCGGTAAGGTTGGCTTAAGGACAACGTGAACTGGACCACGTGCTAATGAGAGAATTTTTTTCAATTTGCAGGTAATGCCAAATTGGCCGGCTTCAATAAGGACCTCGGATTGAAAGGCTATGACTACAATGCTGTCCTGTCCATCTTCTATATCGCATATATCCTTTTCGAAATTCCGAGCAACGTGAGACATACCCCGGCATATTCTTGGCCATTTTTTAGGCTCGGCTGACAGTGTATCCATCAACAATAGTTAGCATGCAAGTGGATTGGACCTGGTTGGTTCCTGCCCGCCGTTACTTTAGGATTCGGCATCTGTTCGGTTGCAACCGCCTTCGTACATGATATCCACGGTGCCTCTGGCGTTCGGTTCTTGCTCGGCATGTTCGAGGCTGGTCTATTGCCCGGTATCGCCTACTACCTGAGCCGATGGTATCGTCGCAGTGAGGTAAGTCCCTCATCGCCAGCACTCGCGTGATAATTGAATATGTTATAACTAATATGAAACCCAGCTTGCTTTCCGGCTGTCCCTGTATATTGTCATGGCGCCTCTGGCCGGAGCCTTCGGCGGTCTCCTCGCCTCCGGTATCCTCACCCTCGATCACTTTGGCGGCCTCCATAGCTGGCGAATGCTCTTTGCGATCGAAGGCATCATCACGATTGGAATTGCCCTCATCGCCTTCGTGACCATGACCGACCGACCCGAAACTGCACGCTGGCTCTCGCAGGAAGAGAAGGACCTGGCCATTGCCCGAGTCAAATCAGAGCGTATTGGAACTACCGAGGTTCTCGAAAAGCTGGACCTGGCCAAGACCCTGCGTGGCATCTTCAGCCCGGTCACTCTGACGACCGCTTTTATCTTCCTGTTGAATAACATCACAGTCCAGGGATTGGCATTCTTTGCGCCGACTATTGTCCAAACTATCTATCCGCATGCGACCGTGGTCTCTCAACAGCTGCACACCGTCCCGCCTTACGTAGTAGGCGCATTCTTCACCGTCTTGTTCCCTTTCCTCAGCTGGCGATTTGACCGGCGATTGATCTTCTTCGTTATTAGCCCGCCCCTGATGATGACTGGCTACATCATGTTTTTGGCCAGTGAGAATGCCATGGTCCGGTACGGAGCCACCTTCATCATTGCTAGTGGAGCCTTTGCCTTTGGTGCTCTTTGCAACGCCCACGTTTCTGCGAACGTGGTCTCCGACACGGCTCGCTCTTCGGCCATCGGAACCACCGTCATGTTTGGTAACATTGGTGGACTGATCTCCACTTGGTCGTTCCTGCCAACTGATGCGCCGAATTATCATATTGGTAACGGTCTGAATCTCGCAACCTCCTCCATGACCCTCCTGCTCGGCGCGAGCTTGTGGATGTGGATCTTGTGGGATAATCGGAGGCGTAGCAAGATTGATGCCAATGCTGCTTTGGCGGGACTCTCGATCAAGCAGATTCAGGACATGGATTGGCGCAACCCTGCGTTCCGCTGGCGCCCATGATCCACCCTCGATAGGGATTGACGATAATTTGATACGAGTGGCTTTGTATTTAGTTCTACGTTCGAGTAGTATTGGATTAATTTGTACATGAATATCGCGTCGACGGCGCTGAATCGTCCGATGGATCGGGTTTTACTTTACGTAGTCTTAGCTGTCCGGCAGGCATTGCTATTGGAAGGGCTAGGTAACATTTTGCCCGTTTGATTACTTGGAATAATTGGCCCTTGATCTTGAATGGTCCGAGATGGTAAACACTTGTGATTTTGGTTCAGGGCCAGTGTGAGTTGCCTCGGTGCCGAAATATATATCATACCGTCCTAGAGGCAAAAAGACCGCATCCCATAGCTTGAGTGACAATAGCAGTAGGAAATAAGTTACGTCCAAAGTAGATGCTACACAGTTCTTCAAAGAATGAAAATACCGTGATTTTCATCCCACTCATCGCGATGGAATGCCACTGACCGTAGAAACGTCTAGATCGTGCGCAATCTGCCCCGAGTGGGAGTGGGGTAGTCCATACCGGTACCGGGATGTTAGCAAACGAGATAAATAGTACTTGTCGTTCTACTCTGCACTTGGCAAACTCCTCCAGAGAGTGTGAAACCAATCATCTGCCACTGACAATGTCTTGCGAAGCTTGTCGTACCATTCCTCCCGTGATTGCGACGGGATACACTCCTAAGGGCCACTTCGAAAGCATCGCTGGCCTCAACACCTGTAAGTCTACCCTCCTACATTGTGCCCCCTCACCATGTCTAACAAAACTATCCCCCAGATGTCACCGGAAACGCAGACTCCCAAATTGGCCTTGTGGACATCTACGATGTTTTTGGTATGGCCAGCCAGACCATCCAAGGTGCCGATCTCCTCGCCGCAAGACTGAACGCTGTGGTCCTCATCCCGGACTTCTTCGGCGGAGAGCCGCTGAAGCAGGAATACGTTCCCGCCGACACGGAAGAGAAGAAACGGCTTATTGCAGATTTTACGGCTCACAAGGCGGAAGTTTCTCGCAACGTTGACGTAGTGATCGCGGCGGTCGAGGTATATCGCACTCTGTTCTCTTCGGTTCGGAAATGGGGTGCGTGTGGTTTATGTTGGGGTGGAAAGGTAAGTTTTTCCCTTGGAGTGAGGTGACTATAGGACTCGAAGCATTCTGACATGAGGTGTAGGTGACCGTTTTGGCATCTGGACCTAATACCCCGTTCGCTGCATCGGGTCAAGTGCATCCTGGGTAGGCTTTTCCCCAGGTCTCCTGTAGAACGACTGATCTGAAGCTAATACCGGCTCTAGTCGAATGGATGCGGCGGATGCGCAAGCTCTAGCGATTCCGCATATCGTGCTGGCCTCCAAGGATGAACCTGCCGATGCGATCGCGGGATATGCGGACTTGTTTGCGAAGGAGAAGGAAGGATATATTGAGACCTACTCTACCATGTGGCATGGATGGATGGGTGCTCGAGCTAATCTTGAGCAGGAAGAAGGCCAGGCTGAGTATGCTCGTGGGTGAGTTTCAAGCTGTCTGGACGGTGATAAAAAGCCATATACTAATCCAGCATTTTTATCATAGGTACAACCAATTGGCCGACTTTTTCGAGAGGCATCTTTCTTGAGACGCTTGATGTGTGCATAACCGTCATATTAGAATTAATAAAGAGAACGGATCCATTCAGTATATTTTCTTCGATATAAATTAGTTGAAGTACAACGGGCGCCCTATGCCTTAGATGGTACAGATAGCAAGACTACGTCTTTTCAGGCCAACAATGTCCCCGATCCGTTTTATTGATGGCCTGGGAGTAGCAAAGGTAATGCTAAGACACTACAACCATATCTGACCGTGTAGTCTGGAGATGTGCTAACAGAGAACGTCTGGCATACCTGCCCTATTGCACTGTCACCAATTGATACCTTCCATCCATCGAATGCACAATGAATGTGAGAAATCTCTAGTAGTAAATGCAATGCCTTAGGGGATTGAATGAATCCTCCACGTGATCGGCATGTTTCCAGGTCCGAATGACTGCAATTTGAATCTTCACCGCCGCGTCACGACCCACTGCTTCGAGCGACAGCGCTTGATGATCTTCCCCAGCGCGATCCCGGTAACGGCCCGCCTCCGGGAATCAAAATGCAAACACGTCAGGTTTCAACGAAAGAGCCGCCCCATTAACGAGGCTGGCCTCCAATACAAATGTGATGAGGTTTCTTGATTCAGTGGAAAATCCTCAATTTGCGCTGACCCATGGATGCGACCAAGCCCGATATTGACTGCGTGGATGAGGTCCGTCGCGCTTCACCCGAGGGGCATCCAGCTCGTGAAACGATGTCAATTCACAGCCATGCAACTGATGAATCACCTCCAACTGCATCGGATTTTCTGCCCGAGAAACTGGCCGAAAATGATCTCGACGAAGCAGAGAAGGTGGCCGTTGGTGCTGGTGAAGCTCCGTACAGTGTCCGTCAATCCGGGGAGAAAGCCTTTGTGATCGTCGTGGGGTCTTTTGCAGCTCTAATTTCCCCGCTCTCGAGCAGCGTATATCTGCCAGCACTGAATAATCTTGCTCGAGATATGGATGTCTCTGTGTCGCTCATCAATCTCACCATTACAACCTACCTGGTATGTCGTGCTGATTCTCCTGCTTTGTCACCATGAGCAAACAACCGTGCTAATCCAAACTGATCGGTAGATCTTCCAAGGATTGTCGCCATCATTTGTCGGAAGCTTCTCCGATGGACATGGCCGTCGTCCTGCATACATTGTCTCCTTCATTATCTACCTCGGGGCCAACATCGGTCTTGCATTTCAGAACAGCTACCCGGCACTGATGGTCTTGCGTTGCCTTCAATCGGCGGGAAGTAGTGGCACTATCGCTTTGGGCAGTGCTGTCGTCGCTGACCTGACGACACGAGCCGAACGCGGGAAATACATCGGATATGCTAGCATGGGGATCTCCCTAGGTCCTGCTCTCGGACCTATTGTCGGTGGACTCTTGGATCATTATCTCGGATGGAGATCCATTTTCTGGTTTCTTGTCATTCTCTCGGGAGTCTTGTTCATCATTATTCTGATCGTTCTACCGGAGACCTGCCGCGCCGTGGTAGGCAACGGGTCCGTTGTCCCACCCTCTTGGAACCGCCCTCTTTGGACTCTTTGCGCACCCAAATCATGGTCTCGGCAAGACGACAAGTCTCCGGACCTGACCACCATCCAAAAGCCCAAGAGACGACCGAATCCCATATCTTCCCTGCTGATTCTTGCTCAAAAGGAAGCCGGAATGATCTTGCTGTATGGAGGCGTGCTTTTCTCGGGTTACATGGCCGTCCTGAGTACGCTTTCAACCCAACTGAGCAGTCGCTTTGGATTCAACTCGATTCAAATAGGATTGTGCTATCTCCCAATAGGACTTGGAAGTATCAGCTCCCGCTGGACCGTTGGGACGCTGCTCGATTGGAACTTTCGACGAGAGGCACGTCTTCAAGGTTTGGTGATCCACAAGAATCGGCAACAAGATATCGGAAACTTCAACATTGAACGAGCTCGACTGGCAGTCGCTTTGCCCATGATCTATATGGGAGCGCTCTGCATCCTCGCCTATGGCTGGGTAATGCAATATCGGACGTCTCTCGCTGGCCCCATCATCATGCTGTACTTTATGGGTCTCACCACGAGTGGCTCCTTCAATACGTTGAACACGCTGGTGGTGGATGTGAATCATCAGAGTGCCGCCACAGCCGTGGCTGCAAGTAACCTCTGTCGGTGCTTGATGGGTGCCGGTACGACGGCATTCGTGGGCCCACTGATCGATGCGATCGGGATTGGATGGACTGGCACCATCGTGGCCGTTCTCTGGGCCTTGTTCAGCCCTCTTCTGTGGCTTGTCTTTCTGCGCGGTCATTCATGGAGGCAAGAACAGGCCCGCCGGGAAAAGCAGAAAATGGAGACTTCGGGTCAAGACCCACAAGACAGACCTGATGTTGAACGAAGTGGAGAAAGACGGTCATCAGATGCTTAAATGCCCTGGCGTGAGAGCAGTCGTTCATATCGAGTATCGGAGTTTGGGGGGGAATCGGGATACACCAGTCTAATTGACCGCACGTCCTAGAAATCCTTCCATACAAAGATCTTCTTTTTTATTTTGAGAGGCTACAACCCAATATACATTCCGTGACCCGTACGCCGAGGCTGCAGTTGTACAATGCCCCGCGGATAATTAAAGAGGCGTAAGGCACCAGTCCAACTTCACGCACGGACCAGGTGCTTGACGCGGCCTGTTGCCGTGGAACCAGTCCGGACGACCGGTGGAAATTGGCATTTTCGTCGTGTCCACCCCTGAACGGGAATTCCCCGAGTCCGCCCAATCCTTCACAGGAGTTGTCGGTCCCAAGATTGCAGCAGTTGGTCCCTGAACGAAAGAAAGTTCACTTGATTTGAAGCAACTGCCCCGCTAGGGGATCAGGGACTCAGGGACTCAGGGACTCAGGGACTCAGGGTACAGTACAAGCGATTGCTCTGGTGGAGAATAGACGTTGATGGAGTACTATATAGAGAACTACGGCGGTTTATGCATGTAGAGTTCAGGAAAACATTACCATCGCAGGATACTCGTGAGAACGTATTTCGATACCACGGTGCTTACTTACTCATATGAGGTTTAGGGATATTCTTCACCCCCCTGAGATAGACGGTTTAAAGCATCATGTTGGGGATTAGGCTGAGCTTTTCTTCATAATTTCCACTCAACTCATCCAGGGCAATTCACGTCCTGTATGCAATACGGACTCACCTCCTGATTCGCTCATGGATTTCAAAGCCATAGTTACGACAAGGTTGTGAATCGAGATCGCGAAACAAGGCAAGAGATTGGTCGGACCGAGAGTGGAGGCGATTGCGCGGCAGTCGGCGTCGGTGGAAGTAGTGCATCGGGAGTATTTTTGAGTAATTTTGAGGACTTGATTTACATGCCGAAGTCGGCGTCAAATTATCGTACTATAGGGCTGATTCTCAAATCCTCATATTTGCCCTCAACTACCACTATGAATACGCTCTCTATTGCCAGAGTCGGTTCCTGAACATCAAAACAGCAAAGCTTGAATAAGCTTGGCGTGCTCCGCTTGCCGGGTCTTACGGCCCGAATCATGATTCTGCGCCTTCTGGGCTGGGGGCGCGTGGCGGCTCTCCACAATCAAAGTTGACGACGCTAGCGTCGAGGATTACGCATGCTCGTGACGCTATATTTAATTCTCGATCAGGCAAAATGGAGGACCCGCATCATTTCTGTCGACTTCCTACATTTTTCCTCTTTACTATGACTGTCGCCAGGGAATGATGGTTTTTCATTGATCGTGCTTTTTTGCATTGAATTCCGTCTGAGCTATCTAGAAGCGATCCCCGCTATAAGAAGACAGACCCACTCAACAGCTGTCCACTGGGATTTTATCACAATTCGCCATGTATTTGCCTGGGCTTGGGCGTGGGCTGAAGACCCTGGCGCTCGCCCTTCTTATCTCCAATCCGGCTGGCGCTATCGATTTGAGTATCAACGATGAACGTACGTGAAGTGGTGTCGTGTGACAGCGACCCTTTCTATTATCGGAGAAGTTCCGCTGCGAACCGATGAAAGTGTAACATTGATGTCCTGGATCGCTGATTGTTATCTCAATGTATAGAATCCATCAAAGATGCCGCGAGCACGACCACCTATGCGATGATGACCTACTATAAGGGCAACGAGACCGGACATATCCCCGGAGCCTTTGCCAGCAAATGGTGGGAGGGTGCAGCTCTCTTCTTGTCATTGATTCAGTATTGGTTTTACACGGGCGACACGACCTACAATGACGAGCTTCGCGTTGGATTACAATGGCAGTCTGGCACGGACGGTGATTACATGCCTAGCAACTACAGTAGTTATCTGGTAACGACTCGTCCTGCCCGTGCCTCACTTGTAGAGACACCCTGTTAACCGTCCTCTGACCGACAGGGAAACGATGACCAAATGTTCTGGGGACTTGCCGCCATGACTGCCGCCGAATTGCAGTTTGCGGACGTTACGGATGGATTTTCCTGGCTCTCGCTGGCCCAGGGTGTCTTCAACACTCAGGTGAAACGATGGGATACTACTGAGTGCAATGGTGGAATGCGATGGCAGATTTGGCCCTACGAATCTGGTTACACTATGAAGAATGCTATCTCCAACGGCGGGCTTTTCCAACTTTCCGCTCGACTTGCTCGGTATACCGATGATGCGACATATGCGACGTGGGCTAAGAAAATTTGGAACTGGTCTTTGAGCTCGCCGCTACTCAGCAACTCGACTTGGAACGTTGCCGACTCTACCAATATGGATGATGGCTGTTCCACTCAAGGCAACACTCAATGGTCATATAACTATGGTACTTACATGATGGGTGCTGCCTACATGTACAACTATGTAAGACACACCTGGTACCCTACTTCATCAATCCCCGCGAACATATAAGATTCTGCACCAGAGACCTCTTTACTGACTGGTCAACTACAGACAAACGGAAGTTCCGAATGGCTTTCTGCCGTCAATGGACTGCTGAATAATACTTTGGATCAATTCTTCCCCACCAGCAACGGTGGCATCTTTGAGGAAGTCGTCTGCGAACCCTCGGAGAGCTGCAACAACAATGAGATTCTCTTCAAGGGTCTCGTCTCCTCTTGGCTTTCATTTACCGCTCTTCTCGTCCCATCGACATATAGCACCATTTTACCTTACCTCCAAACCTCGGCCAAGGCTGCTGCCCTATCTTGCACGGGCCATGACAACAACACTTGCGGAGTCCGATGGTACCAATCCAAATACGACGGATGGATCGGCATGGAAGAGCAAATCAGTGCCACCAGTTTGTTCGTCGCAAACATGATTCAGTTCAACACCAGTGGCCCGGTCACCGCAACGACGGGTGGAAATAGTACCAGCAACCCTACACAGGGTGAGAACGATACGACTTCGTCGACTACTACGCAGAGCGCGATTACGACGGGAGACCGGGCCGGTGCTGGTATTTTGACCGTCGTGTTTGTCGTTGGCTGGGTCGCTTTGATGAGCTTTACCGTACTCGGGGGTTGAGCATTTTGTGCATTAGGTTTTGGAGTTGGATTGGATTGATTATTGTGGGGACTTTTTATACCTCTTTTGATAGTTGTCTGAATATAGAATTTTGCCTTTGGGCTGACCTTTATCATACCGTTTGCTTCGCCCTATAAGTCTACAAAAGCTGGCATCAGATGGAACACAGATCTCTATTCGAGCTCGCTGTGCTTCATACAAACTCTCATAAACTGTCCGAGAACAACGCTTGTTTGCTAGGTACACAATATCATGTGGTCTTGTTATCATATTAAAACGCACTATAAACATAAAAGTCTCATTGCAAGATACGCCGGATATTGGGTGTCTGCCTGGGTGGCTTGACCAGTAGCAGTGAGAGTACAGCTTTGCAGATCTGATCAACATCTTTGGGGAGGAATCGCAGAACAAGGCCAGGTTGCTTTAGAGCTAGATTTCTAGTCCACACACAAGCTTACTGCCGACCTCCTTGATGCTATGCTCAGAAGCGTTACGATCCCGAGCCTGCCAGTTCGCACTGCTGCCGGGAACAACATCCTGACCAATGAACGCTAGATACAATACATCATCAGGTCCGTGTCCATTATTTCCATTCAGGCCTTCATTTGGGAAACGCATCTGAGCAAGCGAAATAGAAGCTTCTCCGGTCGAGTCGTATCCGTTGGCATTACCCTAGATACCGTGCAGCTGGACTTTGCCAGTCGCTGATCCCCCAAAGAGATCAAGGGTCGAAGTAAGCTTCAAGGCTGGAATCTCGTAGTCACTTGTTATCTTTGACTCCTCTTGGGCCACGAGAATAAAGGCTGGGAGACCAGGCAACGATAATCGGGATTTTGAGAAGTTTATTAGACAAGCACGTGCTCGCACTACGCTAAAATGAAATTCACCATCAACGGCACTAACTTCGAATTCACCTCGTAGCTAATCACCAAATCCCAAGCTTCAGCGCAGAAAAATGACCTTCAACGTCCTCACAACCAACGCGGTCGACCTGCAGCAGCTCTTCGAAGAGAAAAGAATCACGAGCGCTCAAATTGTGGAACAGTATTTAGCACAAATCGATCGCTATGAACTGCACTCAATGCGCTGATCTCGCCCGCCCCGCGGGACAAAGTCCTCGAAATTGCCAAGACTCGGGATGAGGAGCGTCAAAATGGGCAATTCAGGGGCCCACTTCATAGAATTCCGATAATATTGAAAGACAGCTTTGTCACAGCGTCAGAGCTAGGGACGAGCACCACAGCTGGATCATATGCGTTCATCGGAGCCAAGGCGTCAAAGAATGGAGCTATCACTCAGCGGCTGATTGAGGCTGGCTTGATTATCTTGGGAAAGGCTAACATGACTGTTAGTAGACGTTCGGCTTTCTAGGGAGATTTATTGGATTAACCGTTGTTCTAGGAATTCGCTGGCATGAAAATGACCATGATGATGACCGGTTGGTCTGCTCACGGGGGTCAGACTCTATCGCCGTATGTTGGGAAGATAGAGGATGGTGAGAAGATACTCGGCCACTCAGTGAGTAGATGAGATTACAGATGTTGTTCATTGTACTGATACTAAGCAGGCTCCTGGGGGCTCATCCACTGGCTCTGCGGTCGCCGTAGCCGCTGGATTTAGCCCTCTTGGCATGGGGACTAAGACCATAGGTTCCATCGTGACTCCGTCAACACGCGCTGGTCTGTATGCACTCAAGCCTACAACCGGAGTCCAGGATACTACTGGGTTATACACCATGACGGAGTTCTTCGATAGTCCGGGCCCTATGGCAAAATCAGCAGCTGACGTTCGCGTTCTTTCTGGGATCTTACTCGGTCGCCATTTCAAATCCCCCCTGTTGGGTTTCTGGGAAAGTCTTTCGGTAGGACTTCTAGACCCCAAAATTTGGAGCATGTCACCGGAGTTTTGTATGCAATTTGAGGGTACAGCGGAGCAAATGGTACGTCACTATAATTTCATCAACACGTTCGGATCTCTAACAGTTGATTCTAGGTAGAGGAGTACGAAGAGACGGTTTCCGCTCTGCGAAGCGGAGGCTGTTCTCTTAGATACCCAATCCACTGCACGGATCCCTCAGTCTTACCAAATACTATATTGCCAATCGCATGTAGGTCGCTGCAGTATGAGATGGAGCTCGGATAGCTAACCACTTCTAGATTGGGACTTTAGGAATGTCTGCATCCCTAGATTTATTCGCTCGTTTCATGAGTGCTCTGTAACAAGCGTTGCAGAAATCGTCAAGTTCAATAAAGAAAACAGGGAAAAGGCCCTTCCAGCTCGTAGGTTGACAGAGAGGACTCGTTCTTACAATCATACAGCGAAGAGTGACTAAAAAAACGCAGCATTCGTCGAGCAGAATGATCTGGAAGGGGCAATGAACGCTATTGGAGAAAAAGAAATGATAGGTGAACTGAAACAGGACCTTCGCATGGCCGCGAGAGATATTCTGGATGACCTTTTTAACAAGGAAAAGATCAACATTCTGGCAGCTCCTGGAGACTCTCCGTTGTGCGTCCATGCTGCAGCTGCAGGCAACAACTCATAAGGCCCAGGTTTGACTTGCCGTCGCTAATATGATCAGGGTATCCTGTCGCCACAGTCCCCATCGGACAACTTCGCTACAAGAACCGGCCGTTCGGTCTATGTCTGGTGGCCAGGGCGGATGAGGAGGAGACTCTATTGCGGTTCATGGAAGTGTACGAAAATATTGCTAAGCCTCGTTCGGTTCCGAATTTTTCTGAATGACCGTGGTAAAAATTCCAACACATATCGCGACTCCTCGCCCAACGGCAGAAGGGATGCGTATTCCTGACAGGTCCTCGACGTCCGGTCTACGCCGATCTGCCCGATTGGCCAGGTACTAAGATCCTTCCGATGAATACCAGCCATTGGGCCCTCAACGCTGCTGTTCATTATGACTCGCAGAAATTGGCTGCGAATAAGGCAGCAAGCTCAAAGCGCCCACGGCGCCAGTGCAAGGGGAGGGGTATTCAGGCGCAAAGCACTCACTGATCGTTTGAAACTTATTAATTACGACCGATGAATGCGAGGACTCTTTAGTTTTAATGTTTGGATAATTTTCCTCAAAATTGCCAATGACGATGACTGTAATATGCTGGCCATGTCTTCCTAGATTAAGAACCGGTTGCTCTCTCCAGGGTTCGCGTGTCGCCCGGAGCAGCCTACGAGGATGCAGCACCTTTAAACCATGCCGCGATATTCGCAAGAGCAACAAAGCCTATCTCATGGATGGTGGACTGCCTGGTATCGCGCAAAAGAATTCAAAACCGAGAGGCTCGTTGAGCTTTGAAGAAACATGGTCAAAGCAAATGAGCTTATGAGGGCGTAAGACTGGGAAGGAAAGAATTATCTGTAGCTGGAATTTGGTGAATTAATCGAGAAATACACTCTTTGCTGTCTGATTACCTGATTACCTGCCAGACCCTTGATAATCCAATATCTTTCATCCGTCCAAAATCCTCTCCAAAAACAAACTTCCCTTTGATGGCACTCCCAAATACGGCACACAGAAGAATTTAATGTGACGCGCACATATAGACAGTCCGAGCATCAAGCAAGAGTGACCAAATGGGGCGTCTAGTCCGCCACCCGAGAAGTTTCTCCCTTGATTGCAGAGGTGGCCCCGGTCTCTCGACTCGGGCGACTGTCGCTAAACGCAATGCTCAACTTGCGATAGTCCCACTTACTAGCGAAGAACAACACTGCGAAGCTGAGCACCGGGACCATAAGAACGTCTAGCACTCCATAGAAAATCGCAGTTCCAGTCACACCAATCTTGTTCCCGCCATCGGTCAAGGCCCAGGCAATAGGGTAAACGATCCACAAGAGGTTGGTCCATCCGGACAGTATAATGTAATCCCTCTCCACGCCAAGCAGCTGCGACGCCTCGCGGCTCTCGTTGATGGTACTCATGGCAAGGATGAGCCAGGCAAAAGTGCCAAAAGCGAAGAATCCCCATTTGTACGATGTGTTAACATAGGCGCCCGCAAGATAGCTAACGACCCAGTACAGGGATAAGGCGATGTTGCAGATAATCGTAGTCCAAGAGACTCCCGAGATCAGACCTAGTCCCAGCGCAAGCGCCGGGAATGCCACCAGCCAGTGCACATATTTGACCCAGAAGACTTGGCGGATGATCCCATTACCAAGATTGTCGACTTGCGACACAGCACTCCAGCCCAGATCCGAAGCTTGAGCAAAGTAGGTGGCGGCGCCAACCAAAAGGACGAAGGTGAACAGATAGTGGAAGACCCGCTCGCTTTCGTTTGCAGCGAAAGACATGACGAGACAAAAAATCTGCCAAAGGCTGTTAGCCACAATTGGGGTATAAAGCTGAGTCAAAGAATGCTCACAAGAGCAAGTGAGAATATGGCTGTCACCGCCCACAGCCAGTCAGAACCATGCACGGCCAGGGCCTCGTCGACGCCCGTAACAGGGCTGACCTTCAAGGCATCGTTTCCTCGAGCGAGAGGATTCATGGGCAATGGAGATGGGATTTTGATGAGCGAAATGGACTCCGTGCGACACCGGTCAGGGTATTTTGGTCGAGGCTGTTGATGGAGTTCGACACTGACGAGGAGGGTACACAGCTCTTATAAAGAGCAGATGGCCAATCTAGCCCCTGTTTTGGAGATGATATGTACGACCGGCCGCATAATTGAATAGATGTATCGTCTCCCCGAAACGGGGAATGGTGACGCCTATCTTTCAGCAGGAAAAGTAAAGTAAAGCTTCATCCTGTGACCCTGTACCGACGAGACGGCAGCGCGGGGCCAGACCATCGAGCTCGGAACAAAGTAAATCAAATTAGATTTGCATTACCGAGATTCAATTCTCCCCATTGAGAGTGAACCGGCACTGGAGCTTGATTTCAAATCCACTGCGGCAGCCCAAGCTTGCGCCATGGAGCTCGCGCCTCGTAGATCCCGAGACAAAGAGACACGAAGGCAAGAAAACCATGCAAAGATCAAGCATGGCCACCAAGAACCGGCTCGGTACATTATTAGTCGCAAGGGTGAAGTCGCCAAACGCGCCAGTTGTAAGCGGGGTGGTACCTTTCTCCGACTATTTCTCCATCTAAAACTCCGAGCCGATTGTCAACAATATTGCCTACGCCAATGGCTCACCAGCTCTATAGACCATGTCTCGATCGGTGTGCCCCTCTCACGGTGCTAGAAATCTTTAGAAAGGCTTATCGTTGACGTAGGCCAATCTTGAACATTAGGACACCAGGCTCGTATGGCCCCCATTCACCTGGTGTCAAGATCATCCGTTGGGCATAAGATTCCCTGCTGGCTGGAAACGAGCCGCCGGACATAAATTCCGTAAGGTAGACGAGGATAAATCATGAAGAAATTACATAGATAAGCACACCACTATGTCTTCTACAAGATGGGTTATCGGAAAGGTGATACGTTAATTGACTGATAACAAGAATCATCGATGGAATCGAATCAATCAAGATTCAACCAACAACATTCCTTCCATCGTCCCTTCCTCCTTCTACCTACCATCCATGGACAACAAACCCTTCATGGAAGACCCTACCAGTAGGGCTGCCCAGCAGGTAGTTGAAGATTTGCGAGCTGCATATATCTCCACGAGCTTCTTCCGGATGACCGGCCACGGTGTGCCTACATCCCACCAACAATTCACATTGATGCAGCCGCCAAATCTTTCACGCTGCCACAAATCGTCAAGACCAAACTCGATGCCTGCAGTAGTTTTGAATACCGTGGATACGATGTGATGGGTACACAGCTGTATGAGGATGATGGGCTCCCGAACCTGAAGGAAGGCTTCTTTCTTGGACAGGACATCTCTGCCGAGGATCCGCATGGCAGCCCGTCGATCCTTCATGGGCCCCAATGTATGGCTGAAATCTTGTCAAAATGGGGAACATGATCAGCCGGATCACTGGTGGGCTGTATAGGACTAGTATTCACCGGGTGGTTTTTAAGAACCCGGCCGATCCGTTCATTTCTTTGATAGAAATATAGGTATATTGACTTCAAGTTTTACTCTCTGCATGTAGTCTATAGGAAAGGGATTAACGAAGATGAAAACGCACTGACGGTCGAAGAACATATGATCGAGCGGACTATAGCTTCGTAAAATATGAAGAAAAGCCCGTGAATGAAGGCGCAGGAACAGAAGAGAAATCTTAGAGGCCGTATCAATGTTGAAGTTGAGCGATCAAGGTTGTCGATCGATTCTCACAAATTCCATCTCAGCCGCGGTATCCAATCTCACACTCACATACGATGTGCTTGATAAGAACCTCATTCATTAATTATTTGGTGTGCTCGTTCCCACACTATGATTGAATAAGTCCGCAGACTTAGAGATGCAAGAATGCGGCAGTAGATCTAGATAGCTCTGCTCGGGATTATTGACGTTCTTCAGCTCACGAAGGACGTGGAATAGCTCCTGCAGTCGGGGTTGAAAAGTCTCATTGTGCATTTCATTGTATAAGAATTCTGCACAGAGAAGCAGAGGGATCGGCGTCAATGGATGAACCTGGAAAGGGAGAGTCAAAATTTGGTCATTCGGGCGCGCGTGACTGGACTCACTCTCGAAAAAGGCAGGTCTCGTAAGATGGATGCCAGACTGATAATGTTGGTGGACGCCTCCAATGCGCGATATTGGTACTGAATGAACTCGGAATTATTCGTATCCAGTGAGCCATCTGCGGTAGTATCGTTCATTGCTTTGCAAAAGTAGATTACCGTGGCTTGGCCGAGGATATTGGCAAACAACAAAAGAGGATCGTATGATTCCGTCGGTGGTGGGTAGAACTGCGATAAGACTTGCAGCCTGTTCGTGAGGATGCTGTCTAGCCACCTGCGTTGCTCCATCCAGTTCGTGGTCGTATCCCCATAGGCTTTGGAAACATGATACCGTTGACTCTGTAGAAGACTACGACCACAGATGGTGGCCAGGATAAGACACTCGTTGAATGAAGATCGGACTTTGAGAGTGGGCTCTGTCATGGCTTCTGACAGTAATGGTCCAAGATCATGGCTTCCACTTTGAAAGTCGGCATCTGGAGCTGGAAGTCGGGTGCAGATCTTCATACGAGGTAAAGGTCATGTCGTTAGTTCATTGACAAAGGTTTAGAAGCTTTGGCCATTGGGTCACTGACCACGTGTTCATTCAGAGTGATCGGCCAGTCATCGCGCATACTGATAACATGATCCAGAAAATAAGTCATCCAAAAAACTCGGCGTCTCTCCTCCACTTCAATAAAGTCTCCGCATTGCGGGGAGGAGGGTCCACGCTTGTCAATGGGGTTATCAATCTCATGATAACGCAAGGCCTGAACTAAGCGGAATGCGCGACCGGCGCTCATCCACGCTTGACGGTGATACGCCCGCATGGACTCAAAAGTCACGACCAGGACCCATGCCTGAGCTAGTGCTGTGTTGAAATGGCTGTTATCATTAGCTTCAACGCTGAGATCTTCTAGCATCTGCTTGGCCTGCTGGTAGAGGGGCTCAACCAGGTGCCGGGAATGCGCGGACAGCATCGAGGCCAGGATCCACATGGAGTACTGAAGACATTGATGGGAGGCCGTCTTGTTGCTAGACTTAGACCATGACAAGTACCGTCTTTGATGGAGAATCGGAATCGATTGGTGCACACGGTCCAAGTACAGCTCGTCCCTGGAGGGAAGCACAAAAATATTAGCCGCCTTGCATTTTCCCTACTACCGGATAGGAATTTCCGGAGGGGGTGGAGGGACAATATACAATTCAGCCCGTATCATTTCAGACAAGTGCAGGTGAGATGCAGGCGCCGTAGGCGCTGCAGATTGAGAGGAGGAGTTCAGATTACTCGACACAGCCGTCAGAGTCGACTCTTGCAGCCCATAGCCGTTCCAGACAAACACTTCATGATCCGAGCCCAAGGATGCAGTCCTCCCATCGTCATCATGGCTGTTTCGAAAATCGCCTTGTAGATTCGGCCGGGGTGGCAAGCGGGTCTCGAGCATGGCCTCTAGGTGTACAATGCGGTTCTTCAGGGCCTTCAAGTGACCCTTCTTAGGACCCCGGACACCGCGTTGAGTAATTTCGCATACCACGTCGGTGTCGCGACACACGCCGCACTGTGGGTGCTGCCCATCGCAGCGCAGCTTTCGTCGTCGGCACTCGTCACACGCGGCACCCGGGCGCTGGCGCCCGCGCGTCACCGTCTGCGTGTCTGATTCAGTCTCTGGTAGCATGGGAGTAAATTTAGTGAGTATACTGTTCTGTCGTACACTGTCGGAGAATCTGACGGATATTCTTTTTCCGTTGGATTAGGGAGGGACGAGAAAGAGGGTGGGTACAAGACTGCAGAGAAGAATGTCAACGGGGGGCCAAAAAGCAAAAGGGATCTTTCCAGGGCGAAGCGTGTCACCGACTCTCCGAATGACCGAGTGACGGGCATTAGTTCCCCCTGTAGTCGTCCATCTGCTCCATTTCTTTGTCGGCGAGGATGCTAAACTTTCATTCCGTCATTAATAAGCACTCGGGGTCACCGACACGAGTGAGTTCGCTTGGTGAAACTGACTGTAGTGAGTAATAACCCGTATTACTATCTCCGTGATCGTTAACATGCAGAGTCTCGTCTGAATGCTTCTCATCTGACGGAGTTTCCTCACCGCAGGATAAAGCATCATGTAGGATGAGGCAGATCCCCGTCTAGTGCTGACGGCTAAACAAGCAGCGAGGGTTGGCCATCATCAAATCAGACCCGGCTGATTTGCCTCATGATCCCCGCTCCATTATATTAGCTCTACGATTCTCCAGGTTCGGCCCGCTTAGGCGAACGGGTGGCCTCCACTGGACACATGCTTGTTTGGTGCAATTAAAGTGGCGGAGTATTGCGATCGCGAGAATACAGTGATAATAGAGTTGACAATGCACTCTCTATGGAGGCATGTACTATCGCAAAGAAACGTATTGATTATAGAAATTACACCAATAGACACTGATACTCGATTGCTCGTCCAACATTACACTCGGGGCGATCTCCAATCGGACTCGATGATCGCCAAGAGCCAGCTGGCGCTAAAAAGAATAGAAACTCCGAAGACCAGAAATAGAAACTCCGAGGCAAAATGAAATTTCCGAGATATACGGGACTTCCACGATAATAGATGGACTCACATAAGCACAGCTAGGCAAGGCTAAGAAGCCGAAGTGCTAGGCATTAAGACGTGGCACTGGATCTTGCGACCGGTCTTTATATCTCGTGCCATCGTCGCCTGTTCATGGCGGTACACACAATTTACATTGAAAAATGACCGCACAACCGGGCCAGTTTCTTGCAGGAAAGAAAATCATCGTGGCTGGTGGCGGATTCGCTGGTTTAGCCTTTGTACTCGCCCTTGATGAGCTATGGCAAAGTTTGACCCTTGACCGTCCGGAGGTTCTGCTGTACGAAGAAAATGGCCGCGACGAGTCTATTCAGAAGGACCCCTATACACTATGCATCAACGGGGCTAGCCAGGATGACGGGCTAGTCGTTATTCAACAGTTGGGCCTGTTAGACAAAGTTCGCGAGCATTCAACTCTCAACAGTGGCGATATCCGCGTCTGGTCGGATAATTGGAAATGGCTATTTTCTATCAACCCGACCGTATATGGGAATCTCCCAGCGGCAACCATGCGCATCACCAGACAGAACCTCAAGCGTATACTAGTAGAAAGGGTGGAACAGACACGGACCGTTCTAAAATGGGGCTGCGCCTGTACGTCGGCCGAGCGTCTACCGAATGGCCAGATTCGTGTCTCTGTTTATGAAGACGTTGGTAGCGCAAACAGTTCCACGCTAGACTGTGATCTTCTCGTGGCGGCCGATGGGGCTAACAGTCGCATTCGGGCCTGCTTCAGACCCAACGACATGAAACTCCAATATGCTGGCGCGACGCAGATCGGCGGTATCTCATATCTTCCAGATGGACTTCCTAAGCCAATTGATCAGGACTTCAGCCTTCAGATGTCTTCGGGCGAAGGGGTCTGCTGTATCTATCGTCCATTCGACAGCAACACAATCGACTGGGCACTGAGCACGGTCGGGCCTGAACGCGAACCAAAAACCAACTTCAGTCCGAACGAATTCAAGGTATTGAAACAAGAAGCCCTGAAGAGAGCCTCGATGTTTCAGGAACCATTTCAATCTGTCATTGAGGCAACAGTCCGCGGCACTGCCTTTATTCGACCCGCAAAGGAGAAGCCTGCCTTCCCACATGATGCCGATCTCCACGGGGTGATGTTCATCGGCGACGCAAATCACATCCTCAGCCCCTTTGAATTGCTGGGTGCGAATCTGGCGCTGAAGGACGGTTGGGACCTGGCTGAGCAGATCTGTCAAAATGATTCTCTTAATGCGGCGGCTGCCTCTTATGACGGGCTGAGCATTCCGCGATTCCAACATAACTTTGATTTCTCCCATGAGCGAATCAATTTTGGGCACTGTACGGGCAGCAAGTGGATGTTTTACAAGTATGGCATGGCTGCGCAGCGTGCGCTGAAGAAGGTCCATTGAATTAGCTGGTTGAAAGTGAGGATAATTGGGTGGCCGAAGGTAATATGTTGATTTTACTTTCGAGATCCAATAGAAGGTTGCCCTCGTATGTCTCTTTGTAGAAGTTGCAATGGATTTGTGAGAAGTAATAATAAAAGAACGGACCAAGACTCTCCCTGCAATTAGTACCACGTCCCTATCTACTTTTATGATGCCGTCGAGATACATTGCGATACCATTCATCTATATTGGAACCCTGTCCCTCGCCGACTACCTAAATGTATTGGAACAAGAGGAGAACATCCATATCTGGACGGCGTTGTAAGCTTAGACATCCTCGGCGGCTCACTGAGAGGTAGGTGCTACCCAAATAAATCACATCTACAACGAGACATATATTCCTTATCTTGGTGGGCTGTCTGTAACCATGACCATCCCGAAAGAGGTGCACAAACTATAGTCGCTGGAGCAGGAACTAGGTAGTCACAAAGACACCGCCAGATAATGTATCGTAATAGGTTATTCATTGAAGACTCAATGCTGAATTTGTAAAGTTAGATACCTCCACTCATACCCCAACGCCGCTGCTCCATACGCCGTCAACGGTCCGAACAAGCCATAGAAAACGCGACAAAATTTGATATGAGCACATGGAAGGTAGGCCAAGAAAAAGAAAGCTGAAGAGGCGTGCAAGATATAGTGTTCGGAGCGAAATATCAATCCTCAGGGAGAGCAGGAGGAAAGGGATGGTTTTCCTAAAAAGGAAAGAGGTAAACAGAACAAAACACGCTCTTGATGTCACATGACCACTTCGATAATCCATCACACGAACTGACCAACAATCCATCTTTTGGTCGCCCAGGAAGACGGACAAAGGAAGTTATCAAGCCTTGAATCGATCCTACTGAATATAAGAATTTTTCGCAGCAATATCGGCCGCGAGGCCTCCAAAGACAGGCGCTACATGATGCCAAAGATTGACACCTCGGTAGCATATTCCGGAGCTCTACAGAAACCAGAGAGTCGATACCAAAGTTGGCAGGCTTGTTTGTCAGAGCAGATGGTCTCTTTCTCAGTAGGCTCGCATTGAGACATCGCGAACAAGTCACGATCTTGTTGCGCTCAAATGTGGAATTAGAACGTGTTCCCCGCATGCTCAACTCCTTTGCCACATCTAGATACATGCAGCTGGAAACCGTGGCGAATACCCTTACTTCATTACTTTGAGGCCACCCCATCGAGTCTAGCTAACATCAAATAATTCATTCTGCATCTTGCCAGTGCCTATTACTTTCAGTTCGGGTACAAAAACGTATTCGCCCAACCACTTGAGATAGTGAATCCGCGAGGCAATATTTGCTCGGGAAACATCTGCAAATCTCCGGAGTGTACAAAAAATGGTCCAGTGTCCTCACACGTTTTCCTTCTTTGAATTGTCGACTCAGTTGGAGAGTCCTCTTCGCAGTATTGCACTTCGTAGCCAGCAATTCCAGAAGATGTGTGAGTATAGCAACTCAGAGAGCGACATCTGTGCAACCGAGCATCCCAATTCGGGCACTGCGTATCGGAGGCCGTTGGAAAGTTTCTTGACGACGCAGGGCTAGGTTGTCTTTTGGTATCTTCCCCTCGGACATCGCTATATTCAGGGCAATATAACACCGATTCATCACGGACCGTTCGATCCGGGCCAGATAGCCCAGCGGCAGGCTTCGATTGGGAAACAATCGAATCGTGTTCCTCGCTAGTCGTAACATCGGGGACTTTGGGTACTTGTCTACACACCCAATTACCCAATTTATAGTCATTTGAGATGGGTCTCGGTTTTTTGACCAAGTATTGAATAAATCGAGGCTTTTTTCGGGTTCCTTCAACACATGTATGCGACATTCCCCTCTTGATACACCGTGTGCATGGCAGTAGGTTGTCTAGAAACCAAGTTAATAGCTTTCCTTTATAAAGTATAGAATGAAATAACATTCGGTTGAGTTTATTAGACCGAGGAATCTTACCACAGCGTTGATGTGATCTTTGACAATTTTTACATGATCTCATTGTTTTTCTTTGCCTTGGTTCCACTAGCTCCCTCCTTGAAGATTGATGGCAAGGTTTGAACTCCATATGAAAGGGTGTTTGATTCTCATCTCCTGGCTTTTGGATGTCGCACTCTATCTTCAGGATTAGCGGTGGGGAGATTAGAGTTTTTGGTTTGGAATATGATACAACCAAAATAACTCAGGCATCTTCCGGGGCATCAACAGAAAGTGAACTAGAAGCTGCACATTCAAGGGGATAAATAGACATTGATGCAGTTCTCAAAACGGTGTATCATTAAGTAGATCTGGATACAGCCTCGGTAAGAACACCAAAGCAAGATTATGAAACAATTTATCTAAAAGTGGGACGACAAATCAAAGCTTCCAAGAACTCGGCTGACTGAACCTCGGCGGCCGCGGGGCCCGAAAACTTAATAACGCCAACAAAGTCGCATCCTATCGTCCTATCCAAAGCGACATTATTTTGGTTTCCGGTACCGCAGAACTTTAAATCTAGTGGCCACGTGGTGGCTTCCGACAGAGGAAGCCAGGGAATTATGCACAAGCTCCACGGACGCAGCGACCTTTATTCAACCGGATCCGAGCGTGTTGAATAGACTACGTTACTTGGCCGCGCATGCTATCCATAACGTTGATTCTAACCTAATGATAAGTAAATAGTGTGATTATTTGGAGATACTGCTCCGTCAGAGCTACAGGGAATGAGCTGTCGATAGGGCCACGCTGAGACGGCCCCTGCGTGTGGTGGTTGCGGGTGCGCTACATCAATGGTCAATTAATACAACCTCGTGGACCTTTCTTATTACGATTATTAGACGGAGATTTAATTAGACGGCATCTTGAGCAAATGAATCATCAACCATGATTGAAATAGGATTTCTGTCTACCTAGACGGAAGTGGGAGAGTTACTTAGAACGCTCTGCAGCAATGTAATCAAAGCTAATGCGCCAGGTGACAGACAATCTTGAGATCTAGGTATGACTTATGCAACATAGACATGAGAGAAATGTTTACGGTCGCTCTTGCACGTCTTCATAAGTGATTGCAAAGCTGTGGGAAGAGCTATAGTGCAGGTCCCAATACCCACCCCAGATAAGCTTAGTGACAGGTCCGATTTCGCCCTCATTGATCTTTTGGCCATCAATTGATGTAATAGGCATAATACCACCGGTAGTGGTGCAGATAAATATCTCTTCTGCTTGGAAGGCCAACTCCACTGGAACCACTTGAACGTGACCACTTATGCCGTTCTTTTGTGCAAGTTCTAGGACAGTCTTGCGAGTAACACCCTCAAGCACGCCTCGATCAGGAGTATACAAGGCACCATCTTTAACGAGCACGATGTTATAGCCCGGCCCTTCAGTCAAGTTTGCGTCCCCGTCCGTTAAGAAAGGATAGTTAGCACCCCGATCGACGGCCTCTAGCAGGCCGCGAATCAAGTCGGCCCATTGCAGGTTTTTGATCGTCGGATCCATCGATCCGGGAGGGACACGGCGGACCGTTCTAGCAACAATAGCTTGTCCACCAATCCGTTGCAAAAAGGGCGGCATGGCCCAGACGTAAGGCTGCACAAACATGTATATCTTGTTGACGATATCTTTCGGGTCGGCTTGGCGAACGAATTTGAGGCCCCGGGTAACGATAAGTTCCACATAGGCGTCGCGAACGCCAGATTTAGCCACCATATCCACCAAGATGCGTTTGATTTCTGGCTTCGGCAAAGGGAGCTGGAGACGTAATTTCTTGCAGCTTGCCTCCAGTCGATTGATATTTTCGTCGAGGCGGAAGAAGCGCCCATCACAGACAGCTGGAACGTCATAGGTAAGGTCACTATGAAGAAAACCTTGATCGAGCAGTGGAATGCGTGCCTCCCCCAGGGGAAATAGGCCGCCTTCAACCCAGGCAATTCCCTGCGAGAAAGGGTTGTTGCTTGCCTCAAGCGTGGCTTGTCGGGTTTCATGCCCTCCCAGGACTGCATCCATAGAGGCCATTTTGAAGTAAAATTGGCCACAGAGTTCAACGAAGATAATGACTGGTGGGTTGGTGCAGAACTAATTTCACTGCACGGAAATATTGTGACTGGTGCTGCTCTTCACCTTTGGATAGAAGCGGCAGGAGTTGATTATATATTTCTTGACATGCGACGCCAGATTCCTTAGCCACTCAGTCACACGCGACTTACCATCAAACTCCATCAAACTCCGCTGAGTAGATGTCCTGGACGTATGGGGTAGCCGCATAGATAAGGAGCGGCTACTGGCAGGAGCGACTAGATAACAGCTGCGGTAATCCAACTGCCGAGGTCCGATCAAGTGGTTTCTGGAACCACATTCCTCAGCAATATCAGATTGAGCCAAGGCCGGCAGACATATAATCAGGTATACGCGCGACTTAGATATCTTAGTTCCTAGTACTACAAAATACCTACCGCATTGAAATCTTAGACTCCCTGATCTTTCTCTCGAATTTGAACACGGCAAATTTACTCGGATCTATCGTCTGCTTACAACTCAGCTACTCCCAAACTTGAACAATGCCGTCGAAAAACGTTGTAATCATTGGGTAAGTTGGTAATCTAGCAGCGAGATTGCCTGATACCGAAAAATACTCATTCTTTTACAGGGCTGGGGTTGCAGGGCTTACTACGGAGCTCCTCCTATCTGAGCGGAGTGGATACCGGATTATTGTAGCTGCTAAGCATATGCCCGGCGACTATGACATTGAATATGCCTCGCCATGGGCTGGTGCTAATTATATGCCGTAAGTCGAACGTTAATGTATACATCTTTAGTGACCATGGACTCACAAAAGGAACGGCTAGGGTCTCCGTAAGTGGAACTCAAGCAGCAGAATGGGACAAAAAGACGTGGGCACGGCTGCTAGACCTAGCACTCAACCGCCCGGAAGCAGGTATACATATACAAGGTGCGTCATTCCTGGTTCAGATCCTACTTTATCATGGATGTTTGCTAATCATAAGGAAAGAATGCGAAATTTATAGTCGATCCCAAGACAAAGGATCCGCCACAGCCGACTGGTTTTCTGAGTTACTGGCTCCGAATCCCTGGTTCAAGGAGATCATCCCCAATGTCAGTTATAATTTCCATGGGTGCAATGCGTTGCATTGAGAGCTGTTACTAACTCACTGAAAGTTTCGAAGCATTCCCAAAGACAAACTTAGCCCTGGAGTGGACGCTGGTACTGGTTTTACCTCTGTCTGTATCAACACAGCTTTATATCTTCCTTGGCTCGTATCCGAATGCCTAAAAAACGGCTTTCGTTTCACACGCGCTGATTTTAAACATGTGCTGGACGCCCGCTCCGTCGGTGATCAATTGGGGGACTCAATTGACTTAATAGTCAATTGTACTGGTCTCATGGCCTCCCGGCTGGGTGGTGTTGAAGACAAGTCAGTGGTACCTGTTCGCGGGCAGATTGTGGTGGTTCGTAATGATGCTGGCGAAATGGTTGGTATATCCGGGACCGACGATGGAGGCGACGAAGTCTGCTATGTCATGACCCGGGCCGCAGGCGGTGGTACTGTCCTTGGTGGCTCTTACCAGAAGGGTAACTGGGATTCCCAGGTTGACCCAAGCCTTGCTGTCAGAATCATGAAGAGGGCGGTTGAGCTATGCCCATCTCTTACCGGCGGAAAAGGGATTGGGCATCTTGATATCATAAGACACGGCGTAGGGTTGAGACCAATACGCGAAGGTGGGACAAGGGTGGAGAAAGAGCGCATCGGTAACACATGGGTAGTGCACAATTATGGCGCCGGTGGAGCTGGTTATCAGTCGTCATTTGGGTGTGCTCAAGATGCCGTGGACCTGGTGAAGGAAGCGTTGCATACAACGGCAAAATTGTAGGTTGCAAAATATGTGACGAGCAGGTAGCTAGAGAAGAAATTCTCATACGATTGGAAAGATGAAGAAAAACATGTTCTGCCCAAGTCATTTGCAGGGCTCTCAATTTTAAGAATCTAGACGAAAGAGATGTACGAAGATTGTGTCATTGAAGTGGTATGTCAATTTGGAGCATGAATCAATTCTACAGCTACCGGTTCAGCTTGGTTGGAATAATGTAAAGAAGCCAGGCACTCCTATGGTAGACATATTAATGGAAATGCAACTCATCGCTCTAAGAAACAGTTTGTGTGAAGTATACTTTTGAACTACTGTGGTCATTTGAGAGAAGACATAAATTGAGTAAATACGTCCATAACTTAGGAGAGGAGATTGGTCATACAATTGACGTACATCACCATCCAGTCGATACATGATATGATAGTCCAGATTGACTGACAAAACATATAGAATGGTGACATTACAGAAAGAACTGAAACCTCAATTAGACGTTTCATCCATCCGCAAAGGCTTACAGCCAACTTTTGACTTAAAAGGTCACTTCGTTCTCCCGTTTCAAGCGATCAAGGCCGGGATCTTCTCCTGACAGACCGATGACATCTGCAATCTCAGAGTAGTCGGATTGCCAGAGACCGGGCGAAAATTTCGGGAACTGCGAACGGAATCCCAATATCCGCTGCGTTCTGGGAGATAGCTGCTTAATAATGTCCAGTCCGATGATGAAAGGATTCCCTTCTTCTGGCGTCAGATAGCTGCACTGTAGAGTGAAAGCCAAGCCACGACGGTTCTCATCTTGAGTTTTGTTGGCACCACCACCATGGACGGTCTTGCCACTCATCAGGACAGCATCGCCAGCCTTCATAATGGCAGGAATCGTTTGTTGAGGTGACCCCATGTTGGAGTAGTCTTCCCACATATGAGATCCAGGGATTACTCTGGTGGCGCCATTTTCTTCGGTGAAGTCTGTCAGGGCGATGAGGAAATTGAGGGTCGCCTCTGGTGCCTTCGCGCCCAGAAGATTAAAAATTGGATACTGGCCTTGATCCCGGTGAAGCACTTGAGCTTTGTTGCCAGGTCCAATTTGGATCACTTGAGCGGCACCCATCCAGTACGTTCCAGAGTTTGGTGAAAGACCCTCTCAGCCACGGCGTGGACCGATTCGTTCTCAAGCAGTTGATGACGGAAAATCTTGCTGTGGGTTGTAACATTTGTGAGGCGCTTTGTGTTACTTCCGTGAAAGTCTTGGATCTTGTCGACCTTGTGTTTGGAGCCCGATTGGATGGCCTCCAACGGGTTGTCAAGTTCGTGATTCAATTCCTGCAACTGGTCTCTCGATAGAAGCCCTTTAATAATCAGGGCACCAGATTCGCGTAGGGTTTGGGTGATTATTTCTGGATCGTCTGTTGCTGACACGTAAGGAACAGAGATTGGAGACATGGTGAATGGAGTTTGGTGATCGAGGAGTCAAAGAATGGTCTATGTCAACAGCGCGACAATTGGGTAGGATGAAAAGAAAGTCAATCAACGAGCACCTGGTATATATAGGACATCACATTTTCGACCAAGATTCATCAGGCAACAAGAAAAAGCTTTCCAGCGCCCTCTCTCTACGCCCAACACAGATAATTCTCCTACTTTCTTCGATTAGCCATACGAGCCGGCATGTTGTGATCACGAGCGGTCTTGGGTCTCCAATCTAATCGCTAACCGCACTCTTTCTCAACTTGACTCTTATCTATGCCTTACGTCACCTCACCCCACATGACCTGATTCGTTTTCTTATCTAGACGCTGCTTTGGATTTTCCCAAGTGTCCTTGCCGCCTTGCCACCATTAGAATGCCGGATTACCCCTTGAATTCCGGGCACGCTTTTCGGAACGCAAATATTTGCCTGTCTTGGGTGAAGTTGCCTGCCACAGCTACAGTGACTACGCAAAGGCTTGACAGCGATCCGCTCCCAGACCGCCTAGGATAATAACACACCGTGTTCCAAAGCTCCGGCGCCAGGAACACTGAGCGATATATACAGTGCGATATTATCATGAATTGTTGATAATCTCCCCACTTTGGTGTTTACCAGAGCCTACTGATCTCATAATTTCGGTGTCTAAGGTCTTTATCAATATCATAATCCAGGGTAACTTAACTAACTAACTAGTCAACTAACTAACGTTATAACTACGACCAACAGGATGTTACGTAATCAAGTTCGTGTGTCGGGGTGTGCAAACTTTTTCCGTAGTCACTGTCTGTGGTTGCGGGAACGGTGCTAGAGACGCTAGTGGTTCGGTGATATCGTGATGTCATTTCCACATAGTTTTCCACAGAAAATTCATATTAAGAAATTATACTACTCTGAAATGGGTTACGAGGGACCTGAAACATGTGATAAGTTCAATTGAGCGGGTCTTCCTTTTGTGTAAGCCTTTCAATGTGGCTAACAGCAAATCGGCGGCCACCAGAACTGTTCGCATCAACCAACGAATCTAACAACCGAGTACGATATGTTGCTATAGTAGTCAACAACATGATGCGTATTGTAGAAGGACTGAGGTGAAAATCAATCTATGGTATATCTATCTGCCATAGCTAAAATAGTCTCAATATTATTATCAGCCTAAATTTTTTATTCTCGAAGGCTTACGTTGACTCGAGCCGCATTTGGAGATGGGATCACAGTGTCATCTGCATGAACTTGACAGGTTCCCTTCATCAAAGGACAGGAGAGGTGGGCCAGGCATGTAAATGTGTCCAGAGTAGGCCTCTGCATGGTGCGGTCTTGGTCCTTAGGTCGAGGACCGCGGACCGGACCGCACGGTCTTGCGGTCTCGAATTCGGGGGTTGAGACCGCACTATAGTGAACCGCGGTCCCTTGCGGTCTTCACCACGGTGAACCGTAATTGCATAATTCTACTAAGACCTTCCCTTTTCGGCTATATAAATTGATGATCTATCCTATTTAATTACTGTTATTTAACACTGTTTTGGTCTCTTCATAAACATTTGCTGTATTTCAGCATTAGCCACTATGAAAACATATGAAATATACTCGTATATAGAAAATCTACTATTTAAAATACCTAGACCTGCTAGTACTAGTATATTTCTAAGTTCTAATAGGGAGGTTTAGTAATAATTATTGCTGGCTAGGTGTTTGAGGTAAGAAATATATATTTCGATATTAGTATCTGACCCTATCTTTATCTGAGACTTCTTCGTTGAGTATATATAACCCCCTATATATAGCTAAAATAGGTATTAAAGGTATTATTAGAGAGCTTAGATTCTCTAGTTAAACTATTTATCTTGAAATTCTATATTCTACTACTAATATATTCTAATAATCTCTTTTCAAAATTGGTTTCTCTGATATAAAGTGTAGACTTAGGAAGAAAAGGAGGATTATACTATTATATAGGCCTTCTAGCGGTCCTTTTCGGTCCTATGCGGTCCTCCTTATAGTTCTTTACGGTCTTCTACGGTCTTTGCAGCCCTCTATGTGGTCTATTGCGGTTTTCCTACGGTTCTATGCGGTCTTCTACGGTCTTCGTAGCCCTTATCCTATCGGATCGTAGTAGAGTAGAGCCTACTGCCTAATCACTATTATAATTCAATTTGATCTATCTAAATCATACCTATATAGTAGCTTTCTCCTAGAGAAAATCCTTTATTCAGCTTTTTCTAGTAGACGGAAATATTTTAGTAGGTATCTCCTTAAGTCCTTTACCTCCCCCCGTCCTATCTAATACTTATTTCGTCAAAATGTTACAGAGTCAGGCCTCCTCTTAGTTCTCTGATCGGTATCCCTCATCGGCTTTTAAGGATAATCCACGAGATACTTTCTCCTTCCTCATATCTAATGGGCTGTTTAACCTCGACGGGCGCGAAACGCCAACTTCTACTCCTGACGTGAACTTACTCCGACCGGCAATTCCTCCTGTTATCCTAGAAACACTCGAACGCGTTAGTCCTCCTAAAAGAAAAAACTATATCCTCTAGACAGAAATAGCGAATGAGGATTTCATCGTCTAGTGGTTAAAGACGGAGTATAGAAGTAAGATAAAACGGAATATCTTTAAGGGTAGACGTAATACGGAATGTTAGGGCCACTTCTACTAGGTCGCTACTATCTAGGATAGGTCTCCTAAGGTAATATACAAGAATTACGACTATATCCTTACCCATCCTACCGATAAGCGCCGGGGAATATCTACTATAAATAGGTATTATTCGTAAGTAGGTGCCTATCGGAGAGGACCGACTTAGTCGTAAGATATTAGGAAGGCTATTAAGAACGGGGTATAGATAATCAGTCTACCTTTTTCTAATTATTACTAATCCTATAAAATACCCCTTCTAGGTATATCTATCGTCTCGTAAAGTATTATTTACGCCGTAAGCTTAGATAGAAAGGTTAATTACCTTTATTACTACCTCGCGGCTACCCTTCTAGCTTATTAAGTATCCTAAATTTCGCGCCCTTCTTAAGATAGCCCGGCTTACTCCCTACTTCCCCGAAATCCTAACTATAACTATAGTCCGCCGTTATCTTTAAGAGATCGTAGAAGAACGCTAGTATACTCTTCTATAGAAGCTTCCTAATAGTGCTAAGCTCTCTATTATATTAGATTACTAGACCTTATTATTTCGCTAAGCTTTTATAGTAATAACGGGCTATTTTATTAACTAAGAGTAGAATTACCGAGAGCTCTTACTTAGCTTTAAACCTCTATATAGCTTATATACAGGGGCCTATCTAAGCACTATCCTACTTAACCTTCTTAAGAAGCATCGGATTACTAAGAGGGTGTTAACTATTACTACTAATAACGTATCTAATAACGGAACATTACTCGGTAGCCTTTAAGAGGTCGTCGAATCCCTATAGCTACCTAGTAGTATACCGGTTATTCGTATACTATATATCGTATATATTATATAGCTTAGTTTAAAGGAGCTTCTTAGTTAGATAGACGCGAACCTAGGAAACGAGAGGGAAGAGATTAAATAGACCGAGAAAGGGTATATAGCTCGGTAAGAGAATAGAAAGATCGTAGATACTCTAAATAAGGTCTGGCTCTCTCTAATCTCTTACTATTATCTCTCTTTCTTTACTAATTCGCACTATATTCTAGATTCAGAAGATAGTAGTCTATATTAATAAAAGTCCCTAGCGCCGCGAGAGCTATATAAGGCTTTAGACGAAAGAGCCTAAGCTTATACCTATATAAGATATTCGGACACGATAGAATTCCACGTTCCTTATGCTTAGGCGTGCCCGGCGATTATAGTCTGCCTTTAATGACTTCTATGTCTAATTTAACCTCGCTAATATAAAGATAGATAGAGATAAATGGCGATAAGTTAACTATCTTCTATTAATCACTTATCCCTTCTTTAAATTTACTTTATCTCTTTCGGTAACTATAGACGTAACTATCTATAACGTCTTTAGTATCTATAACGCCCTATTTATATATATTAATAAGGCGAAAATATAGCTAGCGCGAAAGAAGGTTAGTTAGAAGAGAGTGATAAAGTCCGCGCTTAACCGTACGCGCGATAAGCTTATAGAGTATTATAGAAAGACTAATAATATTCCTAGTGATCTCTATATAATTACGACTATCCTAGGACTACGGAACAAACTAGAGTTCTTTATAATATCTAAATAGGAACCTTACTAGGGGCCTCGCTATAAGTAGTCGCTAGAGGCTTATATTTAGCCTTACCGGTAGCGCTATAAAGAGGTATAGTCTACATTAACTCTCTAGCCTATAAGTCAAGATATCTCTAATATTGATATCCTTCTAAGACCTACTATATCTCTTCAGTTAAACGTGACGGCTCTAGATGAGATTACACGGTATCTTAGAAGTAGTAAGTTAATCTATATACCTCTTCTTATATACTCCTTCTCTTATACTAACCTTACTAGGTACTATCGAAGTAACCCCTCTCGTTTTCTGGAAAGAATACCAAAATAAATATCCTATTCTAGTAAGCCTTACCCGAGACGTCCTTATAACACTAGCTAGTGGTTCTGGCGTTAAGCGGTTATTTAACTCTACGCGTGATATCTATCATTATCGCCGGGGCTTACTGAAACCGTAGATAATTAAGGAATTGATATTGTTTATGTGTATAATAAAATTCGACGTAGAGTCCGAGTAGCTTGCCCTAGTTAATAAGTATCTTTCTACGTAAGAGAAGCAAGTAAAGAAAGAGTAGAAGGACGCCTAGAAGAAAGAGTAATAATTTAATCTAATTAGTAATGACGAGGAAGACCTATCCACTACTAAAGATTCTACCGAAACTATCTAACTTCCTAGTGCGCGAGCGCTTAGAAAGAGAAGGGCTACCTCGGATCAGCTATTTAAACTTAACGATGATGATAAGGTTCCCCTACCTAATAATAGCTACTTAGAAGAAGGGAG